CAACACGTTCGACCGAGTATCGACATTAAATTCCTGATTGGCAGTCGATATAACTACAGAAATGCCTTGCAGCTGGGAAATGCTTCATTTTTGCTCTCAGCTTGCGGTCAGAAATAATAAGGCATTTATAAGCTAAACCAATGCTGATGGTCTTTTTACAAAGTGGCGAGGACATTTTTCGAATTTCTGAATATTGCATAAATCAGTTATGTGGGTAACGTAGAACTGTGGTCTTGGTTTGCCAATTTGCACTTTAAATGTAGTTTACTTATAAGATTGTAATAAATGTAAATGTGACATCATTTTCAAGATATTTATATTCTACCTTTATAAAGGTAAATGTAAATAAAGCACATCTTTAGGTAAATTTTTTTAAAGGTTCCTAACTTTAAATAGCTCTTAATACTTTAAAGAATTTTTGTAGAATTAAATGTTTATCTTCAAAATGTGAAGATATTTTAAAAACCACCAAATTCTACTTACGATATTGAAGTCCCATCGTACGTCACCTGGCAAATGCACAAACTCAATTGCAGTTGCATACTTTCATGCAGAAGGCTTATGGAAATAACATTATTTTTCGATGTCATGCTTTTAGGCGACTGCAAAAAATATACATTTTCCATTTGTTTGTCTCAAAAACAGGCACTCAATTCGCTTTAGATTCCACCATCAATTTACCGGAAAACATGTGTAAGTACCCAGATACAAGCTGGAAATTCAATTTTCCGCACATTTTTGGTGCACGAGCCTGCGTTTTCCCGCATTTTAAACATTGCCCGGACCGGAACTCACCTGCAAGTAAATAAATGGAAATAGAAATGAATTTCATTTTTAGAGAGAGCGAGTATAATTTATTAATAAATCAAATTTTATGCAACCAAAAGTTTTTGGGCGGGTGTCTGTGTGTGTCGAACAAACACCAAACTCAAAACCCAAATCCAAAAACCATTACCGAAAACAAAACCGAGCCAGGACCAAAACAGCAGAATAGATCGGGTCGGCATGCAGTTTGGCACGGCCGGAATAGTTGGCTGCCAAAGTGGTCAAAATGGACAGTCGGAATTGTAGGCATTTGGACATTGCCTTTGACTCGGTTTTCCCCGGGGGCAGTTCTAATGGAAATTATGGAGCTCCTGCTGCCTCCAAACGAGCAGATGATTGAGTCAAAGGCATGAAAAGCAACATATAAATGATGGGCCACCCGAACGCTTGGGGCCATGGAGCAGATACATGTATCTCCGCTCGCAGGTCTTTGGCAAATCCTTCAAATGCCAAGTCCAATAACTCAGTAGGAAGCAGTCAAAAACACTAAGAAAAAGCAGATAAACTGGAAGAAATACACCTTAAAAATTATTTACTTGTATAACAAGTAAGACATAAAAAAAGTTTACCTTAAACAAATTAAATCTTTATTAATAAATTTTTATTTATTTAAGCATCAACATTTTCTAAACATACAAATCATGTAAACATGTTAGTAAAAAAATTAAAAAATATATTTTTTTACCGCAGCTAAGAAAACTTCTAAATAACTTTAGAAAATTTAGAAAAATCATTTTTTTTTTTTACTATTCCAATTATAATTTACTACTAAATTGTATCATATTTTTTCTGTTTAATTCATATGACGATAAAAACCATAAAAAAAGAATACAAGTTTGGCAAGTTGCTTTAGCTTGTGTTTTCATTTTCTTCGACTTGAAAATGTATTTTCCGAGTGCCTTTGTACGCATTGCGTTCAATTTTCGTTTCCTATTTTCCTGCGGGGCTAGTGCACTGCACTCGTTGACTGGGTAAAAGCTTTAACTGAAACATTTTGTTTTGTTTTCCGATGAAGTGCAGAATCAACTTCGAGAGTTTCGACAAACTTTCCATCCACTGCAGCGTATGGAAGCCAAAAGACAAGGAAAGTGCAAAAGGCAGAACAGCAAAAAGGAGATACTGGAGTCCCACTAGATAGATTTCCCCAGGCAGTCACTTCAAAATGTATTATAAAATATCAAATTTTAAATAAATACATTTGGAGTGCAGTCAAATATCGAGCAAGGCATTAAAGTTTGAATGAGAAAAGAAAAATCACGTTCTTATTAAAAAACCACATGGCAACAAAACTTTGATCATTTTATTGTATGTAAAAGTTTTCATCTTTGGAGGAAGTTTGTTTGAAATTTATTAAATAAAAAATACAACAATTCCCACAACTGAATATATATTGAGCAAGAAAAATTTGCAAAGAATACTTCCCTCACTCTTCTATGCTTTCGTTTTCGCATTATGATTTAATATAGGGCTTCAGTTGAACTATTTAGAACTAGAACTTCCACAAAGTACCTCAAACTTTCCCCCAATACGAAGGCAGCAAAAATAAAGTTTTACGTTGAAACGATATCAACAAAGTTGTGGGGACACTTTTAAGTTTTGCACCCACGCGATTAAATGCTTTGTATACTTTTTAAGAAGCCAATTAAGATGCGTTCTCTTATTATATAGCTCTCAAAAAAGTTCGGCAGAGTTCGTCGTGTAAGTTATGGTAATTTAGATGTATAAGGTAATGGCTTGTGAGAACAAGCACCATCAACAAAAAAGGCCGTCATGAGGCACAGATATAATAATATGGCCGAAAAGGTTGTCCACAGATTTCCCTTCCATTAAGCCCGGTCTGAAATAAATAAATTCAAAATCCCCAGCAAAAAAAAAAATCATTTTATCCAGTGACCAGGAATCCTCGTTAGGCCCGTTGTAACCAACATTTGTTGCCGCAGGAAAGTTGAATCGAGCAAACTATTTTTTATGGCCAAGACTGGGCGGGAAATCATGTAGCATGTGCTGAAGGGGGCGGGAAAATGGGAAATGCTAAACGGGGAGGATGGAGAATGGACGGGGGGGTGGCATCATAAAAATAAATGAAAAGGTCACTTTGTATTGGTTGTGGGACAATTTAACACAGGCAAATGTGTATGCAACTGTAATTTTTCTGTCGGTGGCAGCCGTCCAGCAGCAAAACCATATGAAATAGCAACAATTGTAACAACACGCTGGCACACGAAATACATACCAAATAGTTGGGGCATGTCCTTGGTGTTTCTGGGAGGTGGGAGGAAGGGATTTCGGGGGTGTCCTGATGTCCTGGCAAAGTATTCGTGTGGCTCTGTTGTGCTGGCCTTTCATTTGCCGTCCCACAGAGGCTCGCACCAAAGCACCAACACACCCACACACAGAAACATTTACTCATAAGCCCTAACAAGCGCCATTATTATTGGACCCACACACACACACACACCCCGGCAATTTCCCATTTTCCACGCACACACATGCGGCCAAATGAACATGTTAAGTTTTCAACAGCTATAAATTATTTCTTTACCAGGCGCACTCGGCTTTTTCTCTATGCTAAATGCCCCTAAATGAAAATAATTTATTGTGGTCATTAGGGGAGCTCCTCCCATCGGATCCTCCTTTGAACATTCCTCGCACAACCTACAACTTATTCCTGTGTCGGGTAATTATTTACACTCAGACATCGGCAACAGTCGCACGATAACAGAATCGCCAATCGAGCTGCACCGATAAACATCTGGTGCTAATCCCCGTTTTAAGTGTTTTGTGGTGGCAACTGTACTTCTCGATCAACTGTTCTAGTTTAATTTTGATTCACATCATATTTTAAATGACTAGAAATTATGTCACCCACATTATGAAGAAGAATTCTTGACATTTTCCTTAATTAATATATTAATAAATTATACAACATAATATTATATAAAATATTAATTTTTTAAATATATGTTTAAAATTATTTTAAAAAATTTAGCTATGCCATGGTTATTGACTTTACTTTCACTTCAAACAATTTTTTTTAATGTCTTTTATATTACGATCATAAAATGCTTCGCCTTCAGTATCATTTGGTTTGTACGCCAAATCACATTAAAAGAAACCCCTTCACAAAAAGTAAAAGTTAGCTAAGAGAACTATTTATATTTTGGAAAAATGCTCTCGCAGATGCTTTTACTCCTACTGTTTTCCAAGCCCATCGTGGAAATCGGAAAGTCCTTGGTTTCCGAAAAGCAGAGATGTTCGGAGGTCTGTCCACGCTTTTCCGTTTTGGTTCTCAATAAAGCGGATCCTGGGGAGTCCCGTTTGATAGGCGGAAACGGAAATGAAACCATCACCCAGATCACTGAGAAAAATTGGAAGCAGTTGTTGACCGGCGAATGGCTATTGCTAATCTGTCAGAAAAAGGAATCCAAATGCAGGGAGCTAAAAATGCAATTTATCGAACTGGCGACCATTACAAGAGGCTGTCTCGACGTTGGATTCGCATTTGTGGATATGGTCGAGCGCTCCACTCTGCCAAGAAGATTCTCTGTCTTCACTAGGGAGACCATCTATCATGTTTTGGATGGAGAGTTTCGAAGTCTGAACCCCAAACAGGACTCCAACTCCTTGCGAAATCTCCTTTGTTGGCGCGAATGGGAGGAGATCTCCCCTTTGCCATTTTGGCAACATCCCACGGCTCCACTTATCCGATTGAAGGTATTCGCTTTAAGGATTGTCTTGAAGGTCTGGGATTCGGGTATCACTGGTTACCACTTTCAGACGGCCAACTACTGTTGCACATTCTTTTTTGCCACCGTTTTTTACGCCAGTTTGTGGATGATCTACTTCTTGTGCGGTTTTATCAGAAACTTTTTCCAGAAACGTTCGCCGCTCGATTTTCATGATGGATATGGGGACGAATTTAAGAAACAGGAAAAACAAGGACTTTCTTCACTAATTCAAACAACCATTCATGGAAAATAACAACCAATTATCCCATTCCTTTAAAACAAATGTATACCAAACAAAATAAAATAATTTTACACTATCAGATCAAAAATTTTGGGTTAATCATAAAATAAAAAGAATAATACCTTAAGCCTTACTAATCATGCTTGTTATATTTTTTAATAATAAAACAGTAATAATTATTAACTCACAAAAACCAGAACTAGATATTTAATGCTGAGGTAAGTACATACTAGTTTTATTAATGTTCTTAAAGTAGTAGGAAATATCAGACATATTATTTTGCATTATAAATTTTAGTGTTGATTAATCCACAAATGTTAAAGTAAACCTAATCGAATTCAGTATGTTCGTGGAGCTGGTGGAATGGTGGCCACCGAGTCGTCTAAAGTGTCGTCTATCACCGGTCGATATTTGACCGAGGCGCATCCCTTGCCTCCGAGGACAAAGGTCAAGGTGTGTTTGCGCCAGTGATTCTCGATGGGCTTCTTTTCCTGTCCCTCCATCGGAGCTCCGTAGTCCAGTTCGTCCAGGCGCGTCTTGAAATCCTCGCGAGAATGCGATCCCCTCGACTCCTTGCGATTCTCCATGGCCGTGATTATGTGCACCGCATTCGCCAGCATATTCTGCAGTTCCAAAGTCTCGATAAGATCTGTGTTCCAAACGAGCGTGCGATCGGTGACCTTGATGTCCTTGAACTGCTCGTGCAACTCGGCGATTTTCAGCAGTCCCTCCTTGAGGAGTTTTCCCTCCCGGAAAACAGCCGCATGTTTGGTCATCGTCCTCTGAAGTTCCAGCCTCAAAACGGAAGTCGGCGTGCAACCATTTGCATTTCGCAGGCATTTGAAATTATCCAGCGACTTGTCCGTCGCCTTGTCTTCCACGCAGGGCGTCTCATCCCCCGGACAACTATTTTCGGCAATGTCCGAGGCACAAACCCTGCCGAAGATTATCAAATCCAAAAGGGAGTTGGCTCCCAATCGGTTGGCGCCATGAACCGAGGCACAGGATGTTTCTCCGCAGGAGTAGAGTCCTTTGACCACCTGCTCCTTTCCATTCTCGTCCATGGTGACCACACGTCCTCTGTAGTCCGTTGGTATCCCACCCATGATGTAGTGCACCGTGGGCAGAACCGGCACTGGCTCCTTGGTCACATCCACTTTGGCGAAAATCTTGGCAGTGGCGAGAATACCCGGCAATCGCGTCTTGATAATCTTGGGATCGATGTGATGGAGTTGCAGGTGCACATGATCCTTGAGGGGACCACAGCCATTGCCGGCCAGGACCTCCATGGTCATGGCTCGAGCCACCACATCCCTGGAAGCCAAGTCCTTGGCCTTGGGGGCGTATCGTTCCATGAACCGCTCTCCCTTGGAATTCAGGAAGAAGCCTCCCTCTCCGCGAACTCCCTCGGTGATCAGACAGCCTGCTCCGTAAATGCCCGTCGGGTGGAACTGCACGAACTCCATGTCCATGAGGGGGAGCTCCTGCCGGGAGACCCAAGCGTTGCCATCACCCGTACACGTGTGTCCCGCGGTGGTGGAGAAGTAAACCCGGCCACAACCGCCGGCGGCAACCACTGTGTTCTTGGCCAGGAAACGATGTAAGGTGCCATCGTCCAGCTTCCAGGCCAAGCAGCCCACGCAACTGCCCTCCGACATGATCAAATCGAGGACGAAGTAGTCCACAAAGTAGTGGCATTTATCGCAGTGCTTCAGCGTTTGTCCGTAGAGCGTGTGGATGAGAGCGTGACCCGTGCGATCTGCGCATGAGCACGCCCTCCGCGCCACTCCCCCCTTTCCGTAGTCCAAGGTCTGCCCGCCGAAAGGTCGCTGGTAGATCTTGCCGTCCGGGTTCCGCGAGAAGGGCATTCCGTACGAGTCCAGCTCGTAGATCGCCTTCTCCGCCTCGCGGCACATGTAGTGTATGGCGTTCTGATCGCCCAGCCAGTCGCTGCCCTTCACCGTATCGTAAAAGTGGTACTTCCAGTCGTCCTTGTCCATGTTCGAGAGCGCCGCATTCACACCGCCCTGGGCGGCGACCGTGTGGGATCGGGTGGGAAAGAGCTTGGAGATCATCGCCGTCTTGAAACCCTTCTCCGCCAGTCCGAAACCCGCCCGCATTCCCGCTCCGCCGGCTCCGATCACAATGGCATCGTACTTGTGATCGGTCAAGGCGTACTCGTCCTTGCAGCAGCAGTTTCTCACGCAGGATGCTCTTCCGAAGAGCCCAGCTGGACGGAGGAGGCCTCTGGTGACAGGGTGTAGTGTCCGCTTCACAAAAAACCGATTCATTTTCCGCGGCGGTTTTACAACACCTTATAAAATTGAGTTTTGCGCTGTTTAGTTCACAGTGTATTGGAGTTTGGATAGAAAACACAAAGACTATGAGACTATCATAAACGAAGAAACGAGAAAAGTTTAAACAAGTTCTTTTATTTTATATTTAAAACATTTCTTAAATCTTCAGTAAACATTCCACTAAAGTGATTTCATTCCATTGGGAATGTTTCATACATAATTTTTAAGGAAAGGGCCACTACTAACACATCCTAAAAGAAATTTATACTGAATACAAAATTCACCACTGTCTTAAAAACATCTTTCTGTAAGTTTAGTAAGTAAATGAATATAATTTCAAAGGCAGTTATTCTTTAAAAAAAAATGATATTGAAAACCACTAATTGACCAGGAAGCTTGAATTCTATTTTCAAAGTCAAATCAGCAATCCCACTCCCAACTTTTTGCGGACTTGTTTTCCTCATTCGCTGTTTGTGGAGTCACGCCATTTTCAAGTTTGGAGCTCGTTAAAGCTGGAAATTTCCACGAAAATCCTGCTGCGGCTTTGAAGGGCCAGAAGTAGACGAGCGGCAAACGGGCCGAGATGATACAAAATGGTCAAGATGGCACAAAAGCAAACACGGAGAGATCGGACCGGGCAAACATACTTAAGCGCAGCGAAAACAGCAGAAAACGAGCGATATGTAAATGAGTTTTGGGTTTTGGGTCTGCGCTTGGGTCTGAGTTTGGGTATGAGTTTGGGTTTGGGTATGGGTTTGGGTTTGTGTTCGAGCAAACAGACTAGAAAGGGGCGAACCGATGGGCGGAAAGCCAAGAATGGCGAACGAAAGACTTCGGACACGAACTCGAACGCTGGGTTTGCTCTGGGTTCATCGATATCGTCTGCGGGATTTTCCCGCCGGCTAATTGCGCTCAAAGGACATGCATATTTGCCAGGATCCTGTGTAAACCGAGTGCCTGCCCCGTTTTCTTCCTTTTCGGTTTTAGTTATATATATTTTATTTTATTTTTTGCCTGCTCGACGTTCGCACTCTCGCGTGTTTGTTTTATGAGTTTACAACCTCAGCCTAATTGAGGCGGGGAAATTCGCTTAGGCGGCCATAAAATCGAATTGTTTGCAAACACACAAGCAGAAAGGATTGGCCATAAAGCGTCTACAATGCCGTGCGGTGAATATTTAGGGCAAGGACGATCTCCAGAAAAAGGATTGAGGATCGCGGAGGTTTGGACCGCATTTCCGCGTACTCCTTCTGCCGGATTCTTAATGAAAGTGTGCGGCACCTTTAATGAATGACCAACATCTATAATAGGTAGCCAGACATCCGTCACGGGTGCGACAACTACATGGCGATCCATTCGATTCACTTGTCTATCGGCCAGATACATTTCTCCATTAGCCAGCCCTTTTGGCCTCCCCTCCATTTTCATCTGCGTTGATTTTATTGAGTTCCCTGCTCTGTTGATTTTTCTCATTTACCACCGACGGGTTGCTAGGTTGTCGGGCTGCCAGGTTGCCGGGTTGCAGACCTTAAACTAATGGCCATCGTTGCCCGCGGGTTGTTTGTCTTTCAGCGCCATAGAATGCCCAACTTTTCGAACGTTCCCAGCCCCCCGGATAAAGTCGGCGGTCCATTGACACGCGGCGATGACTTGAAACCGACTAAAATGCGAGCCCGAATTTACTAACAAAATTACTAACAAAATTTCGGACAGCGACTGCAAGAGGCGCGTGATCTCGAAAATCACGAAAAAGCTATAAATAGTTGCCGCATCGAAGCTCAATAATACACAAATTTTACACGGCCCAGCAAATGTTCAATGAATCGGTTTGAAAATTAGACTAGGAAAGCGTTATTCACCTTTTATTATATTCTTTAAATTAGCACTTGAATTAAGGCAATAATAAATGGTTAATGAAAAGGTATTTTTAGATACGCTCTCTTTTAAATTGTCTATAAAAAACATTTATTAGAATGTGGAACTCGAATAATTATTTATACAACTTGTCATCATAAAATTATTAAATAGCATGGCTAGGAAATCAAAATGTTAAGATATAATTGCTGTCTAAAATCGAACATAAAAAGACCTCTGAACCTTTTCAAATTAATTACACCTTTATTCTTGACAATTTCGCTCCAATTTTGATGCCAAATCTCGTTGGGTCGAATTTGGCCACGCACCGCCCCAAAATCGATGCAACTCCGCCCCGGGCCAACTTTGTATTTTGGCCACATACACAAATTGACGCACGGAGTCAAATGTTTACAACTCGAAATTCGGCTGAAAATTTTACCAAAAAAAAAAACAAGTGTTGGATCGGCAAACCCGTTTTGGACTGCAAACAGACCCCATGGAAAAAAAATTCAAAGTTTTAATTGGTTGCGCAAACAAAACACGAAACGAGCGTCTAAACAAATCAAAGTCAGTCTGCGGCGAACAACGGACAAAAACCGACGGACAGCAAGTCCACAGAGAAAAATACAAATCAGTTCTACAACTCAACACCCTATTAAATATATTTAAAGAATACTGTAAACAACACATTCCCCTTAGGTGGTTACAATACAAAAACATTTAATGCATAAAAATGTTTATAAAAAGAATATAATTATTATGCGTTGTATTTAGATTTCGAATCCTAAAATCTCTGATCCAAACTAGCTTAACTTTCTTACAATATTTTTAAGTCCTCCCTATACCTTGTCAGCCTGAATATAAAACTTAATTTAATCCAATAATATTCTACAGCATGTTTCAACGTAAATTATCTGGGTTTAATATTTTTATCTTACAATATTATTTAAGCTAAGGAAAATAAATTTTAAAAATATACTGCAATGATTTTCTCTCCAAACTAACGCTTTAAAAACAAATAAATATAAAGTTGATTTATAATAAAATCTTAAGGGGCACAACTAGTGTGACATTTCAAAAAAATCTTTTTTTTTTTCTTTCATATTTCGGTAGATTACACCTTTAAAAATAACATATTAAAATTTCAAATCGATATCTTAAATAGTTTTTGAGTTATAGCAATTTTAAGAGCAGCCGCTCGTATAGCAGTGAATACGATCATTTTATCTTTAAACGCGTTTTTCTCGAAACTGCATTTTCCGAATTTGCTGCAGTGATAACTCAAAAACTAATGATCCGATCACTATCAAATTTTTTTTAGATGTTCTATATATAGGCCTCCCTACAATGACCTATCGGTTTTTTGATCCGATCAAAAATCGAATTTTGGCAGGCCAAAAACGACCAAAATTTTGGGGTAAAATTCGATTTTTTTTTTTTAAACGCCGCCATTTTGTCAATTTTTGATATTTTTTATTTATCGTAGGTCATTGTATGGACAATATCATCTAGTTTAACGAGAATTTTTCATTTTTTGATTTCATCCACGGAGAAGGCCGGAATCACTGCAGCAGTTGGGGCACTTTTTTTTTTTAGCGCCGTTGGAGATCGGCTCTAGCTTAAAAAATATTTAATTTTTTCTTTAAAAATTTTACTGTTTATTCTTCAAACATGTATAAATATATTCTGAAAATTTGAAAAGAATTGATCAAGTAGTTTTTTTTATAAAAATTCCCAAAAATCATCATTTTTTCAGGCCGTCACACTAGTTGTGCCCCTTAACGTAGTTTATGCTCTTGTTGGAATCCAAAGTTAAGTTTCTTTTTCTCTGTGCAATGATTTTGAGCAACTGAAACACGTTTCACTTAATTTTTGGCGCATGCAAAATTGAACGATTATCCACGGGGCTACAGTGGGGCCTCCATAATCCCGCCTAGGACTCCGATTCGGCGAGGAGTGCTCGCCCTGAACGATCCGACTCAGCTGAGGGTGATACCGAGATACCAAGGCTTCTTGGCATCTTACCTGTTGCCGGGTTCCCAAGCGATGGCCGCAAATTGACCAGCCGAAGGAAAGAGCGAGATGCAAGATCGGACAACGGTCTTACCTGTTAGAGGGTGTGGCCTAAACATCCGCTAACCGATCAACGATCGGGCCAGAACGAGACAGCTATAGGAGCGGGAAAGAGTTGCACTAGCCGGCCATCACGGCCAAAAGCAACAAAAACCAATACCAAAACAAAAGCAACAACAACAACAACATCGATGTCGATGTCGGCCAAAGACGAGAAATAGAGGAACCGAAAGCGCGGCTTGTGATGGTTGAAAAAATTAGCACCGATCGTTGATCATTAGCTCGGGAACGGTGGCAACGCAAACACACGATCGGCGGCAGCTCACAACTCGAAACTCGAATCTTGAAACTCGCAACTCAACTCGAACCGAAAATCTCAAAAAACCTGAAAAAAGGCACGCGGATCGCGGCTGTCGCTTCTTCCTTTTAACTGATCCTTAAACAAAAAAATAAAAAAAAAACATAAAAACGCGGCGTGATCCTGAATTAAGTGAGCCTTCGACCAACTAGTGTTAACAAAAGTGCAAGATTTAAGGGCTTTTCCAACCAAGTTCAAATCAAAACCAACACAACTTCAAAAGGAGCTCTCCCACTGGATTACATCAAGAACGCCGAGTTACGGCGCGAAACATTTTTTAAAATATGTAAGTTTGTTTTGAGATGTTCAACCGAAATTTCTCTGCTGTTTGTTATTATATTTTATTATAAATAGTTTAACAAATTTTAGGGGTGCAAGGTTAAGTAAAGAATTAGAATAAATCGGATACACTGCTCTAGAAACAGTAAGCATAAAATTTTTCTTTTGATTTTTAGAGCATATATGTATATGTTTAATATATAGAAGAAAATACGAAGTATTTTAGAATTCAAGTTTTAAGTTGTTAAAAGCTATTAAAACCCAAAAACCGAAAAATACTTCTGCGAATTATTTAAAATCAATTGCTTTGTTTAATAGATCACACTATTATTAAAGACGATAGTCTTAATAAAAACTTTTGTATTTTAAAAAGTATAAAGAGTATATTATACCATAATTAATCCCGTCGGCAAAATAGGTTAAAAAAAATGTAACAATTATTACGGCTAATTTTCTTTTAAGCTATTGGGTTTTCTAAATAAATTTCTAAATTTCTGGCTAAATACAATTCATGTCTCATACGAAGCTCACATTTTTAAAATATTTAATGCTTGTGATTCATCAGACAAAATCGTCGAAATTGTTATGACTAAAGCTCTGTCACTTGTTGCTTTAAAAGTGCAATAAAACTTCATGGCTTAATTCAACTAGTATTAAAAGTCTGCAATCCCAAACTACTGACCCCAAAAACACATATGGCGCCTGAAAAGTGCACATCGCCATTTATTCGATTCTCCGAATCAAGAGCTCAGAGATCATAAAATGTCAGTGTTTGTTTCGCTTTGTGACATATGACCATAAACGTAATCAAATAGCAAATTGGCAAACCTATTTAAACGAACGTGTGAAATCCAAATGCCGAAACCAAACAAAACCACCAAACAGACACTTTTTGACACTTGTCCAAAAAAAGCGAAAAAGTGTTGACGGGCCGCCCGAAATCCAGCGGGCAAGTGACAAAATCCCCCATTAACGATCCTAATAATACCACTAATGACATAAAACAGCAGCCGAGAAGAAGGGGGCGGGAGGAGCTATATATTTCCATGGGCCGTGGGCGTGGCAGACGTTCACACGCAAATTAGTGGGGACATAAGAATTTCAACGCAGACTTTAGATATGGATTGCCGAAAAACACCAAGTTAAATCGATCTGGCCGGCCGGCAGCCAATTACGACGCATGTGAAAATTATCCTATTAAATGCAAATCAAAGATGACCATAAACAGACCGAAGGAGGCCCCCACTCCGCCCCCGCAGATCGTTTAGTACTTGACAAATGCTTACTAATTAATTACAGTTTGTACAAAATTTTAGTACGCCGCTCATAAAGTGCGCCTATCAGTGTGCCGTGCAGTGCAGAAAACAAAAGTGTGACAATCGGCGTGTACCCCCCAAAAAAAGTACAATAAATAACAGAAGCAATCCGGTTAAGGTAACCCACTTCCTTTTCTTTCGAAGGCGTGACCTTTGACATTGTCCAACGGAAATACATCCCGATTGGCTTCCCTCCTTCCGTTTGCTCGAAAAGGTTCGAATTCAGTTCGCCCCCGCAGTGTCTAAATTTAAATTCGGTTTATTTTCATGCGAAGTGGTGTGTGAAATTTAGCAAATTTGGCTTAATCGCCTCCGACGGGCTACCAGCAACTTGTCATCGGAGCCACCCGCCGGCATCCTGATCAGGTGCGAATTATAATCCTTCCGAACAAAGTGCGAATCGGAGTAGATAAATCGATGGCATAGCGAATAAATGCAAACAATCGTACACGTGTGCGATTATTTACCACGGGTTTGCGGTCAATGCTTGATAATAAAAAGAATAAAATAAGACTGTAAATACCAAAGGAGAAAAATATTTAAATAAATGATTAATACACGTATTCATTGGAGAATTATTTCAGAAAACTGATAAAAATAATTACAAAAAGAAATTTAGAGCTACACATGTAAAAAAAAGTAAACATTTTTTGTTATATATTAATTGTTAAAAGTGCAATTAAAAAAAGTGAGTCAAGAGATTAACATAATGACGGCATTGTCTTAGCTTCAGCAAAAGCTAACAAGTTTTTTAAATCACAGCTTTTGCCTTTATTTGAAACCACGTTTAATCAACGTTTATGTAAATAAAGCTATTCAATCAATTTGTCCATGCATTAACACCCAATTAAAGTGTTAAATATATATTTTCTAGAGTAATAAAAAACACTTTTTAAATTCCATTAAAGAAGGAATATATTAAATGGACCGTTTTGTGTGCAACCAATTAAAGCTTAACTACCATAATTAAATGATGGAGATATACAACTCATTTAAAATTTGGTGGTGGTTTTTCCGTGATTTAAAAAGGATTTATTAAGGCGAACCCTCCTATTAACTGAAACTCCAAGCTAAATAAATCGGATGTAACTAAGGCTTGTCGAATGTGTTTTAATTCACGACCATTAGTACGTGTTTGCCTGTACTTTTGTACATGTACTTTGAGTACGTAAGCGCCATGTTACAAAAGGTTCGCTTCGATTTCGAATAGCGCGCATATTTCATACGAAAAAAAACCCCTCAAAGCGTCTGGGTAAATATCAAAGTCACGAAATGATTCAAAAATCAACAAAGCCAACAACAAAGCGGATGGGGAAAGAGTCCAAATGCAAACGCCGAGCCGAAAACCCGTCATGGCTGCCATCAAAAGTCAAAGTATATACCCTATACCATATATACTATATGTATATATATGGTACACATCGGCAAACATTCACACACGCTGCCGCGGATGAGGAGACAACACACAAAAACGGCTTTTCATTAAGCTTAGTGATGGAGCTCAGAAGCTCCGATGCTGGGACACTGAAAAATAGAGTCTGGAGTGGCGTGGCGGTGCGGATCGATGTGGAACACAAACACGGCCATGGAATGAGCCATGTGGGCAACCATCAACCATCAGCCATCAGCCATCACCCAACAGCCATCGCCCAACACTCTGGGCCATGAAGAGTGAATTTTTATGGTGTCGTCTATTGGGGACATGAGAAAAACCCGCTGAGAATCGCGTGAAAATTAGGATAACGCGACGCAAACACGAGCTGCAAAAGCGGAAGTCTTTGAGAATCCATAAACCGAATTTATAACTTTCCGCCGAAAGATCGAAATGGTTGAACTTTGAAGTTCAACTGATTGAAATCAATTTAAAACTTTTTAATTGGATGAAAGCGTACAGATATGCGGACAGTAAAATGTCACTGCTCTTTTTTATTTGTTTTAAAAATAATAATTGCTTTTGCTTGGCTTTGCTTGAACTTTTAAAGCACAAGAAATTTCCCATAAATATTTATATATTTATTTGATTAAAATTGGAATAATTTTATGGCAAGAAAGTGCTTTAAAAATATCTGCAAAAACCAGACTAAAAGTGAGTTATTTATGAACGCTTTCAGTAATTTCCTTTCAACCACACCAATGAAAGTATAAAGCGATTTGGTTCTTTAAAAACCCCTCCATGATTGATTTCTTGATTTGCCCTTTAAACTTTAGAATCCTCCAAGGGGAACTCATCTGCTGATTGATTATAGAGTTGGTTTTATGTGGGTCTCACCTAGAACCCAAGAGAAACCTGTTCGCTTGACACCATCAAATTAAATGGTTGACAAATACGAAAGACATCAAACCGCATTCGGCTGTTGCCATTTTATGATGGAAGATGGGCCAAGACATTTCCCATAAATCAAATCTGGATCCAAGAAGCAAGAACAATCAGTCGAAGGTATTTCGGGTCGTTTCCATAAAAGAATCCTAGACGGCGGCACTTGGCCTCCAATTCGTGGCCCAATAAAGACAAACAAAACAATTAATACATTTTGTTAATTTATGATTACAAAACATTGCGAGAAACACTTTCGGTCCAGAATTTAGACATCACCCAAAACGAAGGAACCGGCACATCTGAGGGGTTTCTTCGAGGGGTTTAGGGGTTTCAAGGGGAACCGTCCCATACAAAATGACCCTGGCCCGAACCCGACGCAAAAACAGAGGTGTTTGTTGCCGCGGCCATAAATAAAAAGGGTGCCCGTTGTTTATGGCCAGCCAGCCAGCATCTCAGTCGACTCATTCTCATTCCGAATCCCCTACCCATTCCCATTTCCATTCCCAATCCCAAATCCCAGCCAGACCCACTCGCAGACGAAATGCCAGCCATGGCTAAAGTGTGCAATATAATTAAAAGCCGACAAGAGCGCTGGACGAGCATTCTTCTAATGCTCCTGGGACACTGCTGTAAAAGCATAAAGCCGACACTTCGTCAGTTTTCCGGCGGGTGATGTGGCTTTGATGTAATGCCACTGCACACTGACCACACACTCGATTGTATTCCTTATCAAACGTAGAATACAAAACTATAACCAATCTGTAATATCGCAGCCATTAATCTCTCTCTCAGTCATTTATCTCTCTTTTTAACACATAAATTTTATTTGAATTTGACAAATTATAAAATATGTATGACTTGTTTTCCAAAATTTGTAATAAATTTTATTCGTGAGAAAACAAAAATACAACATAATAATAATGCTTATAATTGTAAATTATAATTTTTATTACCATAAAAATATGGTAATTAAAACTGAAACTCTTCTATCCTTGAGTCCCATTTCATCTAATCATTATCAAACTGTGTTAAGACAGTGTAATTTTCCAATGGCTCCTAAACCGAACAAATAACGCGTTTAGCTAACAACGAGTTTTCTTGTTAACTCCAACATTAATTAACTGAAAAAATTCTTTTTAAATTCAGAGAAAGCTGAGATGTAGCCAATCATATGCAGTTATATATACGTTTAAAAAAATGAACGGATAAAATACATTCTACCAATATAATAAAATTTTAGATAACTTCCGTATACGTTTGAATAAAAAACTATGTATATAAATAAAAAAAAACTTAATAAAATCAAAATGATAAATTAAATATATTTTCCTTCTGTACTTTGCAGCTGACATGACCACATCGCACATCTTGTCCGCCGTGGATCCAACGACCGGGCTCAGTGGCAATGTGTCGGGAGGCGGTGCGGGTGGAGCCGGGGGCGGCGGTGGAGCAGGTGGCGGTGGCTCTCCGCAGCATGTGACCCACAATGGACACGGCCATGGCCACGGGATGGGCGGCGTGGTGGCGGTGACCGCAGGCGGTGCCGGCGTGTCCGGAAGTGGTGGCCATCGGGTGGTCGGCGGAGCAGGCAGTCCCAACGAGCTGGACCGCAATCTGCGCATCTCCCTGGACGATCGGGAGCTGTGGCTGCGGTTCCAGAACCTCACCAACGAGATGATCGTCACCAAAAACGGCAGGTGAGCGCCTCAAATTTTCTGGCTGCCTATTTAAATTTCGAATGTGTTAAATGGCGATGGCGGCGCATTTTGTTTTCCTATGCAAATTGGCAATGAGGTTTTGCGCTTTTGTTTTTCTGTTTCGCTGCTGCATCGGTTTTCCATGGTTTTCATCTCACTGCTCGTCGTTGGCAAGTCATAATGAAGCGTTAACGTTTTTTCAGTTCAGTTTTAAGGGGGTACACTCGAAAAAGCAAGTAGTTTACACTTTTAACAAGAAGCACACAAAAATAAGTATTGCTAAAGAGCACTAAACTTAAATATAGTTGATTCTTTTAAGATTATAATATATATTTCAGAACTAAAATATTAAATAAATTGTTTTTCAATTATTTTAAAGTTTAGTTCTGATTTAATAAACATACAAATAACAAAATGAGAAACTATATGTTTAGTTGCTTTATAAAATTATTTGTGTATTCCCTTAAAACAAATTTTAATTAGTTACATGTTTTAATGAGCCCAATTCCAATCGCTTAGATCCAGCTTAAAATCTAAAATGCCCTAAGGTTTTCAAAATCTAAGTATTTACTTAATTCAAGGCTTTAGTAATACCCAACTATATTTAGCTTAAAATGTCGTATACCGCATGAGTGAGTTTCTCTGAGTGTAAGGCTAGATCTCTACGTGTGTTTATTTACATGCCAGCATTTGTTGAAATAAGTAAAAATATTTTCCAATTTACGGGCATTCGGTGTCGGTGTGTGTGTGTGTAAGTGTGTGTGAGTGCGAGGGTTTGTGTGTGCGAAACGCGCGTTTAGAACTTGGAACCGGGCCGAGAGTCGGGTCTGCTGGCCTGGTCAGGTGCTAATTAGCACGGCCCGGCAACAGCCGCCATCTTGTACTAATTGTTGTGGAACAGAGCCCGCATGAGCGTTCCAATATTTGCCCACAACGCAATCCGGATTCCGGACCCTTCCCCACTATCCTCCATCCTCCATCCTCCTCCTCCGAATCTCCCAGGGCTTCAGGGGGTTTTGGTTTGGTTTTAAGGTTTCGGGTAGAGCCATAGGTTTGGGTCTCGGCCAAAGGCAATGGCAAAGGTAAACGATTCGTGGCAGTTGACCATTTGCGCTCACTGTTTGCCCACCATTACGAATGCACGGCGACTGTTAGGTAACTGTCATAATCGCTAATTGCAATCCCCGTTGTCACCGACAGGCGCATGTTCCCCGTGGTGAAGATCAGTGCCTCGGGTCTGGACCCCGCCGCCATGTACACCGTCCTACTGGAGTTCGTCCAGATTGACTCACATCGGTGGAAGTACGTCAACGGCGAATGGGTAAGTCAACTAACTATTTTACTCTATTTTTAGTTACTAAAAATAAAAAGCTGGCTATCCAAAGGTGTTTCCAACATGAATAAATAAATAAATAACATTAAATAAAATAAAACTACCGTAAAGCACTTTTCATGATCTTGATTTCAGTTCTTGATTCATTCATTAAAATTTTTTTTTTTTTTTTTTTTTTTTGTAAAAAAAAATCCGAATTTTTAACTATTTGGTTTAAAAAATGTTGGTTCAATTTAAATATCAGATAATGTCTAATGAAATATTTAAGAAATAAATTAATTTTGTTTTCCCCTTTAGGTTCCTGGTGGCAAGGCAGAGGTTCCCCCATCAAACCCCATTTACGTACACCCCGAGTCACCCAATTTCGGAGCTCACTGGATGAAGGAGCCCATCTCGTTTGCCAAAGTAAAGCTGACCAACAAAACCAATGGCAATGGACAGGTGATGATGATCGCTATTTAAATTAGATTCACTATTTAAACGATTTGATATTATCTTACAGATAATGCTAAATTCGCTGCACAAGTACGAGCCCCGTGTCCATTTGGTGCGTGTGGGCTCCGAGCAGCGTCACGTGGTCACGTATCCCTTCCCGGAGACGCAGTTCATCGCGGTGACGGCGTATCAGAACGAGGAGGTCACCTCGCTGAAGATCAAGTACAACCCCTTTGCGAAGGCCTTCTTGGACGCCAAGGAGCGACCGGACACGCTCTATCCGCACGACACCCACTACGGCTGGCTGATCCCGCCGCCCACTCATTATACGGCTGCAGCTGCCGCCGTGGCCGCCGCTCCACCGCTGTCCATTGCCCAGAGTCACGGGCTGGTGGGCTCGTGTCCGAGCGTTTCCTCGGCGGGATCTGTCGGATCCTCTGGGGGCGCCAGCACTTGCGATCGCTACGGAAGATCCCTGTCCACAAGGAGTGCGGCGCCCACTCGCAGTACGCCGTACAGTCGACCGAGAGTGGTCTCCGGTTCCGGATCGAACGGAAGTGTCGGCAATGCCTCGTCCACATCGCCGCAACCGCCTTCCGCTCCGCAAACGCCGACCAGTCTGCACTCCTCGTCCGCCGGATCCGTGAGCACCAGTGTGAGCAGCTCCGGTGCCGCCGGAATCGGCACCTCAGCGAGTGCCGGTTGCTTCAGCAGTTCCTACGCCCAGTCCGGCTTCATGCCGGTCGAGGCCAGTCCCACGGCCTCCGTGTTCTCCTATCCCAGCAGCTGGCAGAGCAACGGCAACTACTGGAACGCCACCAGCGTTCCGGGTCCGATGACCATGAACGTCTGCAGTGGCCGCAACATCTGTGAGTATTCCCCGGAAAAAGGAGACTTGATTCTTGTAAAAGTCTCTGAGTCCCAATCAAAGATAACCTAACTGATCACTCAACCTAATATAAACATTGTATATAGTTTGTGGCTCAGAAAAGCTTAAAGGTTCTTACAATAAAATTTCATTGTATTCATTATTGCAAAAATCACTAAGTCCTGATCCGAAAGAAGCTAGCTTATCCTTCAATTCGAGTACAACAAACACAACTTAAAGCACTTTATAACGTTTTAAATAGGTTCTTAATTAATTGGTTTGTTCCTTCAAAATAACAGAACTATATGGTTTCTTTTGTAGAAAAACCTTTTCGGAAATTATTCATGTTTATCAGTTTAATACTATAACCACATATATAATATTATCACACATATCAAGCATGATTATATAGAAAACACACAAATTTTAAGTTCATGTTAAAAAGCTATTTCTGTTAAGAAACAAATGTTAATTTCTTTTGCCTAAATATTTTTCCCATTTTAAGAGGAGACAATATTGTTATCAATTATCAATGACCCTCGATTGACCCTTTCAGCCTCCCACAACTCGCCGTCGCCGACGAACGGATCCCCGAGCTACACGACCTCCTCGCCCAGCTACACGATCCATCACCTGACGCCGCACAGCCACCAGTACAACATGACCCAGCCGGACATCTACGGAACCGGCGTGGGCCTCGGCTCCGGAGTGGGCGTGGGAGTCGGGGTAGGAGCCGGGTCCGGAGCGTCGGGATCCCCGCAAGCGGCGTACGGAGCGTCTGCCCACCAGGTCTACCATCCCACGCCCCCCTCGCCCACCCACCAGCTGTACACGAACGCCGTCCTGAATGCCCCCTCGGCTCTGAGTTATCCGGCCAGTGGGTGGCACAACGGATCGGGGGCGGAGTACGGATTGTATCAGAACGCCGCCGCCGCTGCGTACTACCAACCGGAGTATATACCCCTGGAAATCGGGTAGGTTGAATCGGGGGAGTTCGGGGGGGAACTGTGCGATCTTACCGCTAACGTAGCTATCAATGATTCCCGCGCCCAAACCCGAAATTGCAGCTATGCCAGCCATCCGTTGGAGCCCGTGGAGGTATCGAAGTCGCTGGACGATCCGCAGGCCGAGATGTACAAGCCGAGCGAGGAGCAGGGATCGGTCATCACGCTGGAGTGCGCCACCTCCACCCTGAAGACAAGCCACGACATCAAGATAGAGTCCTCGTCCCTGGAGAGGAGCAGTGTTCCCGGCGGCGCAGCGGTGGTTGCCGTGCCCACCGCCGTGGTCAGCGGTACTCCGGCCGTGAGTGCCGACACCTGGACACCCCTCACTCCGCCCCAGAGCACGATGCAGTGATTACCCGGATGCGGATGCGGATGCGAATGCGAATGCGGATTCGGATACGGATACAGTTGCAAGCCCCAGCCATTAGACGCACGACCCCATGGATGTACGATCGAATTAGATGTAAATTAGTAACGCTATTAGAAATGCACCAGCGCAATCGCACATATTGTAGAGTTATCTGTATGCTGTAAAACATTATCCTATAAAGACGTAATCAAAGTACACAACTGGATGGGTTATTTTTTATGATCCCCTTTGGGAAGCCTTTGTTTTTAATAGTTACAACATTTTGGATTTCTTCAGAAGCTGTTCGTTCTATTTTTTTTACAGAAACTAATTTCTCGCATTTCGGAAATTAGTAAAGGTCGAGGTTTTTATACCCTTGCAGAGCAAAAGGGTATTATAATTTCAGTCAGAAGTTTGCAACGCAGTGAAGGAGACACCTCAGACCCCATAAAGTATATATATTCTTGATCAGCATCACCATCTGAATCCAATTCCGTCTGTACGTCTGTCCGTCTGTCCGTCTGTCCGTCTGTCCTCCTGTCGGTTTCTATGTAAACTAGTCTCTCAGTTTTAAAGCTATCTGGCTGAAGCTTTCCCAAAAGTTGTCTAGTTGTTGCACGCAGTATATAGGTCGGAACGAGCCGGATCGGCCGACTATATCGGATAGCTCCCATACAAGGGAATGAAATTAAAAATTCTTACTCCGTTGTTTTTGATCAGATCGAATTGATTCCTTCCAGATGGCGTTTTCTAACCACTATTGAATTTCGGATTAAATTTTATCAAAATCGGATAACTCGATCATATAGCTGCCATAGGAGAGACCAGAAAATATATATATAAATAATGGAAAAAAATTATAACGTCGTTGTTTTTAATCCCACGAGCATGATTTTTGGAACATCAAGTTTTTCAAATACTCTTAAATCGAGAAAAAAATTTCAGAAAAATCGGAGTAATATATCATATAGCTGCCATAGTTTCCTATATCGAAAAATCTATATAGAAATAACGGAAACAAAATTATTACCTCGATGTTTTTCATCAGACAATCATGATTTTTGGAATATAGAGTTTTCTTATGAGTCTTGAGTTACAAATTAAATTTTATCAAAATCGGACGACTATATCATATAGCTGTCATATGAACAATATGGAAAATTAATAGAAAAATCGTCATAGATTTGATGCTGTTTAGCCGTTTTGTATTTTGTTAGACATATTGCAAGGGTATATAAGCTTCGGCTTGCCGAAGCTAGCTTCCTTTCTTGTTGATTTTGCAGATCATTTATTTTTTTCATAAAAATCGTCATATTGATTCGTAAGTTTATGAGTTTATTTCGATTTTCAGAACAGAGAAGGGAATAATTTTTCACCTTTTTTACTACCTTTTTTAAAACGAGTGCAATATTGCTGGGAAAATAAATGTGCTCGCAGTGGACTGCTGCCAGGACTTGAAACCACTTGGATCCTTGGTGTTGCACAATAAAAGTCACCCAGCCAGGGGGGCCACTGAGTGCAGTATTGCATCGTTGGAGTAAAACAAAAGATAAAGTCCTTAGTGTTCGAGGGGTCAGAGTGCTTTGCACTATTCGAAATGGCAGCTATTAAACTTGAAATCGTCTTAACAATTACCGACAATAACGATGTGAGGAGGCGAGGGACCCCCAGCTAAATCCGGGCATCCAGCTCATTGTTGGCTCCAAAGGGGTATTCAATTTAGTTTAAAACTTTGCCCCATCCTGCGGGCCACTCGCAGTCAAACAATGAAGCACTTGGCCGAGTCAGTGCCCCCGGGAGGATCTCCGGGCGGCAATCTGCCAGGACCAACCAATCCAGCCGTGAGCCCGGAATGCCCACAAAGGACCTCCGCGATAATGAGTTCGGATAACTCGCGTGTGTTGGCCGCACCGAGTGCATTAGAAAGTGGAAGGTAATGGCCACTGACTGTGCCGCCATTCACCTGAATTCCCGGACACCCGCACTACAGAAATAGTTGCTGCAATTAAAATTACACGCCGGAATCATTTGCGAAAGAATGTGCTCGCCAGGGATTCCTTTGCGGTTTGGATGAAATGGCAACACGCAGAAAAATCAATCAGGCTTAAAACACCTCAAATGCTATACAATATTTATTATAGTATTTCTCTATTATTCAAATTGTTTGAAACTTTTTTTCTAATTGGAATAAAAATTCAACTAATATAAGGTCAGCTAGCTTTGCTATTGTATAATAACTCCATAAATTAATATGCAATTCATTAGTAAGTCTACATTTAATTACCGAATAAATTGATAAGACTGTATATGCATGATACAACTTCCCCACTAGATGTAAGTCTGTTCTCACTCACCTGATAGTCCATCGAGTTGCCGTAGCCCATGTGATTGCAGGAGCAGGAACAGTGCTTGATATGTTGCTCCAGTTCGTCATCGATGACAGCGGATGTGCCTGCTGTGAGGTGACCGAGTCCTTCGTGGTGGAAGTGGACGTGCTCGAGTTCCCAGTGATCCCGTTGCCGGAAGCGAGTGTCCTTCTGTGCCTGCTGTTCGACCAATTCCACCTGATTTGCAACCTGATGTTGCTGTTGGCCAAGATGTTGCTGCTGGCTTAAAAGATGCTGTTGCTGTTGCTGATGCTGATGCTGATGCTGATGCTGCTGCTGTTGCGATTCCCCGGGCCAATCCAGCGAGGACGACTTGAACATCCTTCTGCCCGCTGTGGATTGCGTTTCCCTCGCGGGACTGTTACTCGGACTGATGTCACTGGCTTTACCGTTATCGCCGCTCTCTTGCCCTGTTAAGCTGCCGCCGCCGAGTTGAAAGAGAGCGCTGCTCTCGAAGCTTTTGGCCGCCTGATGGAAAGCTTCGTACGCAACAGTTTCGTCCTGCTCAACATCGCTGGCATTCTGGTAGCGTCGCACTGGCAGGACACCACCAGTTGCTGCTGTCACAATACCGTTACAAATACCGTTACCGTTACCAATGCCCAAGCCGTTCCCAATGGCCGCCGTTGCCGTTGGCGTTACGGTTACCGCCGAGCTGGCCGCACTGAGCATCAATCGCAGGACTTCGTTTGTATCCTTTGTGGGCAACGGTACACTGCAGGAGCCCGTTTCCGCCTCGGACACTTCCGGCGGCTCCGAGTTCATCTCGTCGGAGCCGTTCGATTCCTCGACCTCGAGCTGTTGAGTCTTTTGGCGTGCCACTATGGAGGCAGCCGTGGAATTGGCCCCGTACTTCCAGTACGTCTTTCCGGTGCCGGAGATCCTTTGCAGGTGACTACTTCCGGTCGCCTGGCGCTTCCGCTCCTGCAGCTGCTGCAGATTCTTGAAGGCCTTGCGCACCGGTTGCGTGTGATGCAGGGTGGCGCAGCGTCGCATCGGCGGCGGCGTGTATACCGGTGACACACTGTAGCTGTGCGAATGGCGTCCGGGCGACAGGGAGCCACTCGATTTGGCGCCGACCAGGCGGGCCTTCAACTTCCGCCCGAAGCCGAGACCACCGCCGTTTCCGCTTCCGCCGGCCGTACCGCTTCCGGTGCGCGAGGTCAGCGAGTGGGCGGACAGGGAGAGGGCGCGGCTGAATCGCAGGCCAGCAGCCGACCGCTGCTGCTGCTGCTGCTTCACCGCCATCAGCTGGCACTCGTCGATCGTCGGCAGCTTGAGCAGGTGCGGATGCAGCTGGGCGTAGGTGAGCGACGGCTTCGCACTGGCCGAGGGCTCCGCAACGGGATTCGGCAGCGGATCGAAAAGGTTCCGCTGGCTGAGGGCCAGAAACTCGCGCTGCTCCTCCTCCTCGAGCGCCTTCAGCGCCCGCAGGTCCCACTCCCCGGAGGACATCCTTTTTGGTTCGGATTGTATCTAACAGCTAGACCGAATGTCCAATTCAGGGTCAGCGAGGCATAGTTAACAAAGCACCTTCACTTAGGCAACATTATCTTCATGAGTCATAATGTCAAGAGGAAGGTACCTCTTTGCACAACTAAAATTTCATTCGATCATTATAGTTTAATTCAATCACTGCTGCAATTAAATTTAAAGGATATGTATGTACATATACATATATTACAAATTAAAACCTAAACGTCTAAAGTTTATTATGATGGATAATTACTTAAAATATCTAATAAAAACAAACTTGTAAGCAGTAAATAATATTATTATTAATAAAATCAATGATGTAATATTTTAAATTATAACAACTAAATAAATTATAAGCTGTTATGAAAACAGAAAAAATAAAAAAAAAACACTGATGCAAAAAGTGTAAACAATAGCTTTAAAACACAAATATTTTTTAAATTTAGGCATTTAAAGTTTATTACTACCGCTTGAAAAGTTCTCTCAATACTTGTAATGAGTATTAAGTTTTTTGTGTTTTCATCATTTTTTAGTAACTTAAACAAATAAAATATAACACGCACAATCCCGCCAATATTCCGTCACATTTTCCTGCCGATACCGAGTACGTTTACTGTTACCACCGTTACCGTTACCGCTAGCACACTGGCCTCCATATGGCTTTTACCGCTACTTTATAACGGCATTGCTAACAGCAGCAGCAACAGCTTCCGCAATAAGTGAGTGGATTCTGTGGATTGTAAGTGACCTGGCCCAACAAAAAAGTAAGGCAGTGGGTCGCCATGTTAACGCAAGTTGGTGTTTATGTTATTAAGCTGTTAAAGCTCGACAATATTAAAAACAAAACTGATTAAGGGGAGGTTCTTTTCTTTTTTTTTGAAAAAATCGATTTTTTTTTCTTTAATAAAATGAAAGTTACATATGTTTAGAATATACGTGCCAAAGGATATTTCGATTCGACGCGTATTTCTTGAGCTAGAGCGTGTCAAACATACCCATGTCACATGCGCTGTGGTACGCTCTAAAAACTTTAAGGGGGTCTTCCTATGTGACGGTTTGAAAAAATCGATTTTTTTTTTTTTTCATAAATTGATACCTTAACATGTCTAGAATACGGTAGTAAAGCGATTTTAGAAAATTCGAAGTCGTTTAAAAGATACAGCAGGTAAAAGAAAGAGCGGTTCGGAGCGCTGAGTTGGCAGTTAGAAACTTTAAACGCGTTTTTCTCAAAACTGTGTTTTTCAAACTTTCCTCCATTGTATCTCAGAAACGGCTGGACCGAATTACTTGAAATTTACAGGGCACACTCAATATATGTAAACGCATGGAATGAACTATTATCAATCGAAAATTTTCAAAACTTCGATTTTTTTATAGCAAAAAAAAACAAAAAAAAAAACGCCAAATTTGCAACTTTTTTTTCAAATGTCTATCAAAAATCCAATTTTTTTTATATTCATTTGATTGTAGTTCATTCCGTGCATTTAAGTCTACAGATTAAAACGCCGTTTACTTTTTTTTTTTCGGATAAGCCGATCAGCCGGAATCGTGGAGGAAGTGGGAGCTCCTTTTTTCGAGGCGGGGGTGTTCAGAGCGCTGTAACTCTAGTTTGACCGAATATTTTTTGCTGAAATTTTTTATTTATACTGTCCAAATATGTGTTAATAAATGATAAAAAACTTGAAGCTCTAAATATTTACTGGTCGTAGAAAAAAAATCCTAAAATAACCCTAAAAAACAGGCCGTCACATAGGAAGACCCCCTTAAACGCGTTTTTCTCGGAACCATGTTTTCAAACCTCTTGTCGCGCACAGGGGTCGTTCTATTGATCCGATTTCCTTCATTCAAAAAATTTTTGAAAGTATATACTTTTTTGTATGCCTTATACCTAAAATTGGCATAAAAAATTGTTTATTTATAATTTTTAAACGAGATCGAAGTAAAAAAAAAGTCCATTTTTTTTAAATGTCCATAAAATTGGTTTATTTTTACCAAAATTGATTCTAGTTAGGTATAAGGCATAGGAAATTCCATCAATTTTAATAAATAATTTACATTTTTAATTTCGGTTCACTACCAGCGGCCCGACACTCGACAAAGCAGAAAAATAGAGGTCTACGAGATCCGCCATTTTGAAGCCGCCATTTTGAATTTCCTGAATATTGAATTTTTTTTTAATCCTTAATAAACAACGAATCAAAAGTTCAAAAGCTTAAGTTCGTATGTCTTTTCATTTTTCCGCAATTAATTCTTAAAGTTTGCTTAATTTTCGAAAAAAAGAAAAGAACCTCCCCTTAATGCTATTTAAACAATTAACCAGAAGAGACAGAGATTTATTTAAACTATAACTTCGATCTTTAAAAGAAATTATAGAATGAAATTCTTAATTGATGATACACCACTTCCTATTTTGATATTTGTATTTGGAAATAAATATTTAAATTACTTTTTTATTTTTATTTTTATTTTTTTGGTTGCCCCTAGATATGTATGTAGCTCTATATTGAACCTGAAAGAATATCCAGCCAAGAACCATTGTTTTTATGACGAAGTTAAACCGACTTAAAGGCAAAGGTGGCCCGCAGGTGAGACCGCAGGTGACAGGGCGGCAATGAAATATGCAAGTGCATTCATTTGACATCCAAAGCAATTTCGCAGTCAGCAGGACGACACACAGCAAGTTTTGTTAACCTCAACTCAAAACAAGTGAACAAAAAGAGAGGCGATAACAACAAAAAACGAACATAACGCTAAAACAAATCAATTGGCCTTAGCAACTTAGAAAAATAGTGGGTTTGTACTGATGAACAGATGTACATATGTACAGATGAGCGCTCATTGTCAGCCTATAATTTGAAATTATTTTTATAGAATTATATTTTTTTCCAAGTGTTGACTTTCCTTGTAACTTGGCAGCGCCACCAGTTAACGGTGCAATGCATGGCCACATTTCTGCAGACCTGTGCTTGCGTACATACTATGTACATATGTACATATATGTAGGTAGTGACACATGGCACACAAGTCCTCTGAAGTGCTCATCCTTCATCCTGATGTACGGTCATCAAGAATCGGACAAGGTGCCAAAGAAGGGGAGTCGGAAGGAGGAGAGGATGTAAGCGTTTACACCGTTGCACTACCCAAATCGTGTTAATGAAATTCAAGCTGGGTCTAAAAATTTGCATTAGCACGTGCTACACTCAAATGCAAATCGTATGCAAGATACGAGGTCATCCATAATTAATAAAAAGCGGATATACTATAAGGTCCCCGGGAATATATCTTATTAAGTTAACATATGTAAATTTATATTATATAATTTACAGATTATAAATCTAAATTTCTTATCTTAAATAACCAATTGAAAAGGTTTTGTTATAAAATAATAAATAGCTCTGCAAACAGAACATTTTGTTGAAATGCTGTTTTCAAACAAAACATAGTATTCTGCTTAGACCTTGGATCTGATTGTTGTACACGTATAAACGTTTTTATGAATAAAAATTAGATATTAATCAAAAAATAGGCCTGGCCCTAGAAATTAAAAGAGCCATGGAAAAGCCCGTCTTTAAAGTACATACATATATCGCTGTCGGAGTCAAGCCATAATTTCCCAGAAACATGTTGGCCAGCCACGCCCATGCCCTCGACTGCAGTTCCCTGCCACAGAGGATGTCAGAAGTCAAGATCGAAAACAAGCGAAAGTTGTAGCAAGCTCTTCTGTTGCCGGTCTGCGTTTAATTTCTTTCATAAGGACATTGAAGTCAGTGAGCCGAAATCGAACAGACCTCTTGTTCTGGCCAGATGGCAAACTTTGGCTGGAAAGCCAGGACCATCTGCGTTGCATGTTGTGCCATACAACCAAAATCGGGGCCAAGCCAAACTTTATTGAATAAAAATTTATTTCATATTTCTGTTGTTTTTATCCCTCTTGCTTGAAGATAATTGGTAGAGAATTAAACGGGAATCGGTTTGGTAAGCTTAGCTTTATCTGTTTTTATGCATGACGCCGTCTCTGTTTCCTTGATACAAAATATACAAATTTAACATTATTTTTAATCCCCTTACAGGTTTACCACTAGTATTTTGAACTCAATTAAAAATTTTCCTTTTTGAAAATTGAATACTATTCAGAAAGAGAAATTCACACAAGGCTAGTGGATTCTAGAGGCTTGCAATCACATCCCAAATACTTGGCAACCGTTGGGGCGACAAGACAAAAATTCATTAAACAATTTCAAACTGCATATTTGTCATGGGCTTTTCGACCCGCGGGTGCACTTGTCCCGGTGGATATTTCGATGTTTTGGTCCCATAGCACACAATGCTCCCAAAATGCCCTGATTTATTGCCTGGGTGCCATGCAGACATTTGCTTTCAGGCCAGCACCTTTCGAAGCATTCGGTGCTTTTCACACGCCATCGGATAGCTGAATGTCAACAAGAGAGTTTTGTTTAAATAAAAACGGGGGGAAAACTGTGAGATTCAAACTTATACTTTCCTTTAAACCTTTTGCACATCTTAGATTTTATTGGAATTATTCATTGAATAAAGAGTCACATTATGAATGTTTCAATTTTTATTCGTTTTCAATTCATGTAGTACTTTACACATTTTTGATTAATATATATATGTATGTACATTCATATACATATGTATGTATTCAACTTGTGTTATAAGAAGCCTTAGTTAATAAAGAAAAAAACAAATACAAGTTTTCTGAGAATTGACCAAATTAAAGGAGTTTTCAATAGTTCGTCAAAAAGTTGTTCTTGGGTGGTTATTTTTCTACAAAACGAAAGAGCTCTTACTTAATTGTCAGGTAAAGATTTTCGAATTTCTCCTGGGAAGTTAACAAAGGCGATTTTCCAACAACTTCATAAAATTCCTTACTAGTCATCGATGTGTAATTAATGTGGCTTAAAAGCCGCTTTTTATAATTCGAAGGCATTTCTTCTTCAGATTCTTCTTCGTCACCCCCATCCGAATTTTCGGTTTTTTCGGTGTAAGATTGAACCATCCTGAACCGTTCGACTTCTGGCAAGGCTCCTTGAATAGCTTTGAAGTAATATTCAAAGGCTTTTGAGTCCATACAGAGAGCATCGTAGCAATTCAACGAAGCTGGAAAGCGTTCTATCAAATTCTGCCAAAAAAGTTGGATTTGTTAAAAATATGTACATACATATATAACATATATCAGCACTAAATTGCTGAGTTACTCACATATTTGGACACAACCAAGAGCTCATTATTGTTAAGTTTGACTGAGAACTCAAAAAGGTTGAGAAGACCAGTAAACTCGATACTTTCAGCGCGCTTCGTGAGGAGTTCCATACAGACTGAGGTAAGTGATTTTACAAGCCATTTGGATCCACACTCGAAGAGCTCCATAATCGTGGAGTCTGAATACTTATCAAAATCCTTTACGTTCTTGGTATAGGCATAACGAATAAACTTGTAAAAAGTTTCCGAACTAACGTCGTTCAACAAATATGCGCCATTTCCTAAATTTGGGCTTTTCAGGAGCAATCCCTCGAAAAATCCAGATATACCAGCCAGAATAATTTTGTGGCAATTATAAATGTATGGCTCCACCTGAATGCGGCAATCAGAAAACTTTTTTGCCTCGAAAAGTTTTAGGTAATCCTGATCATTCCTAAAAAAGTGCAGCTTTTGAGTAAAAGAAAATTCTAAATTCGTCTAAACGAAAGCTTACATCTTAATTTTATATCCTTTTATGGCTTGGAATATATGTATGTAGACCTATAATAATTATAAATTTTTATGTTAATTATAGTTTATGAATTAAACAAACTTAAATTTAAAAAAACTTAATTTGTGTGTATATACATATGTACATACATTAACTCCGTGAACTTAAAATACGACTCATTCTGAAATTTCTTGGGAAATATTCAATTTCTGGGAATCCACTTTTTAATAAGAAATTTTCACTTCTGCTAGTCGGTTTGTTATGCACAGGCAGTTGTGTATATGTATGTACATATATACACGAAAATTTATTTAGCACTCTTACTTAAACGATTTTGAACACAAGCACAGCTGTTCTGCTTAATTTTTTAATATGTAAATGGCTTTTGTAACAAAAAAAAATTTAAATATATGCGTTACTTACAACCTTCGATTCTCGAGTTTTTCCAAAATGATCTAAGTTTAAAGGGTCAATCGATAAAGAAGACAATTTTTTGACTAAGTCTTATCGATTATTCTTAAGAAGTTCGATTTTAGAATAGTAGTTCATTTTCACTATTCTTTTCTATATATTTTAACTATTATATATGTATACTTCAACGCTGTGCTCAGTAGGATATTCTTACTTATACAATTTTTCTTTTTGGTTTCGGATAATTTTTATTTCTTAAATACTTAGTTCGCTAATCAAGGTGTGAAAATTCTAAACATGTTCAGCCTAAAAGAGTTTGCTAAGCAACTAATGTTAATAGGAAAATCTATCAAAACAAAAACAATATTATAACTAAAATAAATACATCATAATATAAATATTATAGCTCCGACTTCAATTAATTGCGAAATGTAGCCATTATTCTGATCCTTAAAAATATTTTATACAAGTTATCCAATTCCAGTTCCTGAAAAGTCACTAATTTGTAGTTATCAAAAGAACCAATGGTTCACCTCAGGGCTCCAATCGCTTGAACTTGACAGACGTCAAAATCATATCGTGAGTTGGCACATTTTTAAAAAGACGTTCGGGATAATTTTAACTAACTGGGATTGCATGATATACGAATGGCGGCTCCCCAGCAGGACGATGAGCGCGTTAAGGCGCTGACCCAATACCGCACCAAGCTTCTCGAGCACCGTGAGATCGAGTCGCGGTTGAAGGCTTTAAGGGACAAGCACAAGGAGCTAAGTGCCCAGTACGAGAAGTCCGAGGAGAACCTGAAGGCGCTGCAGAGCGTTGGCCAGATGCTCGGGGAGATCCTAAAGCAGCTAACCCCGGACAACTTTATCGTGAAGGCCTCGAATGGTCCGCGCTACGTGGTCGGCTGTCGCCGGCAAATTAACAAGGAGAAGCTGAAGGCCGGCACTCGGGTCGCCCTTGATGTGACCACCCTGACCATCATGCGCTACCTGCCGCGGGAGGTGGACCCCCTCGTCTACAACATGACCCACGAGGATCCGGGCAACGTGAACTATGCCGAAATCGGAGGACTGGGCGAGCAGATCCGCGAGCTGCGCGAGGTCATCGAGCTGCCACTGCTCAATCCGGATATCTTCGTGCGCGTCGGCATCCATCCGCCGAAAGGATGTCTTCTTTACGGGCCACCCGGCACCGGGAAAACCCTTCTGGCCCGCGCCATCGCCTCTCAGATGGACGCCAACTTCCTCAAGGTAAGCTTTTCGCAATTCTGACGTCAGCACAAATCAATGTTCTGCAATTTTTTTGTACAGAGCATAGAAAATTCTACTTAAGGAATCTGATGAGTTAAAGTTTGGTCGAAAAAATAATATTAAGTTTACTTATCACTTGCTTTTTTGGCAGTTTAATGGCATAGTGTTTTCATTATGATTCTATGATTAAAATTATGAAAAACGTATAAACAAAACTAATCTATGCAGTTAATCGAAAAATTTTTGTTTACATTGTTTAAACTAACTTTTCTTAAACTCTTATTCCTAAACGCACAAGTTGTGGAAACCAATTATAAACATTTCTATATAATCCTAAACTTAAACCATTTCTTACAATCCCCCTCAAAGGTGGTTTCTTCGGCCATCGTGGACAAGTACATTGGCGAGAGTGCCCGGCTAATCCGCGAGATGTTCGCCTATGCCCGTGACCACCAGCCGTGCATTATTTTCATGGACGAGATCGATGCCATCGGAGGCCGACGATTCTCAGAGGGAACCTCCGCCGATCGCGAGATTCAGCGTACGCTTATGGAGCTGCTCAACCAGATGGACGGCTTCGACGCCCTGGGCCAGGTGAAGATGATCATGGCCACCAATCGGCCGGACACACTCGATCCTGCCCTGCTGCGTCCTGGGCGTCTGGATCGTAAGCTCGAGATTCCGCTGCCCAACGAGGTGGCCCGCATGGACATCCTCAAGATTCACGCGGGACCGCTGTCCAAGCGCGGGGAAATCGACTACGAGGCGGTGGTCAAGCTGTCGGATATGTTCAATGGCGCCGATCTGCGGAACATTTGCACGGAGGCCGGTCTCTTCGCCCTGCGATCCGATCGGGAGTACGTCGTGCAGGAGGACTTCATGAAGGCCGTCCGCAAAATTGCCGACAACAAGAAGTTGGAGTCCAAATTGGACTACAAGCCCATCTAGAAACCAATTTAATGTTTTAAATATTATCCAAGTATAAGGTTAATTACTGTTTCACACGCCAACAAGAGAGTTTTGTTTAAATAAAAACGGGGGGAAAACTGTGAAATTCAAACTTATACTTTCCTTTAAACCTTTTGCACATCTTAGATTTTATTGGAATTATTCATTGAATAAAGAGTCATATTAAGAATGTTTCAATTTTTATTCGTTTTCAATTCATGTAGTACTTTACGCATTTTTGATTAATATATATATGTATGTATTCAACTTGTGTTATAAGAAGCCTTAGTTAATAAAGAAAAAACAAATACAAGTTTTCTGAGAATTGACCAAATTAAAGGAGTTTTCAATAGTTCGTCAAAAAGTTGTTCTTGGGTGGTTATTTTTCTACAAAACGAAAGAGCTCTTACTTAATTGTCAGGTAAAGATTTTCGAATTTCTCCTGGGAAGTTAACAAAGGCGATTTTCCAACAACTTCATAAAATTCCTTACTAGTCATCGATGTGTAATTAATGTGGCTTAAAAGCCGCTTTTTATAATTCGAAGGCCTTTATTCTTCACATTTCTCGTCGCCACCCCCATCCGAATTTTCGGTTTTTTCGGTGTAAGATTGAACCATCCTGAACCGTTCGACTTCTGGCAAGGCTCCTTGAATAGCTTTGAAGTAATATTCAAAGGCTTTTGAGTCCATACAGAGAGCATCGTAGCAATTCAACGAAGCTGGAAAGCGTTCTATCAAATTCTGCCAAAAAAGTAGGGTTTGTTCACACATACATATAAAATATATATTCATTGTAAATCACTAAGTTACTCACATATTTTGACTCAACCAAGAGGTCATTATTGTTAAGTTTGACTGAGAACTCAAAAAGGTTGAGAAGACCATCACACGCCATACTTTCAGCGCGCTTCTTGAGGAGTTCCATACAGACTGAGGCAAGTTGTTTTACGAGCCATTTGGATCCGCACTCGAAGAGCTCCATTATCGTGGAGTCTGAATACTTATCAAAATCCTTTACGTTCTTGGTATAGGCATAACGAATAAACTTACAAAAAGTTTCCGTACTAACGTCGTTCAACAAATATGCGCCATTTTCTAAATTTGGGCTTTTCAGGAGCAATCCTTCGAAAAATTCTGATATACCAGCCAGAATAATTTTGTGGCAATAATGAGTGTATGGCTCCACCTGAATGCGGCAATCAGAAAACTTTTTTGCATTGAGAAGTTTCAGATAATCTTGGTCAGTCCTAAAAAAAGTGCAGCTTTTGAGTAAAAGAAAATTCTTACACTTAGACCAAAGCTTACATCTTAATTGTATATCCTTTTATGGCTTGGAATATATGTATATGTATAGTTGCTTAGACCTATAATAAATTATAAATTTGTATGTTAATTAAAGTTTATGAATTGAACAAATTTAAATTTAATAAACCGCATTTGTATGTACATATATATGTACATTACTCTGTGAACCTAAAATATGACTCATATGTAGGTATGTATTATTAATTATAGTTTATGAATTGAACAAACTTAAATTGAATAAACTAAATTTGTATGTACATACATATATAAATTCATTGACTCGGTGAACTTAAAATACGACTTATACAGAATTTTTTTTTGGAAATACTCGATTTCTGGGAATCCTCTTTTTAATAAGAAATTTTCACTTCTTCGGTTTGTTATACACAGGCAGTTGTGTATATGTATGTACATATATACACGAAAATTTATTTAGCACTCTTACTTAAACGATTTTGAACACAAGCACAGCTGTTCTGCTTTATTTTCTTAATATGTAAATGGCTTATGTAACAAAAAAAAATTTAAATATATGCGTTACTTACAACCTTCGATTCTCGAGTTTTTCCAAAATGATCTAAGTTTAAAGGGTCAATCGATAACGAATACAATTTTTTGACTAAGTCTTATCGATTATTCTTAAGAAGTTCGATTTAAGAATAGTAGTTCATTTTCACTATTATTTTCGATATATTTTAACTATTATATATACTTCAACGCTGCGCTCGGTAAGATATTCTTACTTATGTATACAATTTTTCTTTTTGGTTTCGGATATTTTTTACTTCTTAAATACATAGTTCGCTAATCAAGGTGTGAAAATTCTCTAAAAATTCTAAGCAACTAATGTTAATAGGAAACCTTATTAAAGTAGAAACAATATTATAACTACGACTTCAAACAATTAATTTCAAAACGTAGCCAGAAAAATTCCTTATACTTACACGATCTCTAATTCCAGTTCCCGAAAAAATCGTTAGCTTGTAGTTCTCAAAGGAACCAATTGTTCACCTCAGGGCTTAAATCGCTTTAAGGGGGTGATATCCAGTTGCAATTTTAAAAAAATCGAATTTTTTTTCCCCCGATTTTGAATGTATTTATGTATATTTAAGAATGTTGTCTGAAAATTTCAAAGTAATCCGGTAAATTATTTCGGAGTAATGATCGTATTTGTAAAGACAACTCCGACGAATGTAGTTCAATTAGAAGCCAAAACTTTAAATGCGTTGACGCCGATCTAAATCCCAAGGATTTGCCTTGGAACAGACTACATTATCCGTTCCGCGACATGCGTTTTTCTCGAAACTATGTTTTCAAAGTCGTTGAGGAAAATTTCTCCGATACGGCTTGATCGATTGACTTGAAATTTTCACAGGCTCTTTTTAGATATTTTTGGGTCCGACAAAATTTCGTTTTTTTTTTTGTCACTTGAAAGCTTTAATTTTTGTGCAAAAAACAAAGTTTTATGTTTGGGAAGTTGCCATTTTTTCTAAAATCCAAATTTTGAAAATTCCCCGCGTCTTTATCATAATTTGTCTATCCTTTACGTAATCCTTTTGGTTTTTTCTATTTCTGATAATTTGGATCAGAGATATCTTCGTACCCTATATACGAACCCTTTACTTAAATGAAGTCAAAATCATAACGTGAAATTGTTCATTATGTTTACCTAAAACGGTTTGTTTTTAAGAATAAAACTAAATATTGGGCGGAAGTCGATGAAAGCTTTAATTAAGTAAGGAAAGCTGAAGAACGATTGTAGAAATAAATGTAGTTGGACTAAAAAAAAAAATAGTAAAACCTAATCGGTTTACATCGTCAATCATTTTCGATAAAAGAATAAAATCTGTATATTTTTGCAACGTTTATTATTCTATCTTTGAAAAAAGCATATTTTACGTGTTATAATCTTCACATTCAATTGCTGTATTTTTTCAATTTCTGGCACTAGGTAGAACAAGCTCCGTAAGAGGTTTGCGTTGCGATGCAGCTCTGTGAGCCAACGTTAAAGTACATGGTGTCATTACAAGCGATGGTGACGCCCTCCCGACCATCGACGCACTCGATATACTTCTGGCATCCTTCGTCCTGGGCGACCACGTAGCCATCCTTCTTGCCGTCGCACCGATCGAAGTCGCACTTCTGGTTCTCGCGGGGAACGCACGCCTGTCGCTCCTGGCTGAAGAAGTAGTCCTCGCTGCACTGCTGGTAGGTGGGATCGGGATCGGGCACGCCGGAGCCCAGATCCCGGCAGTAGTAGTAGCCGCGACAGGTGGCGTTATCCGAGACGAACTTGTTGCGGTAGGCCAGCTTCTTGGTGCCACATGCGTCCTCCGGCAGCGGATGTTTGTCGCATACGACTAGCTTTTTGTCAATGCAAGTGGCCGTGGCAACGTCGAAATATTTGCCAGCATCGCAGGTCTTCGGATCCAAGGCTCCCTTGCTGGTGCAGACGAAGTACTTGTTGCAGTTGTCCTCGTCGCGGAAGTACGTCTTCACGGGCACAATGTCGCACATCTCGTAGGTGGCAGTGCAATCGGTGTGCTCGGGATAGACGCACATTCCCTTTTCTTTATCGAAGACCATGCCCCCGTCGCAAGCTCCCTGGCCCTTCAGGTCTTTACCATCGCAGTAGTACCAGTTGGCGCAGTTCCTGGTATCGCCCACATAGCCCTTAATGGAGGCCTTGCAAATATTGCTTGTGCTGCAGTAGGAGGAACTGTCCGAACTCTTGTAGCACTTGCCCTCCGAGAGACTGAAGTACGGAGTGGTGCCGGAACAACTGCCGCCATCCGTAGACACAGAGTCCTGGCACACAATCTTCTCGTTGCAGGTGCCCGGCTTGCGGAGTACTGTTCCACTCTTAAACAGCCGACAGATGTCCTCGGAGGAGGAGCCCAAGTAGAGCGTTTGACTGCTCAGGCCGACCATTAGGACCAGCAGCGCGGCCAACAGGATTGATGAACTTGAGAGTTCTGAAATGGTTTACTCATATTACTTTTCGCTTTCAAAGCTCCACGATTCGGTTGACAACACCTCGCATTTTGAAATCGGCCACCCGTCACCTTCTGTTTAGTAATTGAACTAACTTTAAACAGGTGCAAAATGGGCTTTTTATAGAAGCCTTAGTGCTCAAGTGACAAATAACAGATATTCCCAATCGGATGACATTAATTTACTACACCGAAAGATGATAAGATTTGGCTTATGTCACGCATAGATTTTGGTGGTTTTCCAATTAAATTTTTTGGTAACTTCAGTTTATATATAAACACTGATAAGTTTACGTATTTTCCTAAAAATAAATGTATATTTAATGATGTTCTTTTAACAAATATATTTGCAACACCTGCAAATTGAAATTGACTTTTATGTTTGAGTTAAACTTTTTTTTGTATGTGTGCTAACTTAATCGAAAGGGTGAGCAAATTTTCGGCGTAAGAATTTAATCGATAAGCTCAATAGGAACATGTATTGTTAATTAAATTGACGAATCAATAACTAAAAATACTCTATCGTTTCAATTGAGTTTCCAGTTATTAATACAATAATTACAAAACTCATAATGGCTTTAAAAATATGTCACAAAATAAAATATAACATTAAAAGAGTAAAAATATGTAGTTCTGAGTCTGTGTAGATTTTTATACCCTTGCAGAGAGTATTTTAATTTTAGTCAGAAGCCCCATAAAGAATATACGTTCTTGGTCAGCATCAAGATCTGATTCAAACTAGACGTGTACGGCTGTCTGTCTGTTTATATAAAAACGAAACTCTTATTTAAAGCATGTTGTATTTTAATTCTCTAACTAACTGCATCATTAGTATATTTTATATTTTTTTTAACTTTAAATTATCTGGTATCAGTTCAGTTATGATTGATTTCTTAGATTTAGGGAAGTTATATGTAATTAATTTTTTTTGCTTGCGAATTCTATAAAACAAAACATCCTTAACGAGATTAGTTTTAGTTTTTAGGCGACAACTGTCGTCTTCTCCACACTCAATTAAAATGTATTGCCTGTTAAATCTTGCGACACTTTTCGTCTCGGCACTATAATAAGTGTAATTCCATTGATGACGAATCAAAGTTGTTTACTTATTCTGATCTGTAGTAAATACCCGGTCAGAGTCACGATTGCACTTGGCTGGCTTCTCCCAGCAACGCGGCTGCCACTTGCACTCACAACTTGTTGAATTGCGTTCACTTTGTCTTTTAAAATCATTTTCGATATCTTGGTTTTCAGGTATTCTGGGGACACAGTTGAAGTTGAAGTTGGCTTTGCTTGCGACACTCTGCTGATTGTTTCTTATCAAAAGCACTGATTTCGAATGGTGCTAGAGTTGAAATGAGCGGGTTTCCTTGGTATATCTATGCACCAATCGATCTCAGTTCTTCGATTCGAAGGCTTCTGTGTGGATTCCTGATTCTTGATACCCATCCTGCCGATTTCGGGATCGAGGGCCCAGAACTGAAAGCCGTGCTTTCAACGATCGGTTGCGAGGCGAGGTTCGCTGATGACTGTGTATATCACAGGCGCGACCTCTGTTTAAATCCGAGAAACCTGTTACACCTGAGAAGATATTCATAATAGAGGCTGTATGGGTGCGATGGCAGATCCACTCATATTTCCGATGGGCCCCCTTTTGTGCCCCTTATGAAGTCAGACGATGGGCGAGCGGTGTAATGGACACCGAAGAAGAGTCTAAGCCTTTCCATCCAACTCAACTACAACTTTTGCTCTCCTTTCTACCATTTGGGTCTCCGCCAGTTGGGTAATTTAATTCAAGCGTACTTGGCCAGCATTTGAATAATTAGAATTGCGCTGTCTTGAGTTTCATCTTCACTCGCGAGCAGGAAGCCTCTCACCGCAGTCTTTGGCGAAATGTGTCTCGTTCTTCAGTCTTCTGGGTCCATAATAACAGTACTTGCTTGTCATGAACCGATTGCATTTCCCTGACAAATAGACCTCCCTCTACTTCCATCACTCCCCCTTCCGAGATTGAAACCCATTGGTGAGTAGTGGCCCAAGTGAAATGACAGGAAAAAGTAATTTCCCCCATTGAATTTCGCATCCGAGCTAAGAGCGCATCTCCCTCTAAGATGACAAGTTGAAATGCTATTTCAGTGCTTTGTTCTTGTTTCTTATCGGCAAATTTGAGTCGGTGAGATTGCATTCAATTCCAGGAATTAAAGAAATAGACCTATGTCTACTTTTTGATAGCAGCATTTAAAAGTTCTCTACAATCGCAAAACCATGGAATTTGTGAATGGAAGTAAGGTCTCTGCGGGGTGTGACTTAAATATAAAATGGCCACTTTTTTAAGACAAAACCGAATTTTTTAAATCTGGATTTCTTTTTAAAAATCTTACATATGTATTTATTTTATAAAATTTTTTAGTCACTTATTATTTTATTTATATATGAAATATGTGGAGTCAAAGTACAAAAACATGTAAATCAAACACTAACGAAACAAAGGATAAGTAATATTGAACAGAAAAAACCTTATTTTATGAGTTGATTTTTTGAAACGTAAAGCACACAATACATAAATAAAAATACAATGAACTAATTACCTTACTGGCTTTTGTAAAAATAAATCAAGTATCCCAAAGTCGATCATTATGCGTAGTGCTCGGAAGTCTATCGAATTTCTGGCACTTCATTTTGAGCGACAATAAACGTCATTTAATTTGAAGTGGCAATAGAGCGATCCGAATGATTAGGTGTTCGATTTGGCGCTTATCGAGGAGCGTGCGGGAACAAAAAAATTAGACAGACGCCGGGGCGGTAACCATTCAGCAGTTGAGAATCCGCGCAACTATTTGGATTCCCTTTTTTGTGGTGCAGGTCGTGTGATAAGAAGCCCAGAACTTCAGAGAGAAACCCACACACAAACAACCACCTACCTACCATAATTACAATTGCGATAACGAGTGGCGCAAACAAATCAGTTGTCGAACTAATCGAGAGATAGATTTGGTGATTGGTATTATCAGAAGATTGACTACCGATTCCAGGCAGCCAAAGCAGTTAAATGGTGCCACTTGGCCAGGTTTGCCACTTAGTCGTTCGCGAATTTCGGACTACTTCAAATAGGACAACTTCGATCGGTTGAAATGCGGAAAGTCAATGGAAGTGGTTAGTGATCAAATGGAATCCAGCTTCAGTTTTCCCACAAAAATACGCTTTACTCTTGTAGGCTTTCGGATAGTTCTCCTGCTGAGCGTTCTGCAGATTGCTGTTGGCCAGCTGGCAAGCGTTTGCCTTCTCGAAGAGGACGGCACTCGCCTCCCGCTGGCCACCCACTGTGCCCGCTTTGTGGTCTGCCAGAGGGGTGAGGTCGCCATCATTGGCAGCTGTCCGCGGGGTCTTCACTTCAATCGGGAGCTGCGGGAGTGCGATTTCCAGTGGCGAGCCAATTGCCTGGGACTCTCGGCCTTCGCCGCAGAGGATGATCAGTGCACCTGCGACTGCTGTGCCGAGGAGTGCCAGGATGCCATCGAGGAGATTGAGGAGACGACGACAACCGACTGTGATCCGGACACGCCCACTTCGGTGACATCGGATCCCTCCGATTCCACGGATCCCACGGATTCCCCGGCTCCCTCGGACTCCACCGATTCCACGGACGAGACCACGGAGTACGATGACGCGAGCAACTCCTCCAACACGACTCCTTCGACTCCTTCGGGCGTGGTGCCCTCGAATTGCAAGAGTTCTCGCACGGATTGCGTGGACAAGCCAACCGGCACCTACGTGGAGTTGCCCGGAATCTGTGTGAGCTTCCTGCAGTGCAACGACAGGTGCGCCGAGGAGTTCACATGTCCATCGGGTCTGTACTTTAATAAGAATACAAACGATTGCGATTACTGGTGGGTGGTGGACTGCACCCCCACCGCCGATGCCTCCGATGAGGTGGTAGGTCCCTCGGGAACCACCTGCTCCAGCCAGGGGGTGTGCAGAGGCCAGAAGGACGGAGCCATGCTCAAGGACCCGGACTCGAACGGATACTTTGTGTGCCAGTGCCAGTGCCCCATTGCGATGCCCTGCTCCGAGGAGCTGACCTTCAACCAGACCGCCCAAGTCTGCGATTGGAAGAGGAATGCGAGTAATTCGGATAATGATGGGGAAGGTGCTGCCTCCTCCCGGGTTGTGTGTCCCGATGGCCTGGTGTACAATGCCACCGCGGATCAGTGCGACTGGCCGGTCAACTATGTGCCCGAGGTGCCGTGCAATTCGACGAGCAGCGTGTGCCAAAATCAGCCGGAGGGCGAGCTCTTCGCGGTGGAGGGCAAGTGCAACATGTTCTACAAGTGCAACTTCAACTGCGCCGTGGAGCAGTACTGTCCGGACAACCTGGTCTACGATCCTGATATCGAAGAGTGCACCTATCCGCAGTTCTACGATTGCCCGTGGGAATACACCCGTCCATCGGGTCCAAGTGCCGGTCCCTCGGGAATCGCCTGCGAGGCAAACGGGCGCTGTTCAGGCAAACCCGAGGGCACCTACCTGCCCTCCACCACCGACTGCGGCAGCTTCTCCGTCTGCCAGTGCGAGTGCGAGGTGGAGATGGAGTGTCCCGAGGGGTTGTACTGGGACCAGGAGATGGAGACCTGCAACTACGAGACAGACGTGGCCTGCTCGCTTTAACTGCGCGGTTGTCGAATAAAGCAAATCACTATCAGAAAATTGAAACCGATAAGCAAATCAACTGGCTTTTAATCGGCTTCTTTATGAATGGAGCTCGGGGTGGGTAAATCACCCTAATCATTAATCAGGCGGACTCAGTCCAGCAGATGGTGGCACTCCATCATAAAGAGTGGCATACACTCAACGATTAGAAGTACCCTTTGATTAATATAATAAGGGGTATACTTTAAGTAGTCTCTTTAACGCTGCGCAACTAATCATAATTAAACAATTACTTTAACAAGTTAGCAAATTCCTTTTTTTTCGTTTTATCATTATTTTTTATCGCTTAAAAATCAATGAGTCTAATACTTCCCTTAATTTTGATCTGTACAGCATTTTACTTTTGTAAGATAAGAAGGAAATAATATTAACAGTATGGCGCCATAAATTGTTTTAGTTTTCATTTTGATAAGACTTAAAATCCTGATAGAAGTCTTCTTACGAAAATTTGTTTTTTTTTTTAACATTTTTAAAACTGTGGGTTTTTTAAAAGGATAAAAAATTTTCTTTTGTTTGTAAAGTATAAGTATACTTTGCACCGAAGTCAAAATACACTACCACCCAAAACACTTTCAATTAGGTTCTCCTCCAAATATTTCTTTCTTTTTTTTTGGTGGAAGTGGAAATATGTTTGCAGAAATTGCAGAGGAAGCATGACAGATATTTCCTTCTGCACTCTGCCAGTTCACGGATTCTCCGCTCTCCGCTGGGTTTTATAAATAGTGACAATATCAATTGCTTGTATAACTACTGTAAATATATGCTGATAATATCGCGAAAGATTTCACAGTATCACCGGCACATGCTGTGAAGCAGGAAAAGGCATTTCATTATTTTAATTGCCGGTAAATATAAAAGGAGATATGGACCGAAGAGTCATCAGTGAGCGTTGGAAATGCGCAGTGCAAAGATGGCTCAATCCAGAAGAAAACATTATGGTAAGACTAGACTTTCAAACACACCATGGATGGATCTTAAACCCGAGCTTCCCCCCAGGAGTTTCCCTGTGCCTCGTGATCTCCCTTTTTGTGGGTTCTCTAAACGCCGAGTGTTGCAAGGAGGGCGAGACGAAGGTCGATGAGGAGGACTGCACCAAGTATCAAGTCTGCTGCCATGGCGAGTTCGTGTCCAAGTCCTGCGGAAGTGGCGACTACTGGAACTCGGAAATCGAACTCTGCGAGAAGGACAGTGGCCAGTGCCAAGCGCCAAGTTGCAAATGTGGAGAAATCGAACCAAATCCCGACGATTGTGCAGGTTATTTGGAGTGTGTGAACGGCACTTGGGTAAATCAAATTTGTTCGGATGGAAACTACTTCAATTCGACCCAGAACAAGTGCGTTGTGGACACGTGTGGAGTTTGCGTTAATTGCACTGAGGGAAACGAAAAGGAGGATCCCAATGATTGTGCCAGCTTTCTGATTTGCCTCAATGGCAAATACGTGTCCAAGTCCTGTCCCAGCGGAGAGTACTGGGATTCCGAGATCGGGAAGTGTGAATTGGACGAGGGTCAGTGCAATCCCACTCCACCCTGCAAGGAGGGGGAAACCGAGGTGGATCCCACGGATTGTGCGGGTTACTTGATCTGTTCGAATGGAATCCTTTATCCACAGAGTTGCCCCGAAAGAGCTTATTTCAATGAAACCTATAAGACCTGCATTCCCGATGAGAAGGGAGTTTGCCTGAATTGCACAGAGGGATCCTTGGAACCGGAGCCATCTGACTGCACCAAGTTCAAGGTTTGCACAGGTGGAAAGTATGTCACAAAGTCTTGTGATGACGGGGATTACTGGAACAACAAGACGAAGGTTTGTGAGAAAGATAATGGTCAATGCAATGGCAATGGATCTAATTGCACTGAAGGCGTTATCGAAGAAGATCCTAACAATTGTGCTGGTTACCTGATCTGTTCGAATGGCAGTCTGGTGGAAAAGCAGTGTGCCGACGGAGCTTACTTCAATAATTCCACTCAAACCTGCATTCCCGATGAGAAGGGAGTCTGCCTGAATTGCACGGAGGGAACCTTGGAGCCCGAACCATCCGACTGTACCAAGTACAAGGTTTGCACAGGTGGAAAGTATGTTACAAAGTCCTGCGATGACGGAGATTACTGGAACAACCAGACGAAGCTTTGTGAGGAAGACAAGGGTCAATGCAATGGCAATTCATCCTCATGTACTGAAGGCGAACTCGAAAGAGATACTTCAGATTGCGCTGGTTACCTGATCTGTTCGAATGGAAGCCTCGTGGCAAAGAAGTGCCCTGACGGAGCTTACTTCAATACGACCCTGAAGACTTGTGTCCAGGACACCGATGGAGTCTGTCTGAATTGCACCGAGGGCGCGAAGAAGGCCGAGCCCAGCGACTGTGCCAAGTACCAGATCTGCGCCGGTGGAAAGTACCAGGTGATGTCCTGTGCCAGCGGCGAGTACTGGAATAACAAGTCCACCATCTGCGAGAAGGACAATGGCGAGTGCCACGGCAACGCCACCTGCACTGAGGGTGCGGTGAGGGAGAACCCCGCCGATTGCACCGGTTATCTGGAGTGCATACACGGCGACTATGTGGCCAGGCAGTGTTCCGCGAAGGAGTTCTTCAATGCCACGTCGAAGGAGTGCGAGGTGGACACGGATGGCGTGTGTATACCCAAGACCTGTGATCCCGATTGCTGCGACGTGCCCAACAACTCCATCTGGCCGGTGGAGAACAACTGCTCGGCCTTCTTCTATTGCGTGGATGGCGCTAAAATCGAGCAGAGGTGCCAGTACAACCTGCAGTTCAACAACAAGACGGACCAGTGCGACTATCCCGAGAACGTGGGCTGCGACGACGGATCCGCTCCGCCCAGTGGACCCACCGCCGGTCCCTCGGGAACCTACTGCGAGAGCCAGGGCGAGTGCGTGGGCAAGCGGGACGGCACCATGCTCCCCGATCCCAGCGGCAAGTGCAGCTCCTCCTACGTCGTCTGCCAGTGCGAGTGCGAGGTGAACTTCAGCTGCTCCTCGGGGCTGCTCTTCAACAAGGCGGTCAACTCCTGCGACTGGCCCGATAATGTAGATTGTGTAGAGTGAATGCCACAATAAATTTTGTCTTAAGCAGCGCAATTTTTTGGGTGATTGTATCACAGGTTTTAAGGGCTTTCCAATTTTTTGATAATCAATTTTTTTTGAAGCCAAAACCCAACGATTTTCAAGTTAAATGTTTACAGCTTCCCAAATAAAAAAAGTTATTTAAGTTTCTCATAAAATATTTTTTTTCACATCAATTAAATAAAGAAATTTTCTTGATTTTGCCAAAAAAATTGTATTTTTTTTGGTTTTTCCTTTCTTGGAAGGTAGTTTTGAATTTAGCCTAAAACATTTTACATATTATTATTATTAAAGTTCAGATACACGTAAAGGTTTTCGTTTAAATTGTATAAAATTGATATATGCCTTAAGTACTCTTATTCGAAAAGTCGCATTTGTATAAAGTTAAGAACTTTAATTTTTGGTAAAGGAAGTAATGACTTTACAAGAAATAAATATTAAAGAAATACCCACTGAAAAATATCTGTAAAAGTCGTTTTAACCTTTTACAATAATTCCATATCAAACATTTTATTTTCGGTCTCATAAAAATGAGTTACAATCGTTTGGGCTTTCGAACAAGTTTCTTGGATTTCTTTTGCTGCGTCTGGCATTTGGCAATCCTGGGGTAATCGCATCGCGAGGATGCAGCATTGAAGTGCAATCCAGAGGGGCAATCCATCACCAGGAACATCATGTTGCTGCAGAGCATGAACTTGCCGCAATCACTTCGATGGGCGACGAGTGAGTTCTCCTTTTCCTCGGAGCACATTCCTCCAGTGGTGGCAGGTCCATCCAGTTGGACAGATTCCTTTGCAGCCGAACACTTGGCTTCCGATGGCTTCATGCAAATTCGACGACTGGGACTAAAGTGTTGCTGACCAGAACATTGGCGAAGATGGGGTTTCTTCGCCTTGCAGACAAAGTATTCCTCACAGGATCCTTTCTTCGCCAGCATCACTCCATCCTTCTTGCCAGCACACATTCTACTCAGAACATCAGAGACTTCTACATCCTGTTTTGCAGAAGTTTGTTTCTTTACTGGTTTGACAGTCACAGGAGGATCAGTTTTAACAATCACTTCATCATCATCTTCATCACTTTCTGAACTCGATTCATTGTCACTGGTCAATGCACCCTGGGCATCAAAAATACAGTCGACTTCATCAGCCTTATCGCAATGTAAAGTCAAGGGATTAAACAAGGTATTCTCATCGCAAGTTCCGATCACAGCCCTTCCATCCGCACACACATAATATCCTTTGCAATTTCCGAACATGGGTAAAAGTCCACCATTTTTGCCATCGCACATTGCCGTCTTGAATGCGAACCCGTCCTTCAAATTTAAACATGGTTACTTTATCTACTTTTGTGTATTTATTTCCAAAACATACTTGTATTGCAGCCAGTGTACTTTCTTGGAGTATAAGAATTCCCCAAATCAGCCCGAATAGCTTCATTTTGTCTGACGCTATCGAATGTTTAATCGAACTGAAACTTTCCGCTCATCGAACTGCGTTTATATAGAATATCATCTATGGGAAATTTGCATGATATGCCAATATGTAATGTCGAATTCATTGATTGTATCGTACTAGTGAGATAGGTGCTCGAATACGTACCATCTATATAATTTTACTGGGAATTGATAAGCGTTCATTCAGAACATATGTAATGTCTCAAAAAAAAATGGTAAATGTATACGTATGTACTCAGGCTGAGGTTAAAGACCACAATTTTAGAGTGGAACACCTTTCATGGCTCAAAGAATTGTACTTAGTTAAAGAAAATTAAAAGTTAAAAAAGTTTTTTTTTTCTGCAGCTTTAGCTTTTTAAATTGTGTTAAAGCAATTGGTCTAGTTTATGATTTCATAAATTGTTTTTGTAAATGATAAACACCCATCAAAGCCTAAAAGTAGGTGACGAATTCCGAAGAATACAACCTGTTGATTTTGTAGAATTTAAGTGGCACATGAAGAGAATGGAGCCAAGTTTCTGTGGAATCTCACTGAAATTAATTAAAATGAAATCAGAAGTGGAAAGATGTTAATCTTTGGTGATTATTAATTAGCCGTTGTCTATTTCCTTGACCAAAAGGCATGTGTTTTCTTTCTTGTTGCTTCTAGTAGAATGTTATCAAATTTATTAGTCATTTTTAGAAAAAAAGTACGATTGGAAATCGTTTATCAGTTGTTATTGCTTAGAAATTGCCAAAAAAGTCGAAACCGATTCAGTTAATTCCAAGACGTGGGAATATAAACATCCCAAAACTACCTCAAAAGAAATATTTTTAAAGCAATTTAAAGATTGTATTATATTTATATTTTTTATGGCATTACCCTTTCAATCAAATCTTACAAAAATCTACGCAATGAGAGGTAATATAATTAATTGCTTTATCCTCGTACTTTGTTCCATAATATTTAAAAAAATATTAATATATATTTTTTTTATTTATAGAACTTGCATATTTTCCATTTATTTTTTGGATCTTGGCAAGTGTTTTCTGTGCCGGTAGCCAAATTCCAAGGAAAACTGTTGATCTAAGCACACAATTATCGTTGTCGGAATCCAATTCACCAGAGTGTTTGACTTCTTCGGAAATGGATTCCTCATATTGTCTAACCTTATCGAATGGATTTTATCAATATCCGTATGACTGCAGCGCATATATATCTTGTAATGATTCATGCGCCGATTTGGAGTACTGTCCGGATGGAAAACTTTTCAACAGTCCTTTGCGCATCTGCGATACTCCAGAAGCAGTCGATTGCAATCCGATGCCATATCCAACACCTCCATCCACGGAATTACCACCAGAGAATCCCTGTGAGGGCGTAAAAAACAACACTTTGATTCCCTCCGCTGATAAATGTAATGAATTCATTGTTTGTGTAAACCAGCAAAGTGAAGTGTATAGATGTCCTGGTGAATTGCTTTTCAATCCCGATCTTAAAGTTTGTGATGATAAGGATAATGTGTTGTGCTACGGTGACCGAACTACCGAGGATCCTTTGACAACAACAGGGAATGTTGAGGAATCCTTTACAAAATGCGAGGGTCAAAAAGCAGGAACAACCTATCCGTATATTGAAAATTGTCAAGAATATTACTACTGCTGGGGAAACAATTCCTACATAATTCTGCCCTGTCCCGTTGAAAATTGGTTTAATCCGATGAGCGGCAATTGCGGTCCTGAAATATCACCCAAAGCTTGCAGAGATTTGGTGGCTACAACTGCTTCTCTTTCTACCACTCCAATTTCTACCACAGATGCTCCCAAAACAACGGAAGTCACCGAAGTGAATCCCTGTGAAAATCAGGAACTGGGAGCAAGTTTCCCACTGAAAACCAACTGCCAAATGTATCTTTTATGCCTAGGAAGTGGCCAGTCGACTACAGCAAAATGTCCATCAAATGCCTGGTTCGATCCAAAAACTGGCGACTGTGGACCAAATGTATCGCCAACTGCTTGCCAGGAATCAGAAACAATCACCACAACAGTTGCCACAACTCATTCGAGTAATCCCTGTGCCGATCAGGAGTTGGGAGTATCTTTTCCAATGGTGACGAATTGCAAACAATATATTGTGTGCATGGGAAATGGCGAATCCTCCGTGGCTAATTGCATTTATAATGCCTATTTCGATCCGCAAACTGGAAATTGTGGACCCGAAGTTTCACCAACGGCTTGTAAGGAAACTGAATCCACGACAAGTCCTGCAACCACTTCTCCAACAACAATTGCATCCACTTGGTTGACCACCTTACCCACAATTTATCCAGAGGAAACAACAGAAATACCATCGGATACTTCAGGTATTTGTACTGGACAGATCGATGGTTATTATGCCACTTATCCCGAGGACTGCAGCAAATATATATTGTGTGCTAGTCCAGTGCCAATAGCATTTTACTGTCCAGAAGGATTGTTTTTCAATGAAGAGCTGCAAAATTGTGTGGAATGGGAATCGAGCGAGTGTCCCAAAGATGATACCACAACTGCATATCCTGACCTTACAACTCTCAGTCCAGAAGATTCGATCTGCTTTAATAACTCTGGTAATAACTTGCCCTACCAGGAAAATTGCCAATGGTTTATAAAATGCGTGGATGATAGTTCTTATATGATGGGGATCTGCAGCAGTGGCGAGTTTTTCGATCCTTTGAGTGGAGAATGCGGCTTTGATGTCTCACCGGAAGCCTGTCGTGAATCCTTCACCACTGTTGTTACAGAAACCACACAGGAATCGACCACAGTCACCACCGAAAGTACTCCAAAAACCGAAGTAGATCCTTGTGAAGGAGCTGCTGAGGGAAAACTGGTTCCCTATCCGGATGACTGTACAAAGTTTATACAATGTGTTTGGCCCACTCCAAAGGTCTACGACTGCCGCGAAGGTCAGGAGTTCAGTGCCTCTTTGGAAAGGTGTATGGCTCCGTGGTACGCGAATTGTTCGATTCCTGCCACAACTACAACTGCCTTTCCCATCACAACAACCACATTGCCGTCGCAGGATGGCTTTTGTGAGGGCAAAGGCGAAGGATCTTTGGTTCCTTACCCCGGGAACTGCAGCAAGTACATTGTTTGCCGGGATCCCATTCCAGTGGGTTACGCTTGTCCGGAGAACGAGGAATTCAGTCCCACAGTTTTGACCTGCATGGATGCTGAACTGGCTAACTGCAAACCCAGTGGCTTAAGACTTCTTTCTACTAATTTGTTAACGAGAAAGTACTCAAATGGGCAGACCGTTTCACTTTGGCAGTCTTTTAAAAGGATTGCAAATTGGTTTTCGTTTTAAAGCCACAGAATTGAGTTGTACTTCTTTAACAAACAGCCATGACCTGAAATAAGGTTACAAAACAAAAATACAAAAATTTATTTTTATGATACAACCGCTTCTATAGAAATAACCGGTGAAAATATGGATAAATAAATAAAAGAATCGTATTTACTTCAATGTTGATTAGCCTTTATGCATTTTTCTCGACACTTGTAATGTACATGGGAATATAATATTCGGCTCGCTGAAGATAACGTCCTTTTCCCGTTTTTCTCAGGATTTTAGCAACCAAAAATAGGTGATTGCATAACTAAATCTGATTTAGAAAAGACAACCCTCTCCCTTAACAGTCTTTGAAATCGACAAAACTCTTTTTTTTTTTGTATTTTTTTTTATGCAGAATTTTTAAATTGTATGCTTTTTATAAACAATATTAATAAAATGTCTTATCTGCAAGGCTTTAGTTTCACTGGGGGTACTGGCAATCAGCGTTGGATGTGTTGCACGAAAGTTGGCTTGGGTTCCAGTAAAGATTTCCCGGACAAGTTAAGACGGTGGCCGTTGGTCCGCAGTAAATAAACTTGTGGCAATCGGCGGGATACGGAATGTAGGCATTTGAAATGCCTTGGCACCGGGCTTGGGCATCAATTGGTAACCGACCAGAATCAGTGGGAGTATATCCTGCGGATGGCGGAGTGGCAGCAGTGGGTATAAGATCAGTGGGTGGGGTAACAGGGGGAACTGAAACAGGATTGTCCTGGCAACTCGCATACTGGGGTGCCACACAGCGCTGGAATTGTTGGCTCCAGAGGAAGTTCTGTTCGCAATGATGGACTCGTGTCTCGTAGAATCGACTGCAGTCTCCGGGAAATGCAGAATACTGCACATCGTTGTTGGGTTTTGGCGGATTGTCCGAGGTGCAATCGGAGTACTCAGCGTAGTCACATCGGTAGGTTAACTGGCTCCAGAACAAGTTCGAAGGACATTGCCGCTCGAAGGCCTGTCCCCTTAGGCATGTGTAATACTTGCGACAATCGTTGGGATATGGCAACATGACCACATGATTGGGATCATCATAAGGTGGGCAATGCACAGTTGTTACGGGTTCAGCTAAAATTGTATACTAGGAACAGGGTTTTCTTATAAAGATTTGCATTCAATTGCTTGGTTTACTTACTTCGCCCTTAACAGCGGACAAGAAAGCCACCAAAACTAGGTACACAAAAGTAGGTCCTCGCCGCACTGAAAATAGTAAATTAAATTATAATCAGAGCTCAACTGTTTTTCGCTCCTTAATTACTTTTTATTTTATCCAGTCAATGCGCACTGAAAAAGTGAGTGGAATGCCTAGATGGAGTTGCGCCTTTTATACTCACATTTTGCTGGCGATTGTTATCAAGTTCAAGCTCTTTTATTTATCTTAAAACATTCCTGAGAAGCTAAGAAAGTTTACTCGAAGAATCCGATTCTAGAAAATAAGATTACCTATGCAACCAATCGGAAGCCTCTGTAAATGTCATACTTTTACTATTACTAAGAATTAATAATCGTAATTATTTTCTTTTCCACTTGACCGGACATAAAATAAGATAAGATTCAAGGACGAATGAGATATATAAAACAAATAATTGGTTGAAGCAACTGAAGAATCGATATTTATTTGTCAATAATGGCTATTTGATAAGCAACGATATAAAAGAGTCCCAACGATCAGTGAATAAGTCTCAGATGAACTAGAGAAACTTTGCGGAGCAATAAAACAGTATAAGAAATGAATTTATTTAATGTCACTCTAACTTTCTTATTTTTTAGTGGCAAACAATTTTTCCCGGACATTCTCATTATGTGTACTGTACATTGGGCTCTGTGTGGCACAAGTTGTAATTAGAGAGTCCTTTCCCAATGATTGCAGCCGATTCTACGAAACACGTGAGCTGAAATGTCCGCCGGAATTTCACTGGAACTCCCAAAGGCAACAATGTGATTTGAAAAGTGTCGCCGGCTGTTCCTCTACCTTAACGATACCGAATTGGAATGACGTCGAGGGTATTAACCCGATTTCGAACCAAAAACTGGAACCAGAAAAGCAGAATCTTTCAGGAGTTTGTAACAAGCAACTCGGACAGTTGATCGCTTATCCAGGTGATTGCACCCGCTTCATTCAGTGTGATTATCTGCCCTTTGTGAAGACCTGTCCGCAATATCTCTATTGGAACTCCCAGCTACTTACGTGCGATAAGATTTGTGTTTAATGGCTTTAAAGATACAGCAAATGACTTGTTTTTTGTGGTTTGTTATTAAATATTAATTACATTGGCAAATCGTACGAAGTATTTAAGAAGTGGCAGTAAAACTCTAAAATTATTTGCGAAAAACACTTAAATGCTTAAGATCAAGCTGCATCGAAATACAAATAGGTGTTTGTAGATGGCACTCGGTTAAGCTGTCCTACAATTGAGCCCCTTTAAAACTGATCTACTATAATATGGGTGGGTTAAAGTTGGGATCCTTGGGTCCAGGGATCCCCTAGCATTTGCCATTGGTCGTGGCCTTGGGCCGGCAGATCTTGCTCCTGCCATTGGCGCCGTAGACAATGTTGCAGGAGAAGGTGAAGTAGCCGCAGGTGGAGGACTTGGTGTAGTAGGTCGACTGGAAGTTCTTGTTCTCCTGCGGCGGGTTCTTGCTGTTGTCCATGCTGCCGGTCACCGACTTGGTGACGGTCACATAGCTATCCGGAGCCCGGGGAACCGGCTTATCCCCACGAACCGGACCCTCCTCTTCGGGGGCGGCGATCTCCACCCTCTTGGGAGTGGGAAGCTCCAAGGCCTTGGTGTGGTACTTCTTCTCCACATTGACGGTGCCTCGGAATCCCGGTGGCACAGCCTCGGTGGTCGAGGGTTCGGTATGGACGCTCACCTTGCCGTTCTGCTTCTGCACCAGTTGGTATTGGTCTCCGGCCACCGGAACCACAACGGCCTTTTGGCTTTGAGAAGGAGAGGATTGCTCGAAGGCCTTGGTTGCCGGAGATGGCTCCGGTTCCTTGACAATGCTCGCCGGCTCGGGACTCTCCTCCAGCTTCACCGGCTTCTCGTTGTAGTACTCGTCCTCATCGTAGTCGTCCTGGTCCTCCTCGTCGCCATCCTCGTAGTGAGCGGGCTCCGGCTGTTCGAGCTTTCCCTCGGGCTGCCTGGGTTCCTCCTTCGATTTGGTTGACTTCAGAAGCGATTCGGGCAACACGTTGGAGTCATCAGTGAGAGCCGGTCCACTGTAGACAGCATCAGCACGATCAGTAACCCTGAAAGGAATAAAAACATATAATGATAGTCAACTTGCCAAGTTTAAGAAATCAAAATAAATCTATTGCCAAAAAAACTTACAATCACAGTCTTCCCTTTTAAATAAGTTAATAAGTCTTGTTCAAATAGTTTTTTATTTATTAATAACAAAAATTGAAACTTGATAATGATATTTAAATAAATATTTGATGATCACAATAAACAATAATGAGACTGCATTAAATATATCAAAAACTGTGAATGACAAATATTTTGTTAAGTTGAATTTTTAAATATGCTTGCTTTTTTTTAAATTTGTTTCTTTAATTTAATTTTTTTTATGCCAAATTTATTCCAATTTAATTAATATTTAAAGATATTTCTTTTGGAATTACTCACGCATTGCCGTTGTTGCCGAACTGACTGATGGTGTTGAAGAGCTCTCGGTTCTGCTCCCTGTAGGAGGCCACCTGCTCCTTGGTTCCGGATGCGGATTGTGCAGCACCATGATACGAAACACCAAAGCTGAAATGGAAACCATCAAGTAAGAGGCATTTCCAGAGTACTCCAGAATTTCTTTACTACCTAGATGTTCCGTGGATCTGCGAACTACTCTGACTAGAGTGGGTGCCCGATGAGGAGGAGGCCTGACCACCGCCGTCGGCAGCCGTTGGACCGGCATCCTGACCGGGACGGAAACCGATCTGCGCCTGCGAGGAGGTCTGTCCAGGTCCACTGGACTGAGCATCCGCCAGTCCACCCTTGTCATTGGCGTGCACCTCGCTCTGGCTCTGCTGGATGATGCCGCCGCTCTGCGAGGAGGCCTTGGTGCCGCCATCCTTGGCCACCTGCACCTGGGCCTGCGACTGGGCCTGTCCTCCAGATCCCTGCGACTGGCTCACGGCTCCGTCGGCGTTTCCGGTCACCTGGGCGCTGGCCGCGCGATCCGCATCCGAAGTCATGGCGCTGGCGCTGAAGGTTCCGCCGGAGCTGTACGTTCCCGACACCTGCGTCTTGGCCGTGCCTCCGTTCTTCTGGCCCTGGGCACTGGCCGAGGCCTGTCCGTCGCCAATGGAAGACTCCGCCTGGGAGAAGGCGTCGTCTGCTCCACCAGTACCGCTAGCAGCTGGAACACCTGTTAAGGATTATAGTGGGTTAATGCTCCTAATGTTTTAACCTGTTTTAGCTACTCACCAACTCCGCTAGAGCCTCCAACTCCTCCAGCTCCAGGAACTACTCCAGTACCAGCTGTGTAGCGTCCAGGTGCTCCGATTTGTCCACCGGCACCTGGCTGTCCTGTCTGGACTCCATATCCTGGCTGACCCACTCCAGTTCCCACACCTGTTCCGCCTACTCCGGGTTGCACTCCGTAGCCGGGTTGTCCGCCGCCCACTCCTGGTTGTCCCCCGACTCCTGGCTGGGTTCCGTAGCCGGTTTCCGCCTGTCCACCAACTCCAGACTGTCCTCCATATCCAGGTTGACCGACTCCAGCTTGTCCACCAACTCCCGTTTGTCCACCAACCCCCGTCTGTCCACCAAATCCCGTCTGAGTCCCGTAACCGGGTTGTCCGTATCCAGGCTGTTGGCCACCAGCTCCTGGCTGAGTGCCATAGCCAGTTTGAGTTCCGTATCCAGGCTGACCTGCTCCAGTTCCCGGTTGGACTCCTCCAACTCCAGGCTGGGTCCCATAACCGGGTTGTCCGCCTCCGATTCCCGTCTGTCCCCCAACTCCAGGTTGGACTCCATATCCCGGCTGGCCGCCACCAACTCCAGCTTGCCCTCCAGTGCCTGGCTGAGCTCCATATCCAGGTTGTCCTCCAACACCTTGTTGAGTTCCGTATCCAGGTTGACCACCAACTCCAGGCTGGGTACCATAACCGGGCTGAGATCCACCAATGCCTGCTTGGCCCACACCAACTCCAGGCTGAGTGCCGTAACCGGGTTGACCGACTCCAGCTTGTCCACCAACTCCTGGCTGTCCTCCGAATCCAGGTTGAGTACCGTACCCAGGTTGGGCTCCACCAATACCAGTTTGACCTGCTCCAATTCCAGTCTGTGTGCCACCAACTCCGGGCTGGGTTCCGTATCCGGGCTGTCCAACTCCAGCTTGCCCTCCGACTCCGGGTTGAGTACCATATCCAGGCAGAGATCCACCGATTCCGGCTTGGCCTACACCAACTCCGGGTTGAGTGCCGTATCCGGGCTGACCGATTCCAACTTGTCCTCCGACTCCTGGCTGTGCTCCGTATCCTGGCTGAGTTCCGTATCCCGGCTGAGCTCCACCGATTCCGGTTTGGCTTCCACCAACTCCCGGCTGAGTTCCATAGACTCCAGTCTGTCCGCCAACTCCAGGTTGAGTTCCATATCCTTGCTGTTGTCCTCCAACACCCGGCTGAGATCCATATCCAGGTGAAGTTCCGTAACCTGGTTGGGATCCTCCGATTCCTGTTTGGCTTCCTCCAACTCCCGGTTGAGTTCCATATCCAGGCGCTACCCCAGTTCCCGTCTGTCCGCCAACTCCGGGTTGTACTCCGTATCCAGTTTGACCCACTCCGGGCTGTCCTCCGATTCCAGTTTGACCCACTCCGGGCTGTCCTCCGATTCCAGTCTGAGTTCCATATCCAGGTTGGGAGACACCAGCTCCCGGTTGACTTCCTCCAACTCCAGGCTGAGCTCCATAACCAGGCTGAGTGCCATAACCAGGCTGCGTTCCATATCCGGGAGATCCCGCAGTTCCAGGTTGCGCACCGTATCCGGGTTGTCCGCCGCTCACTCCAGTCTGCTGGCCACCAGCTCCTGGCTGAGTTAAATATCCGGGAGCGGAGGGTTGGCCTCCATAAGTAGGTTGTCCATATCCACCTTGACCACCAACTCCCTGCTGTAATCCGGATCCGGGCCCAACTCCTGTCTGTGTGCCATATCCGGGACCTCCATACCCGGGCTGACCAGCTCCAGTTGGTCCACCAACTCCGGGTTGCGCTCCGTATCCGGGTTGTTGTCCTCCGACTCCAGTTTGACCACCATATCCAGGTTGAGATCCCCCTACTCCGGCTTGGCCTACACCAACTCCAGGTTGAGTGCCGTATCCGGGTTGCCCAACTCCAGCTTGTCCTCCGACTCCGGGCTGTGCTCCATATCCAGGTTGAGCACCATATCCACCTCCAGGTTGGGTTCCATATCCGGACTGTCCACCACTTACTCCAGGTTGACCGCCAATTCCTGTTTGAGATCCGTATCCGGGTTGAGTACCATACCCGGGTTGACCAGTTCCAGTTTGTCCTCCAACTCCCGGCTGAGTTCCGTATCCAGGCTGTTGTCCTCCGACTCCAGTCTGTGAACCATATCCTGGCTGACCTCCACCAATGCCGGGCTGACCTCCACTTATTCCTGGCTGTGTACCTCCACCTCCAGTCTGAGTTCCGTATCCGGGTTGCCTTGCAACACCAGGTTGTCCTCCGTATCCTGGCTGAGATCCACCAATTCCCGGTTGACCTCCGCCAATTCCTGGTTGAGCTCCTCCAACTCCGGGCTGTGTTCCATAACCGGGTTGTCCGCCTCCGATTCCTGTCTGTCCGCCAACTCCTGGCTGACTTCCATAGCCGGGTTGTCCATATCCGGGCTGTTGTCCTCCAATTCCCGTCTGTCCCCCAACTCCAGGTTGGGTTCCATATCCCGGCTGGCCGCCGCCAACTCCAGCTTGCCCTCCAGTGCCTGGCTGAGCTCCGTATCCAGGTTGACCACCTCCGACACCTGGCTGCGTGCCTCCCACTCCAGGTTGAGTTCCGTATCCGGGCTGACCGCCAACTCCAGATCCTCCGTCAGCTCCTGGACGTGAGCCGTATCCAGGTTGTCCACCACTTATTCCCGTCTGTCCTCCAACTCCGGGCTGAGTTCCGTAACCTGGCTGTGTTCCATAGCCTGGCTGAGCACCACCGATTCCGGGCTGAGATCCACCAATTCCTGTTTGGCTTCCTCCAACTCCAGGTTGGGTTCCAATTCCGGGTTGACCAACTCCAGTTTGACCTCCAACTCCCGGTTGCGAACCATATCCAGGTTGAGATCCACCAATTCCGGCTTGGCTTCCTGGCTGCCCCACTCCAGGCTGGCCTCCAATTCCGGGTTGTCCACCTCCGATTCCTGTCTGTCCACCAACTCCGGGTTGGCTTCCGTAACCAGGTTGTCCACCTGCTGAGCCTCCGATTCCTGGCTGAGATCCATATCCAGGCTGAGCTCCACCAATTCCTGGCTGACTTCCTCCAGCCCCTGGCTGAGTTCCAGGTCCGTATCCTGGCTGGGATCCACTAATTCCGGGCTGTGATCCTGCAGTTCCGGGCAGTGAACCGCCGATTCCTTGCTGCCCTCCGATTCCTTGCTGACCTCCGATTCCTGGCTGTCCACCAATTCCTGGCTGTCCACCAATTCCTGGCTGTCCTCCGATACCAGTCTGTCCTCCAATTCCTGGCTGTCTACCGATTCCTGGCTGTCCACCAATTCCTGGCTGTCCACCGATTCCTGGTTGACCTCCGATTCCGGTCTGACCGCCAAATCCTGGTTGTCCTCCGATTCCTGGCTGTCCACCAGTTCCTGGTCGTCCCCCGAATCCTTGCTGTCCTCCGATTCCTGGTTGTCCTCCGATGCCTGTCTGTCCTCCGATTCCTGGCTGACCACCGATTCCAGTCTGTCCTCCGACTCCTGGCTGTCCGCCGAATCCTGGTCCCGTTTGGATTCCTGGTTCATAAATAGAAGGGGGTGTTCCATTGCAATAAGAAAGGCTTCTTATTTAAAAAAAAATCTTACCCGGTAAGCTTATAATAGATTCGGGTCTGCCAGATCCATCTGATCTACTGGCGTCCAGTATTCTGCCAGAGGAGGAAGGATAATCCGTTTGGTAGCCAGAACATCCATTGCAGTCGCCGGATGAAAACTGACTCTGGGCCTGGCCCATTCCATGGGTGCCAGCTGAAAGAGTTTTTAATCAGTCAGTAGGGTAATACACAAATAAATTAAAGTAGGTATATAATTATAAATATATTTTATATATATTATCTATACTAATATTATAAAGAGGTAAAATTTGTTTGTTTGTTTGTTTGTTTGTTTGTTTGTTTGTTTGTTTGTTTGCAGGGAATAGGCTCCTGAACTACTGGTCCGATTTAAAAAATTCTTTCACCGATAGAAAGCTATATTATCGTGGAGTTAAATAGGCTATAATTTATTTTGAAAAAAATTAGGGATCCGTAAGAAAATTGCAATATTGTCGCATATAAAGTGAGTTGCTACCTCATCACACTGACAAACACGCTCCCTTAGCATTTTAACTCAATTTTTGTGTTCACTGTGAAATTGTTAAAAAAAAAAAAAGAATTTTTATTCAATTTAAGTTGAACTGTGAAAATTATGTGGATCGTGCATTTGAGGATAAATTCACCACTCTGTCCATAGTCCGAAATGCTTAGAGGACGACGTGCAAACATTGGCCACAGACATCCAAGCCAGCAACAAGTATATTCACAAAACTTAAGCGAAGAAAGACAAATGAGCGCATGGAGATCATTGGCATCATTCAATCGCTTGGCATTCCAATATGACCCCACTGCGAACTACAGTGATAATGAAAATTTAGATATTGGACTATATACCGATATTGCAGTGCGTTAAAGTTTAAAAGAGAAACGGCTGGATTGTGCTGCGCAAGTGGAGAAGTCAAACTGGAAAAGTGTTAAATAACCATCTTTCTATACTTCCCCATATATTTGAAAAATGTTGCAACATTGACTTTTATGTTGTTAAATTGTGTTGGCCAGCGAAGCGGACACAGGCCCTCTAGTTTAATATAATAATAGAACTTACAGACAGTTGAGCGAGATCCATTTTCGGTGGCCTCCGCCTCGGCCTTGCCATCCTGTTCGGGTTTACCGAAGTTTAAGTACTGAGACTGGGTTTGTCCCCTTGAACTGAGGAAAGGCAAGATTAGGTTTATTTATTTACTTTAAACAATCTTATATATTCCAATTATGTTATAACTTTTATTCGAGTTTTATTAGTTTTATTCGATTTTTGTATAGATTTATATTTAATTGAAATTTACTTACTAGCCTCTGCCGCTTCTCTTCTCTCTCTGCAAGTCATTCACAGCAGCAATCTCGTCTTCAGTTGCCAGCGTGTTTTCCTGAAAGTTGTTGAAACGATCTATGTTAGTTCAATGCTAATGTCAGCTTAATCATCAAGCATTCCACATGTGTCTGCAAGTGCCCCCAATTCGATGCCGCTTCTAAAAACTGACCTTGGTCAAATCAGGTCTTATCGGCCACAAATCGAGTGGAGTTCATTTGCATTGAACTACTCTAGATCCGCAGAGGCACCGACTCAAGGGATTTATTAGCATTGACAAGTCGAAAACTTACGATGGCGGCTCCATTTGCGCTCACTACGAAAAGCAAGGCGCCAAGCAGCAGGCCCAAGCGAAAGGGCAGCATTTCAATAAATTAAGCTCTGAATCCAATTGAAATGCGTCGACGTCGTCGCAACACAACCAGCAAACTGTGGAATGGGATGAAATTAAATTGTATTATCAACACACTGTGTACATGCGTGTTATTATTAGTTCACACTCCTTCTCTCTGTTTCACAGGGGTTATCACTTTTATAGTATTTCTAATGAGCACGCACGATGTTGTTCGATGCCAAAAAAAGACAATCGATCTTGAGTTCTATTTCATTCTTAGCAATGATGTAATCGTTAGCTAATTAAACTGCGGTCTTTTAATCAACAGGGCTTAACTTGGCAACTGGCAATCATATAAAAAGGATATTGAGGGGATTTAACAAACACTATTTACACTTGCTTTATATTATATTTATATATTTATTCATATATGTTTACATACGATTAAGTACATAATACTCTTTTTCTCACTTCCTGTTTTTTCAATTTCACTTTTCCTTTTCCCAATGTTTTCTCAATTTATAATTGTATCTAACTGCTTGAACCAAATTATTTATTTTATTTTTGTAAACAATCACGTTGGATTTTAAGGTTTGAAATAAAACATTTTGATTATCCTTGCGATATTATTATGTATTTTATTTGCTTATTCTGCCTGTCAATTTTAAGGCTTATCACTTTTCATTTTTCTTTCATTGATATTTTTCGATGATGTAATCGGAAAAAGTGATTCGTTTAATTGGCGTTGAACTTAGAACATCCTACTTAACAGCTCAACTTCCTAGGATATCCTTAAAATAATTGTTTTAAAATGTTTCAAGAATTTTTAAGATTGTTATTCAATTGAACTTTGTTTCCTTTTATATTTTATGCTTTTTGATGAATCTCATTTTGCAATTGTAGCTTTAATAAAATATTTATCGATTTGTTAATATTCACTTTTTTTTTTTAAAGACATTGAATTGCACTATTCATATAATTTTTCTTTTATATTCACAGTACTTTTGATTTAGACAACACTTTTTAAAATAAAATAATTTGTAGTCTTAGTTCACAGTTTACATGATAATCGGGATTGCCTTGACCCAATTTATATTTTTTTTCACACTATGTAAATCCTTTATCCGAATAATGGTCGAGTCCTTGCTGAAAGACATACTTCGCCTGTGTGTCTAAGGATTCCAAGGGAGGTTTTCCGATTTGCTTCCGATCGCGACAACAGCTGGATTGCGAATAACGCTCGGGAACTCTAGAGCTTGAGCAGAACTCGAAATTCATTGAAGAAGGCGAGCAATTTCCAATACATTTGCATGTGGCCGGAGGCAGCATGAATATTTATGTATGGTACTATATTTATGTAGGATCGACACTGAGAAGTGAGTACTGAGCAGTGAGCACTGAGTGCTGGTATCTGTGAGGCGGATCAGGGCACTTGGAGCTCCGGGCTTGGAGCCCGTCGCCAGTGCCATTCATTCGAGTGTCTATTCCATTACGTATCAGCGCTTTGATCGTGTCAATCGATCACTTGGTCTGGTCGCCTCTCCATGGAGGGGGAGCCGTCGACGTCCCCTTCGACAAATGAGTTTCTGGGGGCATTACAACATCACGGTCTTCGCCATCGGATGGGGGACACTTTTGACCCATTTTAGGCAAATGTGCTGGCATTTATTAGCATATAAAGATACGCAATTGTACATCTCTTGGATACATTTTCAAGTGTGTCTCGCTTGGATTAATGTGATCTCTTTGGGTTTGCATTTCCCCAGCAAACTTATACTCACTTCGATGGGCTTCATTTTGATTCAGCCAAAATTGGCGGAAGTAATTGGCTTGTGATAACCTTTGAGATTAAGAATTCGCTGGTTAGTCTGTCCATCGTCATATCTATATATAGAGCTGCCCCTCTTCAAGCCCCCATTCAATGCTGAGTTCGGTTATTTCTTATCTGCTGAAAGCGTCTATGAGACCATGTGTTTATATTGAACTCAAGCATTAAATTTTAATTTTTTAAAGTCCCATAGGCTGTATGGGGTGTGTTTCAAGGCTAGCTATGTTTTTAATTGAAGCCTAGATTGATAAGATCTACGAAAATGCGTAGGAATTTTAGAATCCGAGTATTCTGACTAGAGAATACCCATTGAGTTGGCCTTTCTGGTACTAAGTGACCACAGAAACATAAGGTAAATGCCTTGTTTTATGCACAAAATTGCATTAATATTGCTAACTTAAATTAAAGTTTTAACGCTAAATTTATCTGAATTTAAATATACTTTCGTTTTATCCATGCCAAGGGTATTTTATAGTATAGAAGAGCATCTTTCCAATGAAATAAATTTGCATGCACCCAAAATGTCAATCTATTGGGAACATCTCAAAAAGCCTAAATGAAAAAAGAATGATCACGAATGTTTTTTATTTTTATTTATTAAACCATATTTGAGTGTTCATCTTATGCATGTTGGTATTTTCTTTTTATGTGAGGATTGCCAGCAGATTTTTATATTTATTAAAATATTTTTTCTTTCAATATTAAAAGACATATTTAACAAAATGATTGTATTAAAGCGGTTGAATACTGATTTCGGTTAACCTGCAAAAGTAAGGTAAGGTAAATATTTTATTATTGCTTTTTTATAAGTATTTAAAATATTTAAACTTACATTTATTTGCAAAACCGTTGCGACTTTTGGCACATTTCACTAACAGGGTTCCAGTAAAGCCCTGAATTACAACTCATGACGATTCCTCTCGAGCCAAGGCACTTTATGTATTTCGAGCAATCGCTTTCATAAACATCGAAATTTAATCCTGGTGCGCAGGAAATCGATTCTCTTGCCCGCGAATCTGTGCAGTATTTATTCGACCAATCGCAAACCTTGAGCTCCGGGTTCCAGTACAAATCCTTAGGACATTGGCTCTCATATGCCACGCCATTACTACATTGCAAGAATTTAGTACAGTCGGTCGGATGAGCCACAAAATCTACTCCCGGACCGCAGACATTCTCCTCTGGACCAACATTTTCCTCATCGTTATAGCAAACACTTTGAGATCCGCTGCAGACCAAATTCTTATAGTCCCAATAGGTATTACCTGGACATTCCATAACGAACTCGTTTCCATTACTGCAGTGGATAAACTTGCGGCAGTTTGTTGGGTGTGGCAAATATTCCAATCCACTGCTGCACGAAAGCGGTGGTGAAGTTGAAGTCGAGGTGTCGGGAAGAGATGTCGTTGACGATACTGAACTTGTGGAACTTGAATAAGAAGGAGTTAAACTACTTGTGGTACTCTCTTCGGTTGTGGAACTTTTAGTAGGATGTGGTGTGGAATCCTCTACGGAGGTGCTTGTTTCCGGCTGTTTCGAAGATTCTTGAGCAGTTGTCGAAGTTTCTTCTGGAATCGGCTTTGCCTCTTCATTCGTGGTACTATCTTCAGGATTGTTTGTGGAGGCAGTGGAGGAACTTTCATCAGTAGTCGCTGTTGACTCAACTATTGTAGAACTTTCTTCTGGCTCAGCTGTAGTAGTTTCGTCAGAAATTGTCGTTGAACCCTTAATCGTAGTACTCTCCTCAGGTTCAGCTGTACTAGGTTTGTTTGGATTCGGAGTAGAATCCTCTGCAGTGGTAGTTTTCTCCGGCTCATTTGCAGTAGTTTCGTCAGGAGTCGGAGTTGAATCCTCTACCGTTGTAGTTTCCTCTGGTTCAGCTGTAGTAGATTCGTCAGGAATCGGAGTAGAATAATCTGCAGTGGTAGTTTCCTCTGGCTCAGCTGAAGTAGTTTCGTCGGGTATCGGAGTTGAATCCTGTGCAGTGGAAGTTTCTTCTGGTTCAGCTGTAGTTGTTACGTCAGGAATTGGAGTCGAATCCTCTACCGTAGTAGTTTCTTCTGGTTCAGCTGTAGTTGTTTCGTCGGGAATCAGAGTCGAATCCTCTTCAGTAGTAGTTTCTTCTGGTTCAGTTGTAGTTGTTTCGTCAGGAATTGGAGTTGAATCCTCTGCAGTGGTAGTTTCTTCTGGTTCAGCTGTAGTAGTTTCGTCAGGAATTGGAGTTGAATCCTCTGCAGTGGTAGTTTCCTCTGGTTCAGCTGTAGTTGTTTCGTCGGGAATCGTAGTCGAATCCTCTGGTTTAGCTGTAGTAGTTTTGTCAGGAATTGGAGTCGAATCCTCTACCGTAGTAGTTTCCTCTGGTTCAGCTGTAGTAGTTTCGTCAGGAATTGGAGTTGAATCCTCTGCAGTGGAAGTTTCTTCTGGTTCATCTGTAGTAGTTTCGTCAGGAATTGGAGTTGAATCCTCTGCAGTAGTAGTTTCCTCTGGTTCAGCTGTAGTTATTACGTCAGGAATTGGAGTTGAATCCTCTGCAGTGGTAGTTTCTTCTGGTTGAGCTGTAGTTGTTTCGTCAGGAATTGGAGTTGAATCCTCTGCAGTGGTAGTTTCTTCTGGTTCAGCTGTAGTAGTTTCGTCGGGAATCGGAGTCGAATCCTCTGCAGTGGTAGTTTCCTCTGGTTCAGCTGTAGTAGTTTCGTCAGGAATTGGAGTTAAATCCTCTGCAGTGGTAGTTTCCTCTGGTTCAGCTGTAGTTGTTTCGTCGGGAATCGTAGTCGAATCCTCTGGTTTAGCTGTAGTAGTTTTGTCAGGAATTGGAGTCGAATCCTCTACCGTAGTAGTTTCCTCTGGTTCAGCTGTAGTAGTTTCGTCGGGAATCGGAGTCGAATCCTCTACCGTAGTAGTTTCTTCTGGTTCAGCTGTAGTAGTTTCGTCGGGAATTGGAGTTGAATCCTCTGCAGTGGTAGTTTCTTCTGGTTGAGCTGTAGTTGTTTCGTCAGGAATTGGAGTTGAATCCTCTGCAGTGGAAGTTTCTTCTGGTTCAGCTGTAGTTGTTTCGTCTGGAGTCGGAGTTGAATCTTCTGCAGTGGTAGTTTCTTCTGGTTCAGCTGAAGTTGTTTCGTCAGGAATCGGAGTCGAATCCTCTGCAGTGGAAGTTTCTTCTGGTTCAGCTGTAGTAGTTTCGTCGGGAATTGGAGTCGAATCCTCTACCGTAGTAGTTTCTTCTGGTTCAGCTGTAGTTGTTTCGTCGGGAATCGGAGTCGAATCCTCTTCAGAAGTAGTTTCTTCTGGTTCAGTTGTAGTTGTTTCGTCAGGAATTGGAGTTGAATCCTCTGCAGTGGAAGTTTCTTCTGGTTCAGCTGTAGTTGTTTCGTCTGGAGTCGGAGTTGAATCTTCTGCAGTGGTAGTTTCTTCTGGTTCAGCTGAAGTTGTTTCGTCAGGAATTGGAGTCGAATCCTCTGCAGTGGTAGTTTCTTCTGGTTCAGCTGTAGTAGTTTCGTCGGGAATCGGAGTCGAATCCTCTGCAGTGGAAGTTTCTTCTGGTTCAGCTGAAGTTGTTTCGTCAGGAATCGGAGTCGAATCCTCTGCAGTGGAAGTTTCTTCTGGTTCAGCTGTAGTAGTTTCGTCGGGAATTGGAGTCGAATCCTCTACCGTAGTAGTTTCTTCTGGTTCAGCTGTAGTTGTTTCGTCGGGAATCGGAGTCGAATCCTCTTCAGTAGTAGTTTCTTCTGGTTCAGTTGTAGTTGTTTCGTCAGGAATTGGAGTTGAATCCTCTGCAGTGGAAGTTTCTTCTGGTTCAGCTGTAGTTGTTTCGTCTGGAGTCGGAGTTGAATCTTCTGCAGTGGTAGTTTCTTCTGGTTCAGCTGAAGTTGTTTCGTCAAGAATCGGAGTCGAATCCTCTGCAGTGGAAGTTTCTTCTGGTTCAGCTGTAGTAGTTTCGTCGGGAATTGGAGTCGAATCCTCTACCGTAGTAGTTTCTTCTGGTTCAGCTGTAGTTGTTTCGTCGGGAATCGGAGTCGAATCCTCTTCAGTAGTAGTTTCTTCTGGTTCAGTTGTAGTTGTTTCGTCAGGAATTGGAGTTGAATCCTCTGCAGTGGAAGTTTCTTCTGGTTCAGCTGAAGTTGTTTCGTCAGGAATCGGAGTCGAATCCTCTGCAGTGGAAGTTTCTTCTGGTTCAGCTGTAGTAGTTTCGTCGGGAATTGGAGTCGAATCCTCTACCGTAGTAGTTTCTTCTGGTTCAGCTGTAGTTGTTTCGTCGGGAATCGGAGTCGAATCCTCTTCAGAAGTAGTTTCTTCTGGTTCAGTTGTAGTTGTTTCGTCAGGAATTGGAGTTGAATCCTCTGCAGTGGAAGTTTCTTCTGGTTCAGCTGTAGTTGTTTCGTCTGGAGTCGGAGTTGAATCTTCTGCAGTGGTAGTTTCTTCTGGTTCAGCTGAAGTTGTTTCGTCAGGAATTGGAGTCGAATCCTCTGCAGTGGTAGTTTCTTCTGGTTCAGCTGTAGTAGTTTCGTCGGGAATCGGAGTCGAATCCTCTGCAGTGGAAGTTTCTTCTGGTTCAGCTGAAGTTGTTTCGTCAGGAATCGGAGTCGAATCCTCTGCAGTGGAAGTTTCTTCTGGTTCAGCTGTAGTAGTTTCGTCGGGAATTGGAGTCGAATCCTCTACCGTAGTAGTTTCTTCTGGTTCAGCTGTAGTTGTTTCGTCGGGAATCGGAGTCGAATCCTCTTCAGTAGTAGTTTCTTCTGGTTCAGTTGTAGTTGTTTCGTCAGGAATTGGAGTTGAATCCTCTGCAGTGGAAGTTTCTTCTGGTTCAGCTGTAGTTGTTTCGTCTGGAGTCGGAGTTGAATCTTCTGCAGTGGTAGTTTCTTCTGGTTCAGCTGAAGTTGTTTCGTCAGGAATCGGAGTCGAATCCTCTGCAGTGGAAGTTTCTTCTGGTTCAGCTGTAGTAGTTTCGTCGGGAATTGGAGTCGAATCCTCTACCGTAGTAGTTTCTTCTGGTTCAGCTGTAGTTGTTTCGTCGGGAATCGGAGTCGAATCCTCTTCAGTAGTAGTTTCTTCTGGTTCAGTTGTAGTTGTTTCGTCAGGAATTGGAGTTGAATCCTCTGCAGTGGAAGTTTCTTCTGGTTCAGCTGTAGTTGTTTCGTCTGGAGTCGGAGTTGAATCTTCTGCAGTGGTAGTTTCTTCTGGTTCAGCTGAAGTTGTTTCGTCAGGAATCGGAGTCGAATCCTCTGCAGTGGAAGTTTCTTCTGGTTCAGCTGTAGTAGTTTCGTCGGGAATTGGAGTCGAATCCTCTACCGTAGTAGTTTCTTCTGGTTCAGCTGTAGTTGTTTCGTCGGGAATCGGAGTCGAATCCTCTTCAGTAGTAGTTTCTTCTGGTTCAGTTGTAGTTGTTTCGTCAGGAATTGGAGTTGAATCCTCTGCAGTGGAAGTTTCTTCTGGTTCAGCTGTAGTTGTTTCGTCTGGAGTCGGAGTTGAATCTTCTGCAGTGGTAGTTTCTTCTGGTTCAGCTGAAGTTGTTTCGTCAGGAATTGGAGTCGAATCCTCTACCGTAGTAGTTTCTTCTGGTTCAGCTGTAGTTGTTTCGTCGGGAATCGGAGTCGAATCCTCTTCAGTAGTAGTTTCTTGTGGTTCAGCTGTAGTTGTTTCGTCAGGAACTGGAGTTGAATCCTCTGCAGTGGAAGTTTCTTCTGGTTCAGCTGTAGTTGTTTCGTCTGGAGTCGGAGTTGAATCTTCTGCAGTGGTAGTTTCTTCTGGTTCAGCTGAAGTTGTTTCGTCAGGAATCGGAGTCGAATCCTCTGCAGTGGAAGTTTCTTCTGGTTCAGCTGTAGTAGTTTCGTCGGGAATTGGAGTCGAATCCTCTACCGTAGTAGTTTCTTCTGGTTCAGCTGTAGTAGTTTCGTCGGGAATCGGAGTCGAATCCTCTGCAGTGGAAGTTTCTTCTGGTTCAGCTGTAGTTGTTTCGTCTGGAGTCGGAGTTGAATCTTCTGCAGAGGTAGTTTCTTCTGGTTCAGCTGAAGTTGTTTCGTCAGGAATTGGAGTTGAATCCTCTGCAGTGGTAGTTTCTTCTGGTTCAGCTGTAGTTGTTACGTCAGGAATTGGAGTTGAATCCTCTGCAGTAGTAGTTTCTTCTGGTTCAGTTGTAGTTGTTTCGTCAGGAATTGGAGTCGAATCCTCTACCGTAGTAGTTTCTTCTGGTTCAGCTGTAGTTGTTTCGTCGGGAATCGGAGTCGAATCCTCTTCAGTAGTAGTTTCTTGTGGTTCAGCTGTAGTTGTTTCGTCAGGAATTGGAGTTGAATCCTCTGCAGTGGTAGTTTCTTCTGGTTCAGCTGTAGTTGTTACGTCAGGAATTGGAGTTGAATCCTCTGCAGTAGTAGTTTCTTCTGGTTCAGTTGTAGTTGTTTCGTCAGGAATTGGAGTCGAATCCTCTACCGTAGTAGTTTCTTCTGGTTCAGCTGTAGTTGTTTCGTCGGGAATCGGAGTCGAATCCTCTTCAGTAGTAGTTTCTTGTGGTTCAGGTGTAGTTGTTTCGTCAGGAATTGGAGTTGAATCCTCTGCAGTGGTAGTTTCTTCTGGTTCAGCTGTAGTAGTTTCGTCGGGAATCGGAGTCGAATCCTCTGCAGTGGAAGTTTCTTCTGGTTCAGCTGAAGTTGTTTCGTCAGGAATTGGAGTTGAATCCTCTGCAGTAGTAGTTTCTTCTGGTTCAGCTGTAGTAGTTTCATCAGGAATCAGAGTTGAATCCTCTATCGTTGTAGTCTCCTCTGGTTCAGCTGTAGTAGTTTCGTCAGGAGGCGGTGTTGACTCGTTTATATCTAACTCATTTGATTCTGTAAAATTATTCACTGGGGCTATGTCTCTTTGAATTGTGTTCCTTTTATTATATTTGTGTGATGGGTAACGATTAAATATTGCAGTTTGCAAAGTTTTTTTAAGGAAGTGGCCATTATCAATTTGATTGCTTTGCTCTTGAGAAATTTGTTTATGTTCAGCTTTCACGTGCACAATTTTGGTTAGTATCACAGTTAACACAACACAAAGCAGAAAATCCTTGCTGAGCAGCTTAATATAATTCATCGCTCCCGATTTGAGTACGAGTCTTATAAAAACATTTGTCGAAATGAGACTTCTACCTGGTGCATTCATATTTATAACCCCATTGTATGGCTCATTCACCATCTTATCTCGTAATTTTCGCGAAGCGTGTTATCTTTAAGAGGAACTCAATTGAACACCAGTCTGCTTAAAATCAATTACGTTGAATTGTTTATTTCTTTATTTTGCTTCCTAAGTACGTACATTTTTGTGGGTTATTACAAAATGATACACCAATTGCTAGCGGTTATTGCACTTGCTAGACATCAGAAAACGCGAGTCCATTGTCGCAAGTATAATCACACGACTGAAGGGGTTGGTTCCAAAACAGTCCAATTGGACAACTCAGTTTGAACCCGATATTGTAGACACACTGGATGAACTTGGTGCAATCGGGAGCGTAGGGCAAAAATGGTAATCCAGATGCACAACTCAGAGACGGAGACTTAGTGGTCTTGTTTTCCTCATCAGAACAGTACTGCGATTCCCAGGCGCAGACATTCAGCTCTCGATCCCAATAAAGTCCTTCGGAACACGATTTCAGGACACCTTCACCGTAAAGACACTGATAATACTGCCTACAATCTGGAGCTGGAAGAAATAGATCCTCATCATCACAAAGGACTGGAGGTGGCAGGGTAGTTATTTCTTCAGTGGTATTTTCATCTGTTGTGGCCTCAATGGTAGTGTCTTCTCCTGACGAGGCATTCGCACTCATAAGGAGTGCAAACAATCCCAGTATCCTGACAAGTTTTGATCCTTAAAATAAATTAAATATTATTTTTCGCTTCAGTAGATATAAACTTGTGAACCACCTTTCATGTTCCTAAAAATGCAACAACTTTTCTGTTAAAGTGCAATTTTACCGAGGTTTATATAGCCTTCAATTGACAGCTAACTATTTTTCTTTTTTATTTTTCTAATCTTTTGATTTACACGTGTATTGATAGTTATGGTAAGTCAACTATTATTCCTGTTATCAATTTATTGCTTTGCAATTCTCAGGGCTATTTGTCTTCTCCGACGGACATATACTCTTGAGACTAACACCAAGGCAAACAAAACAATTGTCTTACAAATTATTTAATTTATTTAAAGACTTGTCTTATGTTTACCAAACTTGAGTCATCACCTGAAATTCTTGGCTTCAAAGACCTTCAGCTATTCATTTAAGATCTACAAATATTAATTCATATTTATTTAAATATATTTTTCAGAAATTTTGATTAAGTAGAAAAACGTGTTGTTTAGTTTGTTGCTGAATATTTGCTTTTTGATACTTTAATGAGTACCCTTTATCAGCGTTACTCATTTTTAATGACTTAAGTTTGAAGTGTTCTGGGAATTTAAACTTCTGTCCTAGTTATTATAAGTGAATCCGGAAGCCTATAAACTACGTATCACAATGAAAAATTAATTATAGGCTTGTATTTTCCAAGTTATATTTGAACATGCTCTAATTAAAAAAATTCTATCTTATATAATTAAAGCAAAATTATTTTTCGCAGCAGAAAGCAGCAGAAAAATTATTGCACTTGTTTTTTATTATAGGGGGAAGTACCAAGTAAAACTTTGTTTTATTGATAAAATGTGCTAAAGGAAGGAAAGTTAAGACATTTGTGGGTAATCAAAATCAAAGTGATAAAAATTTTCCATTCTTAAATCAAATATGTGATTGGTCTTGTTTATGTCTTTTGGTGGCCATTACTTGCACATTAACTGTCCATTCGCAATACATATTGCTTTTTATCGAAGAATCAGTACCTTTATCACCAGTACACAATATTTTAACAGAGCAATGCCTTTAACATTGTGGCTTTGATTATGTTATTCTGCTCTGTTAGGCTATCATATTGTATCATTATCTTATCATAATGAGACATATCGAAATGTCAGTTGTTGGTCTTGAAAAACTGATAAACAAACAAGAGATGCTTATTACCGGATATAAATGTAGTAAAACAATTAATAATCGGTTCGATTTATTTTATCTAAATGCTTGAATTATCTATGATACTTTAGTTGATTCATTTCCTTAATTTCCTGGTTTATTTCATAGCAGCTTTAATACCTTATCAAGTCAATTATGCAGACTTATCAGACTTCAGCAAAGATAGTGCTAATTAATACAACTTAGTGCCTTGTTTTATGCTAATTAATGGCTGCATCGCGTGCATTGCAAAATCGTATAAATGCAACGCCAATCGAAGAGTTTTCATTGGGCTGAGTTGCTAGAAGACTGATCGCAGCTACAATGAGATGTAAGTACCGATCGAGAAGCTGAATAATATCCTTTAACATTATAGGTAAACGCTTTCGGATTTCAGTGGTCTGGATATTGATGTCCTTGCAGCTTATGCTCCTTGCAACTGCGCTCAGTGCCAGAAGATGCGTCAAGCCAACTGTTGCACCAACGACCACGGAAGATCCTGACGATCCCACCGACGATCCCTGGGATCCCACAGACGACACATCTGAAGAGCCATCGGATCCAACAAACGAGCCCCAGGATAGCACTCCAAAGCCCACCGATTTACCCACTGAAGTTCCGTCGAATTCAACTGAAGGTCCTTTGGATCCAACGGGGGATCCAACTGGTGAACCAACTGGTGAACCAACTGGTGAACCAACTGGTAAACCAACTGATGATCCAACTGATGAACCAACTGATGAACCAACTGGGGAACCAACTGGAGAACCAACTGGTGAACCAACTGGAGAACCAACTGGGGAACCAACTGGGGAACCAACAGGAGAACCAACTGGAGAACCAACTGGAGAGCCAACAAAAGAACCATCGGAAGGGCCAACTGGGGAGCCAACGAATCCGTCAGAAGAGACCACTGAACCTCCCTTAGATCCCACTAGAGAATCCTCCAATTCCACGAAAGAACCAACTAATCAACCGTCGACAGCAGAACCCACAACTCCAAATGATCCAAGTGGAACCACCCAAGACACGCCCAGCGTGGATGTGAATGCCTCGTGTCGAGCCCATCCGGGAGTCCAATTCCTGCCCCATCCGTACAATTGCCATCTGTACATCCACTGCAGCGGGGAAACGGGTTACATCATGGACTGTCCCAGTGACCTTTACTGGAACTCCATCGATCTGACCTGCGACAAGACCTGCGCCTAAATAAATAAAGCACTTAGAATAGCATGCTCTCAAAAATCAATGTATTTCCTTTAGCTTATTGAGTGATCTTGAGCTTGAACACTACCATGTTCATGACATTCATTCATAACTTTTCGAATTTCCATCGTCGAATTTTGGGGAGTGGTTAAACGGCGATAGCTGTTGACTTCCAGGAACTACACAGTTCACACCTCAATTAGACTGACATTATGGGTCCATGTCTAACATGATCAACATAATTGGGGGAGATAAGGTTACCTGACAGCACTAATTTCGTATATAAAAGACATGAAATTTTTGGCAATGATGCGGAGTACATTTCGACCATCACAAGCGGAATAAGACAAGCGAACAAGATGAAAGGTGAGCTCGCCAAGGATCCTAATTTTAACTAGGACTTCAAGTACCTTCTCCATTCTGTAGTTACTCTGCTAGCTGTGGTGGCACTCACTACAGTGGCTTCCCTGGTTGGAGCCGCCGATCCTGAATGTGTGTATCGGCGAATGAGAAACCTGACGACTCACTGGCCAAAGCCCTCGAGTTGCTCAACGTACTACCGCTGCTCCTCGAAGAACACCGTCCGCACGGTGACATGTCCTGCCGGCAAGGAGTACAATCCCAAGAACGGCAGGTGCTCCAACGCGGGTCGTGGCCTCTGCAAACTCAGCCTGGTGGCTCCACTCTTGGAGGTAAGTTCATATTTTACATTAGAGCATTCGAGTAATTCCAAGATTTAAACCGTTTTCTAACGTTGATATTTTATTAAACCACTTAAAAATGTTATTATTTTTTACAAGAATATTTTGTTTTTTTATATAGAAGTACCTATTCCTTTATTTCAAATCCGTTTAACCCAATTCTGATTATCTGCAGGCCACCAATGTGTGTTCCGACGAGGTGAACGGCGCTTATTTGGCCAACAGCGATAAATGCGGCGAGTTCTTCATCTGTGATGAGCAGGTGGCCTACGCGCAAAAGTGTGACTCCGGCAGTTACTTCAACGAGACTCTGGCTGCCTGCATTCCGGATACGGATTCCCTGTGCTGGCAAAACCTGTGCATAAACAAGACGGACGGAGTCTTTGTGGAGAACGAGAATAACTGCGGCAGCTACTACATTTGCTCGGATTCGGAGGCCACTCTGCAAACCTGTCCTTCGGGCAGCTTCTTCAATACCACGGTTGCTGCCTGCACAGTGGATGTCGGAAACTCGGAGTGTTGGGTCAACTTCTGCATCGGAAAGTCCGATGGATCGGCTGTGGCCGATAAATCCGATTGCTCCACGTTTTATGTGTGCAGCAACAACACGGCCACTCGGCAGGAATGTCCAGAGGGCAGTTACTTCGAGGACAACAACTGGGGCTGTGTTCCCGGCGATTGCCCCACGGAGCCACCTTGTGATGGATCCACCACCACAACCCCTGCACCTTGCGATGAGGTCACCACCACAACTGAACCCTGTGAGGAAGTCACCACCACAACCACCGAACCCTGTGAGGAAGTCACAACCACAGAAGCTCCGGCTTCCTGCGATTGTGGAGATGTTAAGAATGGTGACTTCGTTCCCGATGAGAGCAATTGCCGCAAGTATTCAATCTGCGTTGATGGCAAACTGGTTTCTGGAGATTGCGGCAAGGGCAACTTGTTCAACGCCACTCTGAGTGTTTGCGAGGTGGACGATAAGAACCAATGCTGCGTTGCTGATTGCACGGATGGAGTCCTGGAAGTGGATCCCCAGGATTGCACCAAGTACTTGACGTGCACAGCCGGCGATTGGGTATCCACGTCTTGTGCAACTGGAAGTTACTTCAACACGGATCTGAAAGCCTGTCAAGTTGATGAGAAGAATGTGTGCATTACTCCCTCGTCGACAGTGAAGACCATTTCCGCCAACCAATGCAGTGCCAAGGATCTCCCGACCAGTGGCAAGAACTGCTGGAGCTACACGGTCTGCGTGGATGGCCAGTGGGAGGAGGGAACCTGCTCCAAGGACTACTACTTCGATGACGCCGTTGGCATTTGCCGCGAGGACACCCGCAACGTTTGTCCCGAGAACCGATCGACTGGATCCCGCAAGAAGCGGAGTGCGGACACCTGCGAGGGAGGCATTCAGCAGGGAAGCATCATAGCTCATCCCACGGACTGCGACAAGTACCAGATCTGCGAGGGTGGACAGCTGGTGGTTGGCCTGTGCGGCGTGGGCAATCTCTTCCAGAACAGCAGCGGCGTCTGCTATCCGGACTACAAGGCCACCTGTTGGGTGTGCATCAACAAGCCGAACGGCTACCAAATGCCCAACCCCACCGACTGCACCAGCTACCTGACCTGCTGGGACGGAGTGGCCACGGAGCACTCCTGCGGATCCGACGAGTGGTACGATGGCAATAACGAGTGCGCCGTCGATGTCGCGGCCAAGTGCATCAATCCCTGCGGCTGTGGAAACGGCAACGTGGCCCATCCCATCTGCACCAAGTACTTCCAGTGCACGGACGGAGTGGCCAAGGTGGTCCAGTGTCCCGCCGGTCAGGGCTTCGACTCGGAGACAGGTTACTGCTCCTCCAACGTTGAGTGCTCTGCTGAGGATTGCTCCACCGCCTCCGATGGCACCACCTATCCCGTGGCAGGAGATCCCAGCAAGTTCTACTACTGCAACGACCAGGTGGCTACCATCGCCTCCTGTCCTCCAAACTCCGCATACGATGCCAGCCTGGGCTTATGCCAGTCCGAACCCAGCGTAAGCTGCCTTTGGTAATCTCTAAAAATAATTGTATTAAAACCTATTCCAACTGCAGACCAGCTGCGACCAGAGTGTTTGCAAGACAGCAGCGGATTACTCAACTTATCCTTCCCTGAATGACGACTCCTCGACCTTCTGTGTGTGCCAGGATGGCGGTGGCTACATCAACTCCTGTCCCACTGGCTTGTTCTACGACAAAGATGAAGAAGCCTGCACTTTCGTAAGAATATAAAAACATTATTGGATGGTAGATTAAATTAACAATATTTATATTTATATTTGCCATTACAGACAGGAAACTGCGATCCTCGAGTGTGCGATGACGAGTCGGAGTACTCCGTCTCCCAGGATTACGCAGATCCGAATAGCTTCTGCCTGTGCCGCGCCGGCGATCCTGTTTCAGTTCCCTGCCCCAGAGGCTACACCTTCGACAGCGAAAAACTCTTGTGTGTCCTCATTCCCCAGCCAGATGTAAGAATTAATACTTTTGTAATTAAAAGAAGAAATAATCAGATTTCCAATCCCATTTTAGCCACGTTGCTGCAAAAATAGCTGCGTCGGAAAATCGGACTTTGACACCGTGTCCGCCTTGCACACAGCCGATGGCTTCTGCCTCTGCGTTGATGAGGTTCCCAAGTACACCAACTGCCCCGCAAATTCCCAGTACGATGCTGACCTGGGTGCCTGTACTCCCGTTGAGGTAATGGTTACAAGTTTCCAGAGTTCCATTAGCTAATCTAAATTTTTGTAGGAGGAAACCATCTGTGCAGCGAACGAATGCGAAGCCACTTTGTGCGAGAACCAGCCGGACTATACTACCTATCCCCTGGGATGCAAGACATCCGGTTTCTGCTACTGTTTGAACAACTGTCCCGTTTATCATCCCTGTCCCGGTGATCTGGTCTACGACACCGATCTAGGCATTTGCGACACTCCTGTGGTGAGTAATGAATACTGAAATATAGAAATAATAATATAAATAATATAAATAATAGAAATAATACTGAAATATGTAATAATAACTATATTCCCTTGCCAGGATCCCGACTACAAGCCCAAGTGCAACGACGATCAGTGCGATATACTGGGGGATAACACCGCATTTGCTCCCAATGATGGTTTAGATGGCTTCTGCTACTGTGACGACGGTTTGGCCACTTACCATGATTGTCCCGCTGGCGAGCAGTTCAACGAGGAATTCGGCATTTGCCAAGCACCTGATGTAGGTTAAAAGAGGTGGTTATAAGAAACTTTTGTTTATACTCTCGTCATTTGCAGGATGCCTGCGTGACCGCTGAATGCGATGTTGCCAAGTGCGCAGCTCTGGGCAATGGCGGTACCTTCCCAACGAACTCGGCCACCGAGGATAGCAACTCCTTCTGCTATTGTGACGACGACCAGGTTCACCTGCTGCAGTGCGGCCCCGAATTGGTGTACCTACCGACAGAGGGAATCTGTGGGGTGAAGGAGGTGAGTAGATACTATAATAACAGTACTCACTTAAATAGCTTTAAATATCTAAAAGTAAAAGCAGATCCAAGAAAAGTTTTTAGCCCAATAATTGTACAATTTAATCACAATAAACACGCATTTTTGTTTGTTGCAAACACTAATGGTTTTTAATATTTAAAAATTGAATACATTGCTAATTATATGTTGTTTTCCAGGCACCTGCATGCACTTGTGAGGCTGGTAAATGCACCGCCACCGACGATTACCTTGCGTATCCGGCTCTGAATACGGAAAATGGCTTCTGTTTGTGCGTGGCCGGAACTCCGGTTTACAAGGATTGTCCCGAGGGCGAGAGCTTCGACAGCGACGTGGGTGCCTGTCTGTCAGCCTCAAAGATGTTGAGTGTCTACGGCATTTGTGATAGTGCCCTGTGCCACAGCCGAGCTGTCTTGGCCACCACCTATCCGGCCAAGAACACAACGAATGGATACTGCAGTTGCCAGGAAGTGGGTGTCTCCAGCTTCACCAGTTGTGCAGCTGGACATGTCTACGAGCAGATAATGGGAACCTGTGTGGTGGAGGCCTGTGATTACACCGTGTGCCTGGAGCGATCCGCGCCGGAAGCCTTCGAGGCGCGGAACACCACCGATGGATTCTGCTCCTGCAACGGAGTGCCGATCTTCCATCACTGCCCGAGGGGTCAGGCCTACGACAAGGTGGAGAAACTTTGCGCGATCAAGGACGCCATCGCGATGATCTCCTGCAGCCTGAAGGAGTGCAAGAGGCGAAGCCAGTTCGAACCCTTTGCCGCCGAGAATACCAAGTCCGGATTCTGCTCCTGCGATGACCAGGATCTCATCAGTGTCACCTACCATCCCTGTCCGGCGGGCGAGGTCTTCGATCCCGAACTCGGCGTGTGCTCGTTCCACAGCATCCAGAAGCGCTCCTTGGAGGCGGAGGAAAACGTAAGGTCCATCTCCCTGTTCAAGAGATTCTTCCCCAAACTCTTCTAGGCCAGCTTTCGGCCAAGCCCTCTATATACTCTACCCACTATCCTAACACTAACTAACTAGTTGTTATTTATGAGTTACGTTTCATGTGAATGTTCCGCTTGTTCCACTTCTATACGTATTAAATACCCACTAATGTACTCTACCCACATATGCGCTATAATAAATTCAAAATAGATGAATTACAACCTTTCGGCTTTTCATTTGTGTGCCTATAGAATGGAACATGTGGTAAATGGGGGGTTCAAAGTTCAAAGAAGCTTCAAAGTTCTGTGTGGCAATAATAGTTTCGGTTATATAGAAATGCAACTGCAAGAAATTATTATGTTTGGAAGTAATAACATAAATATTTAAAGTATTAAAGTTTAAATTAAGAAACACGAGTAGTACTTTTTGTTTTAGAACTTGTTCTTGAACTCCAGAAATTCCTAACCCTTGTTTAAATTTTATAAAATTTTAATAGCATTTCTTCTTTCCATTTTTAATGATAACAATTTGGTTTATTTGAAGATATGTGACCCGGATGAGATGCGTTCTGTGCCGGCAAACTGTTCCCAGTATGAAGTATGCATCGATGGCCACTGGAGGCGACGCACCTGCTCCGACCAGCGGTACTACAATCCAGAGCAGCAGCGATGTTTAGAACCGCGGGATGACTTGGTTTGTGCCTACGCCAGAGTATCGAATCTCCCGATCTGCAACGATTCAAGTGAATCCCAGACTGTGGCCACGAAAAGTGGCAACTGCTGGCAGTACTTCCGCTGCTCCGGTGGCAAGTGGCGCCTACGCAGCTGCCCCAGGCAGCACTACTACTCATCTGGGATAGAGTCCTGTATTCCAGTGCCGAGGGGCCACGAAAAGGACCAGAACCAAACGGTTTGCAATTGGGCGAGGGCAAAGTCGGCTGTGATTCAGGATTGCCAGCACCTGGAGGTGCGTCCTTCGTTGGCAGGCGGATGTCTCAGTTACCTGATGTGCCTGGACAACTCCTGGTGGCTGCACCAGTGTCCTCTGGGCATGTATTTCAGCACGGAGCACAACTACTGTTTGCCCAACGATGCAGGACAGTGTTCCCTGCCGGAGGAGCTGATTAATTCGAATTGCTCCGATGGAGAGAGCAGATCCCTGGTGGGCAGTTGCCACAGTTATGAGTTCTGTTCGGAGGGACAGTGGATTAGGAGGCGTTGCCAGGAGAAGGAGCAATTCAAACCCCTGATGGGTTGTGTGCCCAGCGATAGGAGCTGCCAGGATAATGGAATGAGGCGCGTTTGCAGAGAGGGTGAATTCAGAGCCCAGTTCAACAATTGCTCCCAAACATTCCTCTACTGCGAATCGGAGGAATGGCACTTGGGCAGTTGCCTGAGGGGACATGGTTTCGATTCGGATCTCAACAAGTGCCAGTTGCAATCGAAATGCCAGCCGAAGGTGAAGGATTTCGGTACGGAAAACCAATGCCTGGGTCAGTTGGATGGCCTGAGTGTTCCCGATCCCTCGGATTGCACTCGATTCTACTTGTGCATCCAACAAATGCCGGCCCTTCTGCAAAGCTGTCAATCTGGCAGCTTTTTCGACTCCAAAGAGGGTTACTGCCGACCAAATGATGGCTCCTGTCAGCTGGCCATTTGTTCGGGGTTGGAAGATGGCAAACTGGTGGCTCATCCGGAGGATTGTCGCTCCTACTACAGTTGCTCCACTCAGAATGGAACAACTTTGGTGCAATGCGAGGAGGGTCAGTACTTCCACAGCCTCCTCTCGATGTGCCGCGTGGATCATGGTCAGTGCAGAAAGGTTTCCGATCAGGAGGACACGGGAAATTCCACCAGCTTGTGCTCTGGTCTCCATGGAGTAAAGGTTCCCCACGAGACCTACTGCAATTTGTACTACGCCTGCGTGAAAGGCTTAGCAATTCCCATTGAGTGTCCCGTACAACACCAATTCAATCCGGTTCTATCGACTTGTGAACCGGAGTCACAGGCCGTGGAAAAGTGCCTCAATGGCCAGCTTGAGGGAAACTCCAGTTACGTTTACAGCTGTGGAAATCTGCAGGATGGCAGCTTTTTGGCCAATCGAACTGACTGCACTCGGTACTTTATTTGCGCAGGAGGAGTAGCCACTGCCCAGAAATGTGCAGCTGGCACCTTCTTCGACCCGGAAAAGCTGCTCTGTGTTGTGGATGACGGATCCTGTCCGCTGGTGGAAACCACTCCCGACGACGATGACAATCCCAATAACCAGCATGTCCCGCCAGATCCCCTCGTTTGCGAGGGAAAACATGGTTATATTATGCCCGATCCAGCCAACTGCAATAACTTTTACATCTGCGTTTCGGGAAAACTCCGCCATGAACTTTGCTACACGGATTATTTCTTCAATTCCACTTTGCAACAATGTCAGGCTTATGAAGTTAACTCTGATAGTGGTTATCCAACCGAGAAACCCGTGGAAACCCAACAAATGGAGATCGGTGGCCAGGAAAAGGCTGCCACTTCAGGAATCTGCAGAGATGCTGCCACCAGTTTCGCTGACATTTGTGGAATTATTGGAAACGGAGCCTCCGTGGCGGAACAAGGAGATTGTCGAAGGTACACCAGTTGTGATAATGATGAACCCACATCCCAGCGATGTCGCAATGGCGAAAGTTTCGACAGTCTCCTGGGAATCTGCCGGCAAAGCGATGGAACCTGCTTAATGGAGAATGGCGAAAGACTTGGTGTCTGCAATGGAAAACATGGACAACTGATCCGGGATGCGGATAACTGCCGAGGATACTTCACCTGTGTCCATGGGCAACAGATCGGTGGGGAATGCGAGCAGGGAGAGTTCTTCAATAGGTTGACCAACTCCTGTGAACTGGATGTCCTGCAGCAATGCAAAAGTGACACAGAAGACGTAATCAGGGGAGATAACCTACGTTAAACGGAGGATAATGCTTACTCTGTGAACTCTTGATCTGATTTAGTTAAGTCAAAAATTTGGTGGTGGTTGAAAACATATTCTACAACAATATTTCTTCCGGGAATAACAACATTCCTGTAGTTCCGATAAATATACTCAACTTAAATATCAACCAATTGCGATTCCGTGCAAATTACAAAACTTTAAATGTTTTTCAAAGGTTAAAAATAAATACCCATGTTTGTATAAAGTTGTAAACAACTCATTAACATGTAAATTGAGGAATTTTCTTTCAAGTTTGATGTTCCGCAATGAAAAACCAGATTGCGTGCACTTTGTTCTCTCATTTTCCTAAGTGCTCTGCGACATTATTGAGTTCTTTCAAAAGCTTTAGAGCGTTAAAAATAGACATGCAATATGGAAGTAAATAAAACTTGAACTATTTATTCACTAATAAACACATTAAATAATTAAAAGCTTAAACATTTAAGTTAAATGCACTTGCAAAGGGGCCTTACTTGACCCAAAAGACTTTTTCTTTTCCTCACTCAACTGACGCAATAAAGTCGACAAATAACAGCCATTTGCATACTTGAATTCTTGAGTACTTCTTCTACTTTACTAACAATAAGATACTGTCAATCAGAAACAAATAGAGCTGACAAAACGGTCAAATCAGCACGCACTAAAACCCGAAATAAAAAAAAAAAAACCAGGCAAGGTTGCTAGAGTTATTAATGACGTGCATTCAATCAAAATAGACTCCCGGCCGTACAATAATAGTACTTACAACATACGAGTACCAGACAATGTCGCATAGGACTCTATTTTTATGGTCACGAATTCGGGCTGGTAATCAAGCATAGGAGTAGTGCGCCCCTGGGATAGCTTCATTCAGGCCCCAAATTAATTTTGTCTATAGGTCAACCGCCATTATATACTATATTTATGTGGGAGTCTAAATGCCTGACGTCATCTACAACTATTACCACTGTGGTGCGGTGCTACAGGCGGCCTGATTTAAAATTAGAAAGTCATCACGAAGCACCTCGTGCAACAGCGAGTCAAATACCATATTAATAGGATATTCGTGTTAAAAGTACCCTTCGCATATCCCACACAATCATTATAGAAGCGTGGTTAATATGGTTTAGTCAGTGATGCGAAAATTTTACTAGTTTTCATTATCAAGAACTTATCAAAATGGTTGTGGATCTTGTTTTACTAAATATTTTGAACTTAGTAATATTTTAAACTTAACTTATTTTGAAGATATATTGGAACGTAACTTTGCTCTTTGTAATTTATTGATTACACTAAAACTTTGAATTATTTAATATATTTATAATTGTACATATCTTCGATCAGAGAAGTATTTCTTTTAACCAAATCATACCTAAATTAGTTTGATTTTAGCTTATTCATTTTAGGTTTGATACGTAATTTTTTTAATGGTATATTGTATAATTGCATAGTAATACAAAAAAATGGTTTAATTACCATTTTACTTTTAATTGAATTAAGTTTAAGCTCGACGGTATAACGTCCCAAAGGAGCACATATCTATCAATATGCGTCTAAAAGGTACTCGTTGACCACCCATCCCTACTCGTAGTGCTCCTTCCAGCGATATATACTCAAGTTCCACTCATCGGGAGAGCTGTGAGTACCAGTACAAGTACGAGTGCGAGTGCGAGTGTAACCGTGATTAGCTATCTGTCCCAGAGTGTCACTGTCCTGGCCAATGGGTCATAGCTCCTGGTCGGCCAATCGGTCAATCGGTCGGGAGCCGTCGTGGTGAGCGGAACGCCATATGGAAACCGGAAAGAGTCGAGTTCCGAGTGATATGTGAAGTGGCCAGGATGGACGTGCGAGCGTGTTCCTGAATAATGTGAACCTTGATTGAAAGATAATAGTTACCAAGTGCATTATAAAATCAATAGTGGATGGAACGTTTCAAGCTGGAAATTGAAAAAGAAAAACCACCAATAGATCTCGAGTTGATCAATTAACGTGAAAGTGATACACACTCAACTCCAATTGCATTTGAATACTAACCGCAAATCAATAATCGATTACTCATACGTATTGTGCTGGGAACGGACAGGAGCGAATCAATAAACCTTCAATTGTTGTGATTACTTCAATGGCATGGGACTTTTCACAACTGCCAACGAGCGCTGACATTTCCAGGACGTCCGTCGCACGCTTATTAGTGATCCAGGTACGAGTTTGAGTCCGCGAATGGATTTATTTGTTTGTCGTCCGGTGGCAAACCGCTGACCTATCCCCCCCACACCCACATTCCCATGTTCCGTATCCCCAATACCAAATCTAGGACAATTATTTAGAACCATTGTCATTCGTTGTAGTCACCACTCGTAGCAACAAGTTAGATTCTCGACCCAACTGGACCCTCTCCCAGGGTGCATTAGTGGCTAATGTGAAGGCATTATTCCCAGTGGTCGTAGTTTTTACCCCTTCCCCAAACGCAGATATTCCCCATCGGGCTGTACAAACACCTTCCGAAGGGTCAATGTCGAATGCGAGTTCACCTTTTGATTGGAGCGCGCCTGCAAATGAAGATACAAATACTCCAAGGGGTATAAATTAACGCCCCGCTCGAGGTTGTAGTATAAACATACATGAATAGTTAATGTGCGGTGAGCTCTCATCGAATCGGGGGATAAAGCTACGCCTATTGAATGACAGCTCCCTTCCGTAAAACTTTTCGAACTCGGTACCCTAAATAGTTTATCATGGGTAACGGAGCAGGTGCTCCGGAATCGAGTCTCTAAACTAGGCCAAATTAAAATGTGGCCCCATATGACGCGACGCCCCTCCAATTACGCTCCACAGGATTCCGATTCCATGACGCACTGAAGAGAGAGGACGATGAGCAGTCACGAAGGACGGTCCGGCGAGAGGTCACACATCTTTCAAATTCGGATCGACAGCGTCGAGGATGAGAGCACCGCCCCCATAACGGAGGCCAGTTCACGGGAGGATCTCATCGGGAGCGCAGCCAGGGAAGGCGACCGGAGCAGCGAGCAGTCCGTCTTTCAGTTTCCCAGTGAGTTTAAGAGTGAGGTTAAGAGTGGCAGCATAAATTACAAATATAAGAATATATAATCGTTTAATAGCTAAAGTTATACAGTGTTAACAGTTAACAATGACTACAAAAATTAAAATATAAACAAAAGTTAAATCGTTTAATAACTTAATTACATAACAGAACCAAACTTCACTAAATCAAACAACAGTCTTTAACAAAAATGTACAAAAAGGGATTCCCAGCTACACAATTAGACTTTGAATTCAGCATTGGATTGTCTTCCATTAATTAAACACCTATAGTTATTCATTCAACCTTTTTTAAGAAATAAAGCACAATCTTAGACCTTTCACATAAATGTTAAATGTTAATTAATTAACATTAAATACTCAAATTATACTCGGAAATATTTTGAGCCCTACAGTGGATTATGAAAAGTTTCTCAGAGATAAGCACCTTTCAAAGGGTATAATTTTGAAACATTAAAATCATTTAATATAAATAATTATTAAACATTTTATATGAATTTCTAAGTATATAAAAAAATGTACCTAGTAAACATACGTTAAAATTCCTATTATTTTTACTAATATTTCTCAAGGATTCCTTTCGGTGCCAACTCTGCGTAGTCCTCGCCAATCCCCAGATCCCTCCATCAGAAGGCAGGTGATGTCCAGTCCGGCAAAAAGCGAGCGAATGAGCCGCCGGAGTCAGACGAAGGTGAGACCACGAAGACTTAGCCAAGATAGTGGCATTGTGGCAGGAAGACTAATAGGATACGGGGTGAGTTTGGTTTGTGCCTTGAATAAACACATTATTCTGAATTCCGAATTCACAGGAGAGTGCTTTAATTGACTCGGATCTCCCACCAAGGCAAGTTGTAACCATTCCGGCAGAGAACTTATACCCCTGCCAAAAAGACGATAATGTTTCGGTTGGCAATGCCAAGCCCGCCACTCCGATTCCTCCGAAATCCAAACTGAGTGGAAATAGAGCGCGAGCTGGTTCGGCTACCTACACGGAAAAGTGGCTCAACTCCACGGTGATGCGGACCAGCAATGGCAACCCGCTGTTTCCCAAATCCAACTCGATAGCCGTGCCATTGCCCACTCACCTGGAATCCGAATCCGCTGAGCCAAGTCCCACGCAGGCATTTGGCCCGAAAATCGTAGGAAGTAATGAAGAGGACATTCCTGGCACTGCAATGCGTCGAAACCTCGGTCTTAATTTGAGTCCCACTTTAGAGTCCGCAGATCGTGTTAATCAATCCTATGAGATAATGGAGTCCTCGCACTCCAATGTTTTGCCCGATCAATTTGGCTATCGGCAACTTATGCCCACGGAGAGAAAGGCCTCGGATACCACGAGTTCCGTGAGTGGAAGTTACTACGGCAGTCGAAAGGCCAGCAAAAGCAACAGTTTGGGAGGTGAATCCGGAGATGAGAGAAGAGTCAGCAAGCAGGATCGGGGAGGGCTTGGATCCCGAATCGTTGATGTTCCGGGATGGCAGACGGAAGGTGGACATGGTCTTGGCTTGGGAGGAGGAGGATCTGGGCGTAATGACCGAAGCGGAAGCAAAAAAGCGGGATAATCGACGCTGCTTCATGGAGAACCTCATCAAGGAAGGACTTGAGGTCGAACTAGAGGACAAATCGCAGTCCTTCAACGAAAAAACATTCTTTTTGAAGATACATCTGCCTTGGCGACTAGAAACACGGCTGGCTGAAGTCATGAATCTGAAGCTTCCCGTCAAAAGATTTATCACCATATCCGTAAAGCCATCTTGGGTGAGCTCTTTCAGGCTTTAAAAGGTTAAAAGGGGTTTTAAATTATTGTATATCTGTTGACAGGATGAGGAGAATGTTGTTCTAAGAAACGTACAATATTGGAAGGATGTGTGGCAGCGCTTGACCAAAAAGATTCAACTGGATCATACTCTTTTGGAAGGAGAAACTACATTTAAGTCTGCAACAGCTAATGGCAATCCGGAAGAACAGTAAGTTATTCACAAATACAATTTTTGGGAGAAATTTCAGATTTATAAAAACCTTTAGTGATTCTTTTAATTTTTCTAAATTCATCATTAATTTTTAAAGATTATAAAATTCAGAAAACTATATAGGAAAAAATAAGTAAATAGTAATGTCAAAATGTGATACTGAAAAATATACATGCGTATACTTGATATTGCGCTTATGAATTGTTGTGCGTATACTTCATATTAAGTATACGTAAGCCAAATTTTTTTTTTTTTCTTACTAACTGTTTTTAATTTATTTCCATTTTTACTTACAGATTTATTGTAAAAGACCGAGCCACGGCCTTTACTAGCGCCCAGCGATCGCTGATGGTGATGCAGGTGCTCATCCGAACGCCCTTCGACGAGAGCGATCGCAGTGGCATCCGGCGGCTGATGAACGACGGCACCTACCTCGGCTGCTTTCCGCTTCACGAGGGGCGGTACGACCGACCGCACTCCAGCGGAATCTCCCTGGACCGCCGGGTGCTCTACCAGACGTGGGCTCATCCCTCGCAGTGGTACAAGAAGCAGCCGTTGTGCCTGGTTCGCAAATACTTTGGCGACAAGATCGCCCTATACTTCTGCTGGCTGGGATTCTACACGGAGATGCTCGTCTATCCGTCTGTGGTGGGAACCCTTTGCTTCATATATGGCTTGGCCACTCTGGAGTCGGAGGACAACACTCCCAGCAAGGAGATCTGCAATGAATACGGCACGGGAAACATTACTTTGTGTCCTTCGTGCGACAAGGCTTGCAGCTACCAAAGACTCTCGGAGTCCTGTCTCTTCTCACGACTTACCTATCTCTTTGACAATCCCTCGACGGTGTTCTTCGCCATCTTCATGTCCTTCTGGGGTAGGTAGTTCTGAAATCCTTTAAAGAAAATTGTATCATTTATTAGTACCAAAGTTATTATTAAAAAATGTTTGAGAAAGATTCCTTTATTAATTGATCAAATTAATCATTAACTAAACTTGGAACCCTTTAAACAGCCACCACTTTCCTGGAGCTTTGGAAACGCAAACAGTCGGTTCTAGTTTGGGAATGGGACTTGCACAACGTGGACATGGATGAAGAAAACCGTCCAGAATTTGAAACGAATGCCACCACTTTCCGGATGAATCCAGTCACACGGGAAAAGGAACCATACATGTCCACATGGAATAGATCAATTCGATTTGTCATTACTGGAAGTGCTGTGCTTTTTATGGTAAAATTTAATACATTTTATATGAATTTTTTTTGTCAGGAATTTATTGTAAAATTGTTTTATTTACAGATCTCAGTGGTACTCTCTGCTGTGTTAGGAACCATATTGTATCGCATAACGCTGGTCTCAGTAATTTATGGTGGAGGAGGATTCTTTGTTAAAGAGCACGCCAAACTTTTCACCAGTGTCACGGCTGCCTTGATCAATTTGGTTGTTATTATGATACTCACAAGAGTAAGATTAATTTGCAGTTTCAAAAGAAAACATTCGACTTATAATTTACATTCCATTTATAGATTTACCATCGTATGGCCATCAGATTAACTAATCTGGAAAATCCGCGCACTCACACGGAATACGAAGACTCCTACACCTTCAAAATATTCTTCTTTGAATTTATGAACTTTTACTCGTCGCTCATCTATATCGCTTTTTTCAAGGGCCGTTTCTTCGATTATCCTGGTGATGATCAAGCCCGGAAAAGTGAGTTCTTCCGACTAAAGAATGATATCTGCGACCCAGCGGGCTGCTTATCCGAACTTTGCATCCAATTGGCCATTATTATGGTGGGCAAACAGTGCTGGAATAATTTCATGGAGTACCTATTTCCCAAGTTTTGGAATTGGTGGCGACAGCGGAAACATAAACAGGTAAGATCTAAAATTACTAAAAAAAAATAAATAAAAATTAACAACACTTAAATAAAATGTAATAAAAACTATATGAGCTAAAATTAAGTTTAATAGGATTCAAACAATTCTTTTTTTAGGCCACAAAGGATGAATCACATTTGCACATGGCCTGGGAACAGGATTATCATATGCAGGACCCAGGTCGATTGGCTTTGTTTGATGAGTATCTGGAAATGAGTAAGTATTTTGTTATATTATATAACACAACTACATTAAAACTTACTAACTTTAATTTCCACAGTTCTTCAATACGGCTTTGTCACTCTGTTTGTGGCTGCTTTCCCTCTGGCACCACTTTTTGCTCTCCTTAACAATGTTGCAGAAATCCGTTTGGATGCCTATAAAATGGTCACGCAGGCAAGACGTCCTTTGGCGGAAAGGGTAGAGGATATTGGAGCTTGGTACGGCATCCTGCGGATAATCACATATACGGCCGTCGTTTCGAATGCCTTTGTAATAGCTTATACGAGTGATTTTATACCTCGAATGGTGTACAAGTTTGTTTACTCCGAGACCCACACTTTGGCTGGTTACATCGAGCACTCGCTATCCATTTTCAACACCTCGGATTACAAGGAAGAGTGGGGTGCCTCGGTCAGTGAAAAAGATCCTGACACCTGCCAATATCGGGGCTATAGGTGGGTTATATTCTTCAATCTATATTTGTACAATTTAGTAAAGGAAATGTTTGTTTGTCTAGAAATGGCCCCAAGGACTATGAACCTTATGGACTGAGTCCTCATTATTGGCATGTCTTTGCTGCTCGTTTGGCATTTGTTGTGGTTTTTGAGGTGAGTATCGTTTACGTTTATTAACTACTTAAACACTTAGAACTATAATAATTAAAAAATATATTACAATTTCAGCACGTTGTTTTTGTCATTACTGGCATCATGCAGTTCATCATTCCGGACGTTCCATCCGAGGTAAAGACCCAAATGCAGAGAGAGCAACTGCTGGCCAAGGAGGCCAAGTACCAGCATGGAATAAAGAGGGCTCAGGGCGATAATCAGGATATCATGAGCCTTTTCCGGGACACCAGCAATCGCACCTCGATCGCGGGAAGCCAAGTGACTGCCCGTGGCAGTTGGGCTCGTCGATTCAGCCGGCTGAGCGATGGATTGGATGCCCACGTGGAGGTGGCTGCCCGGCCACGAAGATCGGTGGAATCCACGGTCTGGGAGGTTTCCTGACACGAGGAAGAGGCCGAAAGTGAGGCCCAGGATCAGAACAAGAGATGAGGAAGCAACAGGAACTTCTAGGCATTGACCAATACTCGTCTCCTCTCCAAAAATCAATAAACTAGATTATTTCATGTGTAATTGTTGTCGAAAGCTCCACAGTTTATAGTTTTTTGTTAAACACAAATTTCATGCCCTTTGTAAATAAATAATGTTCAATGTTGTCGTGAAATAAAAATTGTTTAGTCTTAGATATAAAACTGGTTTGGAAATAAGTTTGGGCTTTCGTTTGTATTACATATTTGTTTATTTACTTTTAGTAGGTATTCTATTTCAACCTTAAAACCATCCGCCCCGTTGCCCCAACAACCAATTTGAAAAGACTTTGTTTATACCAAATCAGTTGGCTTTATCTACATATAAAACTATCTGACGTTTTAAATTTAACAGAAATCTTTCTGAAACAAAAATTATTTGAGGATGAATAAGAAGCTTTCGCCAGAAGATGCATTTTACGAAAATTTGACATTGGGCCTTATAAGGACCCTCTGTGAGTACGAGATTATCTTTAGAACTGAGTCCTGAAAAATTATGAAACACAAATTTTCAGCCAATGTGCCGAGGGTGTGTAATGTGACTTTGGAACGCCGACAACCTCTGAACTCCTGTCAGGTTGTCAATTGGGAGCAGAGACACTGCGTCTACCTTCCCGAAGATATGAAAAAGTTCTATCTTTCCTCTGATGGATTCATTCTGAACTGGAGTTATCAATACGCTCGTGAGTGGTTGTCCTCAATTTCCTTTTTCCTTTAAGAAAACATTTCTTTTTCAAGCAAACGATATCCGGCGAGTGGGTCACATCCACTTTCCACACCTGCTTCAGGTGACTCTTCTGCGGGAGAATATCGAAACAACAGCAAGCCAGTCCAGTAATTCAACGACTATGCCCAATAGCAACTCGGATGTCCTGGGCGCGGCAACCAGCTCGCAATCCATTCCAGCTACAGTGTCCTCCGGCAAGGACAAATGGGGAAATGCCACGCCTATTATAACGGCCAAGTCCAAGATTTTTGAGATCAACAATGTGAACGAGGTGGCCAAGGTGGGTTCTATGATTAGTATATAGAATCCTATATAAAAGTTCTCCGACAGGTGTGCATGCTGTACGAATCCACCAGTTCCAACAATCCCAAGTTCTATTTGCTGGAATTGAGCACCTTGAGCTGGCAATTTCTGGCGGACACTTTCAGTGAATACCTGAGAATGGCCATCGCCCATTTGGGTCTGCCCTACTGGGAGCTGTGCTTCTCCACCTGCGGACTGCCCTCTTGGACGGAGCAGCTGTTCCTTCTTCTGGCTCCACATCTCCTTGAGGAACACGAACCTAGACGCGGTAGAGTGTTGAATCCCGCCTGCGAGCATCCGTACAACATAATCGATCCGAATATTTTTCGGGGCAAGCCGAAAAGTGTGGCTAAAGCGACTGCCAGTAGTACTAAGCAAAACCATAATAAGTGACTTTCAGTAGAAAAGAAAACAATTTATTTGTGAGGGTACATAAATGCCACAAAACAATGAAATGAATACGTGCAAGGAGTTTCCTGAGGTAAGATTGGGTCAATATGTGCGGAAAAAATTCAATAAAGTAAATAAACCCCAATAGCAGATGTCTTATAAAATTTTCGGGTATGAAATTAGGTCAACTATTTTTGTCGTACCAAAAATTAGGTATGTATTTCTCATATAGACACTTATTGCTTACAAACGGGGTTCCAGTAAAAAAGAAATCCAGCTTATTTTCTTTTAGTTTAACTCTTTTAAAAAAATTAAAAGAGTGAACCAAAAACCAGTTTAAATTCCATGACTCATTCCTAAAATATTGACCCTCTTCTCAGAAAAGTGAATGGGGATTATGATTTGGCTACGATTTAATAGAAGTCAGCGCTCTTGTCTTCCAGATCGGCCAACATTTTGTCCCTGATTTGTGGTCGCGGATCTTCCGTAATCTCCGTGGGCACTGCTCCCGCCTGTCCCAACATAAATTCCAACTCCTCAGCGGTCAGTTTCTCGCCGCGCAGCTCCAGGGGACCAATGTATTGCTTTTTCAGCGATCCCTCGTGGTAAATGAAGATGGTGGGCAGGTTCTTCTCGGGGAAGTTTGGTATGCAGGTGGTGGCAATGGAGCGCAGGAACTTCGTTTGCGGGAAGCGGATGGCCAACTGTTGCATGTGATGGTGGATCAGGGCGCAGAGTGGAACTCCGTTGGCGTACAGGTGGAGAACCACCCAGATACCCTCGCCAGCTTTGGTCACCTCGTTGACGTATTCTTGTCCGGAGATTTCCCTCACCGATCCAAACCGCGCCTTTTCAGCCGTGGCCCTCATTTCAGCCATTCGCCTTTGGCGATATTGTTCCAAGACTTCCTCATCCTCGGAGTCTTCCAGCTCGTCGAGCTCGTCCAACGACATGTCGTCGATCTTCTTATCCCTTTGGCCCTCATTTAAAGGGAGATCTGTGCGCCGCTGGATGGCATCGTCCATCAACTTCTGGATTTGATCCTCGGTGATTTCCGCCTCCTTCGCCTTGGGTCCAATGATTCCCTTGGCGCGGAGCACATCATTCCACTCGGTGTCTTCATTTGGATCCTAGGAAAAATAAAGCCACGTGAGTTTTCATTCAGCATTTTCATTACCAAATATGGAATTTATTTTTGGCTGCACCATAAACACACCCACAATCGCGTTTACCCAAAGGGAACCAATTGTTTTTAGGGAAATTTGTGCAATTTATTGGGGTTTATCTTACCTGCATTTTTATTGACTGAACTTTGCTGAGATAAATAACTTAAATATATTAATTTTCTGAACGCATGCAACGTTCTTTTTACTAAAAATAAAACTGAATAATTCTAAACGAAGTGACTCATGACCAGGGATGGAGCGAATACCGATATATCGCCTGCTGTCAGTCGCTTAGAGATGCCAACTTGTTTTATAGCTGGTGAATTTAAATTCAGTTTTTAAAAATTATGGATAATAAATATTGGTAACTTAAAAGCGAGAGTTATAATAATCAACAAAATAAGGTTTTAGGCACACATATACATTTATTTAATATTTCATGGCAAGCGTTTAAAGAACAAATGTATGGACGCACGACCAAAATGATATTTTCAACAGACACTCTCCTTAGCTTTAATTTAAAACCGCGCTTCTTAACAATTAGGTACCGATTTTCTTTGTATCATTCATTTGTGATATGAAAAATGTTAAGATAAATAATATAATTCTTGGGCAATTGTATTTGGAAATTAAGCGTAATCATAAATTATCTTCACATTTCCTGCTTTGCCCTTTTAATAAATAATATGTAATTTTTATTCTTATTATATAAACTAAAACAAAACATAAATTCTTTTCGTTCTAGCATATAAATTACATTTCTAACTTTATGTTAACAAAGCTTATTCGGACACTCAGGCTGTAATTCTTTCGTTAATATTATTAAATGTCTTTCTAAGCGCACAATACTTGCAAAAACAATTTCCTACCTACGATACCCTTCACAGTTTTATTTTAAGACGTTTTAAGTTTTCGTTTGGGATCTAGAATTATCCTCAGATACCTTGTAGTAGTTGTTAAAATTAATAATACATATGAGGTCTCCGATTTCCTCCTGGTAACCAGATGCGGCCGCTTTGTTGCCCAAATATATGAGATACTGCATGAACTTTTCAAACTCGGATTCCTCCTGCATAAGGCGTTTAAAGCGGGGGTGCACAAACTTATTATCTTGATCCATTACAAATGATTGCGACTGAATGACTCTGAAATATAAAATTTAAATGTGAGTATCAACAAAAAAGAATAGTTGGTATGACTTACTTGCAAAAACGTAGCACAATAACAAGGATATTATCAATTGTTTCTTTAACCTTGGCACTCCTCCGATTAAGGAGAGCTAAGAAGGCGACCCGCTTTAAATACACAGCATGCTGCTTGTACAATCCCTCGATGGAATCGACGTTGCACAGCGCCTCCTTAAAGCTCCTCCAGGTGGCTTGCAGGGCTTTGCCCACTAAATGTGTCTGCAACGAGGTCATAAAGTGCGACAACTTGTGTCGCACCATCTGCAGATGCCGAAAATGAGCAGCTGTCCGGAGTTCCGGTCCAAGAAGCTTGCCTACTTGTTGCAAATACTCGTAGGTGCCTTCCAAAACATAGCTAACATGGCGTAGTTTTAGTAAGTGCCTGAAAATCTGTGCATATTTGACCAAAGTCTCCGAGCTTATCACCAGATTTAATGGCCAATCCACCTTGCAGTCAAGTGTTAGGAATGAAGTGGCTTCCACCGACATGAAACTAAGCGTTTCCGGTATGTTTGTGCAGTTGAGAGTGAGATTCTGGGATACCGTGGTCTCATCCGCCGGACACGCAGCCAAGGCATTCGTTAGCATTGTGTCCAGGATTCCCTTCTGACAAATGCTTCGTGGATCAATGCCCGCCTTAATTCTTTCCAGGATATCGTTTGTAAGTAATGTTCCAAACTGTCCGTCAAGTAGGAAAAAGTAGTTCCTCAACTTGCGGAAATGCTCATAGATACGAAGCTCCTGGAAGATCCGTAGCACCTCGTTTCGAAGCAGTGCATAGTGTGCATTTACAGGAGCCATTACGGAAAGCTGCAGACAGCGGCGGGCCATGAAAGGATTGCAGGCCTCCGGTAAAATGGGCAAGGTCGTTTCCTGTTCCAACTCCATTCCCATTCCAAAGCGAGAGGGCAGATGCAAAGTCGGTCTAAGCGATTCGGGTGATGAACCGACTGGTTTAAAAATTACAAGTTCGTGCCCTGGAGACTCCGCATAAGACTTTTCACTATTTACACTAATATTGTTATTATTAGCAGCATCGTTATCATCTTGTTCTGGTATTTCTTTGGGTGACAAGCCAAACACATCTACATCGGAGGTGGTGGACATGGGTGTTAGCGCCGCCAAAGGAACTTCAACATGCAGCTTGTTAAGTTCCAGCGGAAGACGAGGCAAGCGTTTTTCAACCTTATCGCCCACGATTATATCGTATTCGCTGCCCAAAACGCGCCGTCTATTCCGGGCACGTTCTGAATCCGATTGCACTTGAGTGCGCAATCGCTGAATGTGTTCATCCTCGGTTGAGTTAAAGCTGCAGAAGCCATCGTGGTGCTGGCTCCGCAGGCGGTTCCGCTGTAGATCACTCAGCTCTTTTGTTTCCGGGCGATTTAGATTGGCATTGATGTCTGGGGGAAGTTGAGCGTGCAATCCTGATCCCGTGCTGGTTTTAACTGAATCCGACTGTTTAAGATGAACAATCGTTTGACACTCCTGAATTTGATCCGAGGAAGGAATGTGCTGGCGATTTCGATCAAGTTCGGTTTTGAAGGCTGGCTCATTGGAGTTCAGAACATCCGAGTGACTTCGTAGGTATTGAACTCCGACTGAATCCGACTGTTTAAGATGAACAATCGTTTGACACTCCTGAATTTGATCCGAGGAAAGAATGTGCTGGCGATTTCGATCAAGTTCGGTTTTGAAGGCTGGCTCATTGGAGTTCAGAACATCCGAGTGACTTTGTTGGTATTGAACTGCATTGGGAACTGAAAGTTCTGGTTCTACCACGACTGATTGCTCAGGCTCCACACTTGCAATACTTTCCGATCCCACAGTTTGTGGTTGTTTCATTTCATCTTCAGCTGGCTTCTCCTCAACCTTGTCCGTTTTCTCATCGTCTTTTTGCGAGGGCGAATCTGCTCGATCATCGGGTTCTTCGAGACAGGATGTAAAACTGAGGTCGCTAAAAGTGCTCTGGTCCGGACTCGCCGCTTCATGAGTTTCTTTTTCAGCCGATTTGCCAGCCAGCTGTGATACTTTCTTCTGCAACTCTTGCTTTTCCAGCTCTAGCCGCATATCCTCCAACCGTTCACTTTCGCGCTGAAAAGCAAGCTCATTGACAATCTCCTGTCGCCGCTTCTCAAGGCGATTTTGATGATCCTGTTCTATCTCCGCATTGAGTTTATCGTACATGATTTTCTTCTGGGCGTTCGCCTTAAGCAGTAGTTCACGTTGCTCGTTTTCCCAGGCGTCCAAATGGGCCTGGGTGCGTTTCACCATGATGTTTGCGAAGTTTCGTTTAGCGGCCATCCGTTCTTCAAAAATGCTTTGCATGCTGCACCATCCAAATTGCTGGTAGATATCTGCATACCTTTCCGCTAGGTTGCGACGCATCTCTTTAAGCTGCTGCTCTGTTAGACAGACCACTAGATCTGGGTACTTCACATCAAATATGGGGTGCTATGAGGTGAAGAGAACGACTAAGAGAAAGTTGTAGGTTGGAACCAACTTTTACAAACCTGAGCTTTGTAAGCCTTGAGCACCTGGTTGTAATTGCCACACTGGAGGATGTCCTGCTCGCAGCCGGTCAAGAAATCTGGAATCGCATCGTCCACTACTTGGTAGCCCCTATCGAAGAATTCCTTGCTGCACTCGTCTAGCAAAGCTGGCGAAGTATTTATGCAGCGTGTGATAAAAATCTCGTTAACTGCCGTATCCAGTTCGCCCTTGTAGATCCATTTTTGGAGCTGGATGAAGTACGTTTGGGAGATGCAGCGCAGCAAATAGATGAGCAGTTGCAGGAAGTCACTATTGCCACAGGTGTCGATGGCCACCCAGATGCAGCTTAGCAGGAAGGAGCCAGATACCCCAGTATCAAGGTTTACTATTTAATTGAAATTATAATTCGACTTTTTACTATATGGTACGGTAAGGTATTCTTACATCTTGGCTCATTCTTGAACATAATTTCCACTTGACAGAGCAGCTGCATGGCAAGACGCGTGTTGTCCAGCAGCTGGGGAAGGTTATCCACGGTTTGCGTGAGGAGAAACTGTCGACTCGTAGCTAGGAAATCTGCCAGGACCTCTCGCATGGCCTGCAAAAAAATCTTGATTCGGAAACCATTCTGCAGTGTGTAAGGGATTTTAACTTACCCGATTTAGAGGCCTTTCTACGCGAGATTTGGTGTTCCGATTCCATCTGACGCGCGCACTCAATCGCCGAAAGGCACTGCCTGAACGCAGAAAAGGATGTGCAAAAGCTTCTAGCACCTCTGGCAGCACAGAACGTAATGTGGTGTTGGGTCGGAATACCAACTCTAACTCATCCTTTGGAGAACTTAGGATTGTCTCAGATTGAAGGCCTGCAGCTGCTTTTTTTAGATGAACAATGAAGATTGATTCCTCTATATAGCTGAGCTCCAGTTCTTTGTTCTGGAGGAGCTTCAGTTCATTGGTCATCATTTGGTCAGAAATAAAATACTTCTCTGGTCCAGGGTTGGCTACAAAGGGCGGTGGCTTCTCAGGAGGTGGGCTCTTTTTCTTGATGACTGGCAATCGGGGCGGTGGGTTCATTGGGGAAATATTGAAATCTTCCATGCGCGACATGGATTCCGCTATGGCGGAAAATTTTAAGTAAGCTGGGTTGATCTTGGGTCGTGGCCACCTTGGGGTCGTCTCCTTTTTGAATCTGCTCATGAGGAGATTAGAGTACGGCTTCAGTTGCAGTGGCTTCAAAGCGCGCTGCATTTGGTCCAGAGAGTTTAGAGACTTGGGACATTCCTTTAGCAGAAGCTCCTCGGTTTTGTGAAGCTGCAGTACACCCGGTTGTAGCACTCTAATTCTATTTTTGGATAAGTTTTCTTCATTTTGCTTCTGCTCCTGAGAAACCTCTTCTTCCCGTCCTTCCAACAAATTCTGGATGCTGTGCAGCATCTCGCGCTGTTTAGGGTTCTTGGCCACCTCATCGCTCACCTGCTCGAGCATCTCCAGTTTCTCCTGGGTGGACATCGTCCCGCCGAGCAGCAAAGCTTCGTATATTTTGATGCGCCGCTTGGCCACCATCGCAGCTGTGGGAACATTGGGCTCCAGGCCCTCCGCCTCCAGCATTGTGGCCAGCTGGGTCACCAGGTCGAGGACGCTGTGGTTGCATTTAGCCACGGTTGCCATCGGAATTCTTTTTGGACTGCACAATAACGGGATACGTTCAACCCAATAAAACAAAAACAAACCAAGGACTAGAGCGCGGTGTGACCGCACCGCTGGGTTGGAAATATACTGAAATTTTGGAAAAATACCAACTGATGTTTAAATTCCGTTATGTTCAAAAATTTAAAAGTTATACACACTTCATGATAAGCCTTTCTAAGGTTTTAAAATGTTTGAAACCTTAACTGTAAATTTGAATATTTATAAAAAAAAGTGTAGTTCTCATGCCAACATTTTTCAATGATTTTTTTTTTTTCATATATAAAAACAAATATATTGAATAGCCCGTTGCAACCGAGAATCAAACACTAAGCCACTGTCACAAAAAAACGATTGCGGTTTACACTAAATTAAAAAGTTTTAAATATATTGTTCTTTTGTTTTTTTTACAAGTACACAATATTCTATTTTGCCCTTTGGCTTACAATATTAGCTTAGTTACCTTACTTTTGTATCGTAACACAATTAAGACATGCAGAATTTGAAATTGAATCTATTTTATGCAGATTTCTCTCATCATTTTTTGGGATTTACAATTAGTTTTATGCAATTTTTTTGTATTTTGCGGTTTATGCTTTTTTTTTTTTTTTGGGGCTTGCGTGGTAACATCAAGAGAGTAGCTGAATGGACAACGGGATAAAAGTTTGTAAATGGGAACGTTCCGTGACTGATGACAGACTATTGCAATGGTGTGGTTGCAGCGAGAAGCGGTTGTCCAGGTGGTGTGGCCTGCACAGTTGCCGGCGGACCACCGGATCCCTCCTGCTCGATCTTCCGGTCGTGTACGACCACGTTGCCCATTAGCACGAATCATGAGGCGCTGTTCGTCTCGCCGTTGCTCTCGTGGAAGTTGGTGCCATTAACGATGAACGAGGTGCCCAAGCCATAAAGGTGTCCAGAGTACTTGGCATGATCGATGTTATCCTCGAAGAACATCTGAAAAGGTTTGAAGAACCATTAGACATGAAACTTTAGATCGTGTTTGAATTGGGACAGGACGAAATTAGTGACGAAATTAGTAATGGTATGAATCTCTACGATGTTCTAAGCGAGCAAGATTAATTCGATACATTGAAGCGTTGAAAGCACATACATCTCTACCGCAGCAAATCTTAATAGTAACCCCAATCAGATCGGGAAGTCTTAATTATAAAGTTGTTTAGTTACATACCGTATACCCATGTGGTTAGATGGAGGTTTTATATTAGTAACATTCTTAATTTTGTTGGTTAGTATAGGAGTGGGAATAAATCTGCAATTTTCTTATTTCGGAATTCACCGGCAGTTCGTTAGAATGTAAAGCACTTGCTAAGTTGATACACACAGTGCAGTGTGTGGAAAGTTACGTCATTGTAACGCTTAAATGGCAAAAGACACAATACGATGTTTAACTCTGTTAAAAAATCAAAACATTTTAAACTTAAAACTAAAATGAACTCAATAAATTAAAAAAGGCAAAGGTCCCAGCTAATATACAGTTAAGCCAAAAGTTTAGGTGATAATCAAAAAGTTGCGTACGCATTGCCCAGGCACCAAAAAATATAAATAAAAATTTAAAAAGAAAATTAATTCCAATTCATTTAATTTTCAATTCAAATCCAGCAATTCTCTCAGTTCACTTCGTTTCGCGAGCTTTAAAACTAAAAGACATGTTACACATGGTTTTAACAGATTCAATCTAACTAGAAAACACTTCAAGTTATGGATTTCATTCATAAATTCACAAATTACTGCCCGATGGCACTGCAGATACTGCATGGTATAAATAACTATTTACATATGTATGCTATGTAAGGAAATGGGTGAGTTGTGACAACCATGAACCAGCTTAACCTAATGAATTGATGATATCAACGATGATGATTGGCGGAGGCAAGTTATGTTAGTAGTGGCAAGGGCAGGGCAACACCACTGCTATTTAAAACTCCAGTTTTTTCTTGGCCTGCGAATCGGAATAGACGCAAAGCAATTGGGCAAGCGAGGAGTCATTGCGATCCGGTAAGCCGGGAGTTGCGGGAGGCGTGACCACTAAGGAGCTCGAGGTAAGTAGGTCGCCGCTGGAGGAGCTATTGTTGCCCGTGCCGTTGCCACTGCTGACCTTTGCAGCGTCATCGGGAGGCGAACCACCGATGTACGCCGGACGGCTCAGCAGATCGATCCGGCTGACCGTCGGCTTCAGGTTCATGGTGTGCTCAAGCAAATAGGAAAAGAGTACAACGGGCGCTTCAAGGTCAAAGTGCAAATCAATTGTGTGCTGTACCTCACGCATTTTGAAGAACGCCATGCCTGTCAGCAAAGCATCGGAGCCGGCCTGATGCTGGGGGCCAACGCGCCGCAGTTCCAGCTGATCGGCCACCTCCTGCAGGCCGCCCTTCAGGGTCTTGCACGACTTCATCAGATACTTGATGTCGAAGATGTTCGGGAAGTAGATGTGCAGCAGCTCGAAGAACTCGCTTTCATCGGCGGGCAGGTTCTGATCGGTGAGCAGCTTCAGAAGGTAGCCGAAATCGTAGCCGGAGTGGAAGCACAGCCACTTAATGTTGTCCACCAGCACGATGCCGGAACTCATCAGCAGCTCGGCAAACTCAATGGGGTCGATGCCGTCCTCCTCGTGCTTCTTGAACTGGATGCCAGAGTTCTGCAGAAGATCGATAGAGTCCTGTGCGTACATGTCCTCGCTGGGGAAACCAAAGGATATTAAAGAAGTTTTAATAATAATTTAACGATTGTTATCTTACCTCAGGTTAAACTTGAAGTTAAACTGCCAGGTGGAATAGCCGGGGGGTGTCTTGCCATCATCGTCCATGAAGGTCAGGCCCAATTGGATGATCCGCAACAGGTCTACATTGCAGCGCAACAGCTGGTAATGGTAGTCCGCCGTGGAGCGGAATTCGCCCACGGGTCGAGCCACCACACCCGGAAACTCTGTGTCCATGGCTACATAGTGGTACTTCTGCACCACCTTGCGAATCGTGCGGAACTCCTCCTCCAGGTTATGCTTCCACACGTCCCTGATGCCGCATTCCTCGTTGCTGGGTATGTGGACCTGGCCATGTGCGGCGCCACTTATGGCCGAGGGCATTGTCTGCGAAAGGTATGGGGTTTCATGTAAACAAATTTGTAACCTAAGCTTTTTCGGGGGATATATAGTGTACTTATGTGTAATTGTGTGTGTTTTGGAGTCCCACAAATAAATTTATAAGCTTTGGCAAATATTGCATTCATTAGTAAGAAATACTATATGGCAAAAAAAAATTTGTATAGAACAAATAATATTTAAAAAATATATTCTAATAAAATAACCCAATTTGAAAAATGCAAAAAGGTTTCTATAAATATTTTTGTAGCCCCTAATAAAACTAATCATAAATAATATTTCACCAAGTGAAATGAATTTTGAAAAGTTCTTCCCACAATTTCTGATTCGCTTGCATCCATATTGTACATAAGTAAAAATAAACAGTTATTCCTCCAAGTGTGTGTTGTGTTTGTGTGTATTTTGTGAGGAGGTGGGGGTTAGCAACATAATAAAATAGCTGGTCCAATTGGTTAAACACGTTAGAGAGCAACTAAACAAGAGTTTGTAATTGAAGTTCGGCCAATTTCGCTGTTAGAAGTGCTACAATTTTGCTGCAGATACGAAAGAACAACGAAAAATCAAACAAAAACGAAACAAAGGCACGATTTTGGAAATTTGCTTGGAGGTGGTTACTGGAGTGATGGGGATTACGATAGGCGCTGCTTACATCGTCGCCGGTCGCCGCCTGGTGCGCACTCTTCGTCGCCGGATCAGCCACCTCTTCGCACTGACCTACAACCAAGCCTCAAGCAACAAGTTCCTCTTGGGTAAATGGTATTACGGTTTGGTTCTGAAGATCAATGCTCTTGATCAACTTGGGAGGGGAATCGGAATACATACAATTGTAACTATGCCTTTACAATAAGCTAGTGCACCTAAATCATATTGTATTCGTCGACACACTTTTTAAATATCATACGATTTGCATTGAAGGCCTTAGACTCAGTTAACGACAACAAATCACCAAATTAAAACTATGTTTTGTATTCTGTGCTGTATTGCCAATACTAGTAGAGTAAAACGGGTCAAATAAAATGTATTAAGACTCGTCTCCCAGTCATTATTACAAAACAAATGAATGTATTGTAACACAAATACTTCACGCTTTAAATTGCCACCTCGTGAGTTATGGTCAAAAGTTTCTATATGCGAAATTGACTGTATCTGGCTTTCATAGATTCAGGGATCTGTTGATGCGAACAAAAAGACGGATCCGATGTTTAAAAATACATATATTTATAACTATTTGGGGGCTGAAAACAACCCAATAAAATTGAACAAGGGAAAATCATGTTATCCTGGAAGTGTCAACATTTGCTAGGTTTCGTTTAACCAAAAATATACAATGACACTGAAAACTTTCAAGGTTTTTTTTAAATTTAATGGAGGATATCGCCACAGTGTACAACCTTAATGTAACCGTAAAAAAGTTACAAAATCCGTTAAATTTGTTGCGAAAATTAAGCACCTAATAAACAGTTAGAACGCCCTCAAAAAACTGCATACACACACTCACCGCACCGAAACGCATACACACTCATGCAACGGCATTGAAGATGCATTTGCATTTGCAGTTTTTTTTCCATGAAAAATAAAGGCCCTGGAATCCGGCCCTCCATTCGGAATATCCGTACACCCACTCGTTCGCCTTAGCAGCTTACCCATTTCATAATATTCGATGGCGGTCTGTGTAGATCTTAGATATTTGCACAAAATGTAGTTTTGAGCGGCGTCTACTCGTTTTGCGGGGTGGTGAGGGGGTGATGGCCGGGGAAATTGTTTGGATTTCGGCACTTTCGCTACCGTTACAGCGGTCCTCTCGAGCAGGAACCTTAGCGTGAAGAGTCCTTGACGTCTCGCAATGGCTTCCAATTGATTTTATTCAGCGAATATTGTTTGCGAGCCGCGCAAGTGCCATAATAAAAAAAAATTGTTCGTGATTCCGACAGTGTAGGTAAGCGCTTGCCTTTCGATTTTAGTGCTGGTAAGCGTTCGAATAACGAAATATCGATAGTTCAGCCACTATTTGGGGCCCTACTTTAAAATTTTGAGTTTTGTACACATGTGTATATGAAAAATTATAAAATGCAACATATATTTTGATAAAATATTAATATAGGCCAAAATAATTTGTCTGTTTTGAGTATTGTCAATAGTGAGTAGCGATAAGATCCTGCCTTTAGCCTCCTAGAGGTCGCTAATGTGAATAAGTAAGGTTTCGCAAAGCGACAACCCTAGACTTGCAGCTGTTCAGTGGAAAGCAAACAAATTTATTTATTTCAAACTCACCGGTACAAGTGCTTGCAAAAAGTTATTAACATAACTGTTGAGTGATAATATCTGATAATTGTTTAAAAACTATAAAAGAACCAACCAGTAAAGGTTGCTTTGTTTGTTTTTCGGTTTTTGTGTATGTGTCTTTCCTTTCATTTAGTTTAACCCATTTGTTGACGCAAATTCTGCGAAAACTGGCTCGCGTTATAAATAAACAATTGGTTTCCCTGTCTTCGTTTTTTCTCGCATTGTTTACTACTACTACATTTTCACTACTTAAATTGTCGGGTATAAGAAAACTAGTTTTTGGGGTACATACATTTGACTGGGAAAAAAGAAAGCAAAAAAAACGCAGATTCCTTCACGCCGTCTGTCAACAATCGGCAATTAGGTGTTTTCATATGAATGTACCATTTATGTACATATGTATATACACATGAGCATATCAGTGGTCTCTCCAATTATATTGGTTTCGTGGACCGGGAAAGAACGGATTTCACCAGTTTTTGTGAAGGGTTAATAAACTTTTCGCGCTTCACGTTGCACGTTTTTTGCTTTTATGCTTTTTTAATTCCGGTTACAAGTTCCTGATAAAGAGTACTTGAATGAACGTTCCCCTACTGATAAGAAATTCTCTTCTCGCAAGTCTTGATCTTGATTATTAGTAAACTTACAGCAAGGTCAATATAATTGTCTAGCTTTACGGAAACCTTAAATTTAAATATTAGGCTTTTTCTTTTGGCAGAAAATAGATTTTAATATACCTTTGCAGTTCTAACTGTTTAAGTTTAAAAGTTTCATTCTTGATTTAAATGTGGTTTTATAGTATTTTTTAATATTTCAAAAATCGTGGTTAAATTGTATGCATATAACAACTTTCTAATGGTTGGCGGAACTAATAATACACACTGCAAATCATTCGGCACTTGAAACCCAATTTATTTACGCTTTAAAGTGGAACTATGCACATTTAGTAAACAAAAACGGTGCTAAATCAACTGAGTATTACTCTAAAAAAAAGTTAAATACTTAATGACACAAATAACAATTTACTGCAGTTCAAATAGTCTTTTAAAATCCAATTTAAATAAATGCTGATTATTATTTTTACAAAATGATTTCAAAACATTTCCATTCAAGCTAAAGTAAGTGATATAACAAACAAACGATTCGCGCAAAATTATTGGCCATAAATTGTAATTAATTCGCAAACAAAACAATTCGAAATTCAATTTGCGGGCACATATCTCGTGCTCATATTTATTTCTTTCGATCGAGCAATTTGATCACGTTTTGAGCGGCCCGAACCAATACTTTCAACTCTGCCACTTGTTTAGCTAATTGAGGCGGTCGTGTGATCACTGATCAGTTACTCTTCGCTCACGCGATCTCCCGGAACGATCCGTTGACTTATTCTTCAGTCTTTGGCCAGCCACCCAACCGATCTGAGCTCCAAAGCTCACCGGGCTTTTACCCAAAAGAATTTACAAAAAAGAATTCAGGTCTGCGAAAGAACGTGCCCTTCGCACAGACAACATCAAAACATTTGTTTAAATATCTACGTGAGTTTCCAACAAAATATAATGAATTGCGGGTAGATAATAGACTTTTTCGACCGACTTTGTTATTATGTGAAATTGGCTTAAGTGCCTCGAAATAGATCGTTGAGTTATTGCGTTTGGCTCACCCTGAGAACAGCTACTCAAACAATTTCCAATCAAATAAATAATGTAATGAACCAAAATATATAGAAAAGCTGCCCTTTCGGTTTAAAATCCTTTAAAATTAAAAATGTTGAATTTTATAACTCATTTGTGAAACCTTTCATCACTTTCATTTCAATCAAATTAAAATACAAACCCAGTTTTCTATTAAATCGGTTTTATTTATTCGGTGAGACATTTGTAATCATTAAGGTTTGTTTGCTATTCTTCTTTATTTATCACAAACTCGTATTTCTTCTATTGTTTTGAGTTCCTCGGGGCTTGTTTATGACTTGCTTTTTGGTAATAACATATTTTGACGTCTCTTTTTCTTTGGGCTTGTCCGTCACGCAGACGTCTCGTAATCAAATGTATAATTATGCTAAATTTGGGCAAGTCGTTGACCTGCGCTTGTCAATCTTTAGATTTTTTAGATTAATTCGCTATTAATCTTCATTGAAAATCTCTTTTTGTCATATTAATGAAATACAATTTACAAGAAATAAAAACTAAACAACTATTTTAGGTTTCTAAAAAACTTCAAATAATCCAATCAATATTCTTGACTTTAATCTTCAGATAAATAAAACATGAGCCTCCGGGAATGTGGATATCGGCTCCTGCCGGGTCTCAAGTGGCTGCATGGCTACACCGGCCAGGATGCAGTGGCGGATTTGATAGCAGGAGTTACAGTTGGACTCACAGTGCTGCCCCAGGGATTGGCATATGCCACGTTAGCTGGATTGGAGCCACAATACGGCCTGTACTCGGCTTTTGTGGGCGGCATCATTTATGCCATGTTGGGCAGCTGCCGCCAAGTGACAATTGGACCTACGGCTTTGCTGGCTTTGATGACCAGCCGGCATACCGGATTGGGATTGGCATCTGGGCCTGCATACGCAATACTCCTGTGTCTTATATCTGGTATAGTGGAGCTCGGAATGGCAGTGCTTAAGCTGGGTGCATTGGTGGATCTAATTTCACTGCCGGTGACTGTGGGATTCACCTCAGCCACTGCTGTCATCATTGGAACATCGCAGCTGAAAGGCTTGCTGGGTCTGCGTGGAGGATCTGGATCTGATTTTATTAACACCATGCGCTCGGTTTTCGGAAACCTCAACAACGTGCGACCAGGCGACTTTACCCTAGGATTGACTTCCATCGTAGTTCTCTTGCTGTTGCGTGTAAGATAATACTTTTAATTACCTTTTGCAACCACTACTAATTATGTTCCAATTTAAATAGAAACTTAAAAACGTAAATCTAAACGGAAGAATCACAAACTTACGTGCACAGCAGTTGATAAGCGGTGGCATCTGGGTCATCGCCACCGGGAGAAATGCGTTAATAGTTCTGGTGACCAGTATGGTAGCTTACAATACTTGCGAGCAAAATGAGGATTGTCCCTACATCCTCACCGGAAAGGTTAAAAGCGGCCTGCCCAACATTTCACTGCCCAAATTCGAGACCACGATTCTGGATAAGAATGGCACCGAAATCACTCAGAACTTTCAACAAATGGTAAGCTTTATGACTCACAATCTAGTTACTTTTTTTTGCGACCGAATAAATTTCAAGGTCTACAATCTGTTTAACTAAGTGCGTCGGTTTATCTGGTTTATTATTGCTTGCTTTAAGATTCTCGTAGCGTTACTTGTTTTTAATTGTTTGTTCTAATGATACTTAGACTTGAAGGTATCTAAATTAATTCAAATGCTTTGAATTGGATTTATTATTGAATAGGTACTGTTTGAAATTAGTATTTAATATTCGGGATCGGATCATTAACAACTTTAAATTTTATTTATATCATTCCTTTCTTTCTTACCATTTCAGTTTGCCGAATTGGGTCCTTCCATGTTGGTACTACCCATTATCGCTGTGCTGGGCAACGTGGCCATCTCGAAGGCCTTTGGCGGAGCTGGACTCAGTGCCACGCGGGAGCTAATTGCCCTTTCGATGAGCAACATTTGTGGAGCCTTCTGCAGCTCCATGCCGGTGACTGGATCCTTTTCGCGCAGTGCTGTTAACCACGCAAGTGGTGTTAGGACTCCTCTGGGAGGCTGCTACACGAGCATTCTGGTTCTCCTGGCTCTTGGCCTTCTGGCTCCCTACTTCCAATACATTCCAAAGGCGGCACTCAGTGCGGTCATTATTTCGGCGGTTATATTCATGATCGAATTCGAGGTCATCAAGCCACTGTGGCGCTGCAGCAGAAGAGAGCTGCTCCCGGGTGCCATCACCTTTGTAATGAGCCTTGCTGTGGGCGTCGAAATTGGCCTCTTGCTGGGCGTGAGTGCCGATGTGGCCTTCCTGGTTTATCGAGCTGCCCGACCCGTACTGACTGTCTACAAGCTGCAGACCAGCCATGGCATCAACTACATTCTGATTCGTCCGAAGCACAGTTCACTGTACTTCCCGGCCATCGAATGGGTGCGATCAGAGATCTCCAAAGCATTGGCCACTCACGGAATCGCTCCTGTTGTCCTGGATTGTGCTCATGTTCACGGTAACTTTTTGTAAGAGGTTATCCAGTATTTTTAATAATATTTTCTGCTTGCAGATTTCGATTTTACGGCTGCTCGAGGAATGGGTTCGTTGCAGAAGGAACTTTCCAAAGCAAATGTGCCCTTGTTTTTGATGAGTGCTCATAAGGATATTGGTGTTATTCTGAAAGAATCAACCAACATTGATTTCCCGACTATAGAATGCGCTGATGACTTGGAGTTCCTGTTGGAGCAAAGTGAGATTAGATTTGGTAGTTACAATTTTCAAGCTGTTCATCCTTTCTGGGCAGGAAATTTCTCACGCTTTTCTGTTTGCTTCGCTTTTATCCACAGCTTGTTCTTCTGTTTAATCCTATAAAATCAGCAACGCCACATCTAGCACCCTCCATCTCTATTAAGTCAAGAATCTGAGTTCGATCTGTAACTAAAATTTTGTTTTTCCAGCTCCCGAGTACTGTCTGCATTTGCAGATATCAACTCCACTCGTTGAATCGCGTCTGGTACATTGCGATGCTGGAGAGCCCACTGAACTGAGTAAACTAAATGGAAATACTTCTTAAGAACCAGGATATTGTTTGTTTTAACTGTACTTAAGTATACGTTGCGGCACAAGTCTTATTTATGTCACCTTCACCTGCATAATTCTTTGCAATAATTTATAAAACTCGCAGCTCTCTAAGCTTTTCCTATTCCCAACTATAGTATTTAATTCAGTCCACATTTCATTTGCAACTCTTCCATTCCTGTATCCTAAAGTTTCCTCGATTAAGTTAATTTCAAAATGTACATACATATATAAATAAGTTTTTATAATTGTTTTATAAGTTGTTTTTAACTACTTAACTTTTAGGTAATAAAAAACCAGCTTAAAATTATGCACTGAAAGTTTTGAAAAAACATAGTTTTAAAACATTGCTCGAACTGATTAGGCATATCCCCAAAAGACTACACCAAACAAGAAAGAAAGCTGACTTCGGGGATCCGAAGCCTATATACTCTTGCAGTCATCACAAGTGTTGAGCTTAATGGATAAAGGCTTAAAAACCTTGAACCCATGACGATTTTTCTATTAGTTTGTTATATTTTGACAGATTTTTCCCTGACAGCTTTATGATATCGTCGTCCGATTTTCATGAAATTTAATTCAAAACTCAAGAGTCGTTAGAAAATTGGATATCCAAAAAACAACGATGATATAATTTTGTTCTGTTCATTTTGAATAGATTTTTAATTTTTCCTTTGGGACATATATGATAAAGTCGTCCGATCTGTAATTTTCCGATTTATATACTGCCTGTCTGTATTTACTACTTAACTTTTTTTTCATTAGGACACAAAGAGTCTCTTTCACTGCGTTGCAAACTTCTTACTGAAATTGAATTCCCTCTGCAAGGGTATAAAATGCTAAATATAAATTTTTTAAAAAGGTTGTTTTTATTTAATCTTAATAAAATTCGCATTTACTTTATATATTTGTTATTTATAAGAACTGATGCTTACGATAGATATGTTTTTAAAACTACAACTTTACATGCGTATGAACTATTAAAAGACAACTTTAAAGAAAATTACAAAAAGAGTGTCGTGTTTAAATTAAAAAAAACATTCGAAGGCAATAAATAGCAAAAATTAAGGTCTAGGGTAGCGCTTAAGTTAGGATAGCGATTAATTCGAAGGGTTCACGACGAGTACAACACTACACAACAATCGACATTTACAAATCGGTGATCTCGTGGTGAGATTCATAGACACCGGATGCTCCGCCGCCGATATTCGACATCCGTCCGGCTGGATCCTCGTTGCTCATGGAGATCCGGGTGAGCAGCTCGGTCTGGATGCGCTTCAGCACCTCGACCACCTCGCAGAGGACTCCGCTCTGTGCCGCCTGCTGCATCGCCTCATTGGCGTCCACCAGCGCCTCGTTCAGTGCTCCCAGTTCCATGCGCGCCTTTGCCCTGGCGTAGTATCCCTCGTAGCTATGTGGCTTCTGGGCAATTGCCTGCGTGGCCAAATCTATGGAGGCGTCAAGTTCCTGGTGATCGTAGAATTGGTAAATCAGTATACTACTTTCTATTTGTATTTATTCCATACTCACATTTAGTTTTCGCTTGCAGCGCGACAGATTCAGCAGCAGATTGGTCCGCAGCTGGGCGAAGATGGCATTCCTCTCGAGCAACTGCTCCAATCCAGAGATCTTGCGCAGGGCATACTGATACCGATGGGCGGCCTCCTGGAAGCGGTTCTTCCTGTACAGCACATTGCCATCCTCCAGCAGTTTGTTGAGCAGCACCACCAGGATTTCCGGCTTGCCCATGGCCATGCTCCACGTGGTGGGTCCCAGTTTGGCTCCCTTGCGCAGGAACACCTGCACGGCTTGGATGTTTCGACAGGCAATGGCTCTGTCCAGTGGCCGCATTCCGTGCACATCGATGTGCTCCAAGTTTCCACCCTGATCCAGGATGTACAGAACCAGACTGGCAGCGCCCTGGTAAGCAGCCAAATCCAGGGCAGTGCGTCCATTGTGATCCTCGTGGTGGCGATTGCAGCCGTGTTCAATGAGCGTCTTGGCCGCCGCCAAGTGGCCACGCAAACAGGCCCAGCTGAGCGCCGTGAATCCCTCGTGATCCTGGGCTTCCCGGGCAGCTCCTCTGGCCAGCAGCAGTTCCACCAGCTCCAGATGTCCCTCCTCCGCGGCAATCATCAGTGGTGTCTTCCGGGTTTGTCCCAAAGGTTCATCTAAAAGGGCACCACGTTGCAGCAGATGCTCCACCACACTCCAGTGACCCTCCTTGACGGCCAGCCAGAGAGCCGAGTAGCCCTGACGATTCCTCGCATCGATCTGTGCGCCGCGGGACAAGAGGATGGCCACCACATCCACGCAACCATGTCGGGCGGCGGCAGTCAGCGCCAGTTCACCGCTGCTCGGCTCCATGCCATTCACATCCAGATCGAACTCGGACTCGTTGAGATCCAGCAGATCCTCGAGGATCTTGCAGTGCGCCTGCGCGGCGGCTCCAATCAGCGCCTGTTGCAGGGCCACCGATCTGGTGACGTCCTGGGAGTGAGGACGCGGCGACCAGTCGCAGGCCAGCAAGTACTTCACCACCTCAGGTTAAACTTGAAGTTAAACTGCCAGGTGGAATAGCCGGGCGGTGTCTTGCCATCGTCGTCCATGAAGGTCAGGCCCAATTGAATGATCCGCAGCAGGTCCACATTGCAGCGCAACAGCTGGTAATGGTAGTCCGCCGTGGAGCGGAACTCGCCCACGGGTCGAGCGACCACACCCGGAAACTCTGTGTCCATGGCTACATAGTGGTACTTCTGCACCACCTTGCGAATCGTGCGGAACTCCTCCTCCAGGTTATGCTTCCACACGTCCCTGATGCCGCATTCCTCGTTGCTGGGTATGTGGACCTGGCCATGTGCGGCGCCACTTATGGCCGAGGGCATTGTCTGCGAAAGGTATGGGGTTTCATATAAACAAATGTGTAACCTAAGCTTTTTCGGGGGATATATAGTGTACTTTTGTGTAATTGTGTGTGTTTTGGAGTCCCACCAATAAATTTATAAGCTTTGGCAAATATTGCATTCATTAGTAAAAAATTTTGTGGCAAAAAAAATTTTGTATAGAACACAAAATACATATTTAAAAAATATTTTCTAATAAAATAACCCAATTTAAAAATGCAAAAAGGTTTCTATAAATATTTTTGTTGCCCCTAATAAAACTAATCATAAATAATATTTCACCAAGTGAAATGAATTTTGAAAAGTTCTTCCCACAATTTCTGATTCGCTTGCATCCATATTGTACATAAGTAAAAATAAAAAGTTATTCCTCCAAGTGTGTGTTGTGTTTGTGTGTATTTTGTGAGGAGGTGGGGGTTAGCAACATAATAAAATAGCTGGTCCAATTGGTTAAACACGTTAGAGAGCAACTAAACAAGAGTTTGTAATTGAAGTTCGGCCAATTTCGCTGTTAGAAGTGCTACAATTTTGCTGCAGATACGAAAGAACAACGAAAAATCAAACAAAAACGAAACAAAGGCACGATTTTGGAAATTTGCTTGGAGGTGGTTACTGGAGTGATGGGGATTACGATAGGCGCTACTTACATCGTCGCCGGTCGCCGCCTGGTGCGCACTCTTCGTCGCCGGATCAGCCACCTCTTCGCACTGACCTACAACCAAGCCTCAAGCAACAAGTTCCTCTTGGGTAAATGGTATTACGGTTTGGTTCTGAAGATCGATGCTCTTGATCAACTTGGGAGGGGAATCGGAATACATACAATTGTAACTATGCCTTTACAATAAGCTAGTGCACCTAAATCATATTGTATTCGTCGACACACTTTTTAAATATCATACGATTTGCATTGAAGGCCTTAGACTCAGTTAACGAAAACAAATCTCCAAATTAAAACTATGTTTTGTATTCTGTGCTGTATTGCCAATACTAGTAGAGTAAAACGGGTAAAATAAAATGTATTCAGACTCGTCTCCCAGTCATAACTACAAAACAAATGAATGTATTGTAACACAAATACTTCACGCTATAAATTGCCACCTCGTGAGTTATGGTCAAAAGTTTCTATATGCGAAATTGACTGTATCTGGCTTTCATAGATTCAGGGATCTGTTGATGCGAACAAAAAGACGGATCCGATGTTTAATAATACATATATTTATAACTATTTGGGGGTTGAAAACAACCCAATAAAATTGAACAAGGGAAAATCATGTTATCCTGGAAGTGTCAACATTTGCTAGGTTTCGTTTAACCAAAAATATACAATGACACTGAAAACATTCAAGGTTTTTTTTTAATTTAATGGAGGATATCGCCACAGTGAACAACCATATTGTAACCGTAAAAAAGTTACAAAATCCGTTAAATTTGTTGCGAAAACTAAGCACCAAATAAACAGTTAGAACGCCCTCAAAAAACTGCATACACACACTCACCGCACCGAAACGCATACACACTCATGCAACGGCATTGAAGATGCATTTGCATTTGCAGTTTTTTTCCATGAAAAATAAAGGCCCTGGAATCCGGCCCTCCATTCGGAATATCCGTACACCCACTCGTTCGCCTTAGCAGCTTACCCATTTCATAATATTCGATGGCGGTCTGTGTAGATCTTAGATATTTGCACAAAATGTAGTTTTGAGCGGCGTCTACTCGTTTTGCGGGGTGGTGAGGGGGTGATGGCCGGGGAAATTGTTTGGATTTCGGCACTTTCGCTACCGTTACAGCGGTCCTCTCGAGCAGGAACCTTAGCGTGAAGAGTCCTTGACGTCTCGCAATGGCTTCCAATTGATTTTGTTCAGCGAATATTGTTTGCGAGCCGCGCAAGTGCCATAATAAAAAAAAATTGTTCGTGATTCCGACAGTGTAGGTAAGCGCTTGCCTTTCGATTTTAGTGCTGGTAAGCGTTCGAATAACGAAATATCGATAGTTCAGCCACTATTTGGGGCCCTACTTTAAAATTTTGAGTTTTGTACACATGTGTATATGAAAAATTATAAAATGCAACATATATTTTGATAAAATATTAATATAGGCCAAAATAATTTGTCTGTTTTAAGTATTGTCAATAGTGAGTAGCGATAAGATCCTCCCTATAGCCTCCTAGAGGTCGCTAATGTGAATAAGTAAGGTTTCGCAAAGCGACAACCCTAGACTTGCAGCTGTTCAGCGGAAAGCAAACAAATTTATTTATTTCAAACTCACCGGTACAAGTGCTTGCAAAAAGTTATTAACATAACTGTTGAGTGATAATATCTGATAATTGTTTAAAAACTATAAAAGAACCAACCAGTAAAGGTTGCTTTGTTTGTTTTTCGGTTTTTGTGTATGTGTCTTTCCTTTCATTTAGTTTAACCCATTTGTTGACGCAAATTCTGCGAAAACTGGCTCGCGTTATAAATAAACAATTGGTTTCCCTGTCTTCGTTTTTTCTCGCATTGTTTACTACTACTACATTTTCACTACTTAAATTGTCGGGTATAAGAAAACTAGTTTTTGGGGTACATACATTTGACTGGGTAAAAAGAAAGCAAAAAAAAAGCGCAGATTCCTTCACGCTGTCTGTCAACAATCGGCAATTAGGTGTTTTCATATGTACCATTTATGTACAAATGTATGTACATATATACACATGAGTATATCAGTGGTCTCTCCAATTATATTGGTTTCGTGGACCGGGAAAGAACGGATTTCACCAGTTTTTGTAAAGGGTTAATAAACTTTTCGCGCTACACGTTGCACGTTTTTTGCTTTTATGCTTTTTTAATTCCGGTTACAAGTTCCTGATAAAGAGTACTTGAATGAACGTTCCCCTACTGATAAGAAATTCTCTTATCGCAAGTCTTGATCTTGATTATTAGTAAACTTACAGCAAGGTCAATATAATTGTCTAGCTTTACGGAAACCTTAAATTTTGCCTCATATAAAATTTAGGCTTTTTCTTTTGTCAGAAAATAGATTTAAATATACCTTTGCAGTTCTACCTTTTTAAGTTTAAAAGTTTCATTCTTGATTTAAATGTGGTTTTATAGTATTTTTTAATATTTCAATAATCGTGGTTAAATTGTATGCTTATAACAACTTTCTAATGGTTGGGCGGAACTAATAGTACACACTGCGAATCATTCAGCACTTGAAACCCAATTTATTTACGCTTTAAAGTGGAACTATGCACATTAGTAAACAAAAACGGTGCTAAATCAACTGAGTATTATTCTGAAAAAAGTTAAATACTTAATGACACAAATAACAATTTACTGCAGTTTAAATAGTGTTTTAAAATCCAATTTAAATAAATGCTGATTATTATTTTTACAAAATGATTTCAAAACATTTCTATTCAAGCTAAAGTAAGTGACATAACAAACAAACAATGCGCGCAAAATTGTTGGCCATAAATTGTAATTAATTCGCAAACAAATCAATTCGAAATTCAATTTGCGGGCACATATCTCGTGTTCATATTTCTTTCTTTCGATCGAGCAATTTGATCACGTTTTGAGCGGCCCGAACCAATACTTTCAACTCTGCCACTTGTTTAGCTAATTGAGGCGGTCGTGTGATCACTGATCAGTTACTCTTCGCTCACGCGATCTCCCGGAACGATCCGTTGACTTATTCTTCAGTCTTTGGCCAGCCACCCAACCGATCTGAGATCCAAAGCTCACCGCGCTTTTACCCAAAAGAATTTACCAAAAAGAATTCAGGTCTTCGAAAGAACGTGCCCTTCGCACAGACAACATCAAAACATTTGTTTAAATATCTACGTGAGTTTCCAACAAAATAAAATGAAGTGCGGGTAGATAATAGACTTTATCATTATGTGAAATTGGCTTAAATGACTCGAAATAGATCGTTGAGTTATTGCGTTTGGCTCACCCTGAGAACAGCTACTCAAACAGTTTCCAATCAAATAAATAATATAATGAACCAAATTATATTTAAAAACTGCCCTTTCGTCTTAAGATCCTTTTAATTAAAAATGTTGAATTTTATAACTCATTTGTGAAACCTTTCATCACTTTCATTTCAATCAAATTAAAATACAAAACCAGTTTTCTATTAAATCGGTTTTATTTACACACTCTAGTTTATTCGGTGAGACATTTGTAATCATTAAGGTTTGTTTGCTATTCTTCTTTATTTATCACAAACTCGTATTTCTTCTATTGTTTTAAGTTCCTCGGGGCTTGTTTATGACTTGCTTTTGGTAATAACATATTTTGACGTCTCTTTTTCTTTGGGCTTGTCCGTCACGCAGACGTCTCATAATCAAATGTATAATTATGCTAAATTTGGGCAAGTCGTTGACCTGCGCTTGTCAATCTTTAGACTTTGTAGATTAATTCGCTATTAATCTTCATTGAAATTCTCTTTTTTGTCATATTAATGAAAGAAACCCTTTCAGAATTTACAAGAAACAAAAACTTCAATTAATCCAATCAATATTCTTGATTTTAATCATCAGATAAATAAAACATGAGCCTCCGGGAATATGGATATCGGCTCCTGCCGGGTCTCAAGTGGCTGCATGGCTACACCGGCCAGGATGCAGTGGCGGATTTGATAGCAGGAGTTACTGTTGGACTCACAGTGCTGCCCCAAGGACTGGCATATGCCACGTTAGCTGGATTGGAGCCACAATACGGCCTGTACTCGGCTTTTGTCGGCGGCATCATTTATGCCATGCTGGGCAGCTGTCGCCAAGTGACAATTGGACCCACGGCTTTGTTAGCCTTGATGACCAGCCGGCATACCGGATTGGGATTGGCATCTGGACCTGCATACGCAATACTTCTGTGTCTCATCTCTGGCATAGTGGAGCTCGGAATGGCAGTGCTTAAGCTGGGTGCATTGGTGGATCTAATTTCACTGCCGGTGACCGTGGGATTCACCTCCGCCACTGCCGTCATCATTGGAACATCGCAGCTGAAAGGTTTGCTGGGACTGCGTGGAGGATCTGGATCTGATTTCATCAATACCATGCGCTCGGTATTCGGAAATCTCAACAATGTGCGACCAGGCGACTTTACCCTAGGATTGACTTCCATCGTAGTTCTCTTGCTGTTGCGTGTAAGATAATACTTTTAACTACCTCATGCATTCACTACTAATTATGTTCCAATTTAAATAGAAACTGAAAAACGTAAATCTAAACGGAAGAATCACAAACTTACGGGCACAGCAGTTGATAAGCGGTGGCATCTGGGTCATAGCCACCGGGAGAAATGCGCTAATAGTTCTGGTGACCAGTATGGTGGCTTATAACACTTGCGAGCAGAATGAAGACTGTCCCTACATCCTTACCGGAAAGGTTAAAAGCGGCCTGCCCAACATTTCACTGCCCAAATTCGAGACCACGATTCTGGACAAGAACGGCACCGAAATCACTCAGAACTTTCAACAAATGGTAAGCTTTATGACTCACAATCTTGTTACTTTTTTTGCAACCGAATAAATTTCAAGGTCTACAATCTGTTTAACTAAGTGTGTCGCTTTATCTGGTTTATTATTGCTTGCTTTAAGATTCTCGTAGCATTACTTGTTTTTAATTGTTTTTTTTAATGATACCAAGGCTTGAAGGTATCCAAATAAATTCAAATGCTTTGAATTGGATTTATTATTGAATAGGTTCAGCTTCAAATTAGTATTAGTAGTAGGTATAAACAACTTTTTTATTTTATTTATAACATTTATTATCATTCCTTTTTTTCTTTCCATATCAGTTTGCCGAACTGGGTCCTTCCATGTTGGTACTACCCATTATCGCTGTGCTGGGCAACGTGGCCATCTCGAAGGCCTTTGGTGGAGCTGGACTCAGTGCCACGCGGGAGCTAATTGCCCTTTCGATGAGCAACATTTGTGGAGCCTTCTGCAGCTCCATGCCGGTGACTGGGTCCTTCTCACGCAGTGCTGTTAACCACGCAAGTGGTGTTCGGACTCCTCTGGGAGGCTGCTACACGAGCATTCTGGTTCTCCTGGCTCTTGGCCTTCTGGCTCCCTACTTCCAATACATTCCAAAGGCGGCGCTCAGTGCGGTTATCATTTCGGCGGTTATATTCATGATCGAATTCGAGGTCATCAAGCCTCTCTGGCGCTGCAGCAGAAGAGAGCTGCTCCCGGGTGCGATCACCTTTGTAATGAGCCTTGCAGTGGGCGTAGAAATCGGTCTCCTGCTGGGAGTGAGTGCCGATGTGGCTTTCCTGGTTTACCGAGCTGCCCGACCCGTACTGACTGTCTACAAGCTGCAGACCAGCCATGGCATCAACTACATTCTGATTCGTCCGAAGCACAGTTCACTGTACTTCCCGGCCATCGAATGGGTACGATCAGAGATCTCCAAAGCATTGGCCACTCACGGAATCGCTCCTGTTGTCCTGGATTGTGCTCATGTTCACGGTAAGTCTTTCTTACAGGTTATCATTTCTGTATTTTTAATAATATTTTCTGCTTGTAGATTTCGATTTTACGGCTGCTCGAGGAATGGGTTCGTTGCAGAAGGAACTTTCCAAAGCAAATGTGCCCTTGTTCTTGATGAGTGCACATAAGGATATTGGTGTTATTCTGAAAGAGTCAACCAACATTGATTTTCCGACTATAGAATGCGCTGATGACTTGGAGTTCCTGTTGGAGCAAAGTGAGATTAGATTTGGTAGTTACAATTTTCATGCTCTTCATCCTTTCTGGGCAGGAAATTTCTCACGCTTTTCTGTTTGCTTCGCTTTTATCCACAGCTTGCTCTTCTGTTTAATCCTATAAAATCAGCAACGCCACATCTAGCACCCTCCATCTCTATTAATTCAAGAATCTGAGTTCGATCTGTAACTAAAATTTTGTTTTTCCAGCTCCCGAGTATTGTCTGCACTTGCAGATATCAACTCCACTCGTCGAGTCGCGTCTGGTACATTGCGATGCTGGAGAGCCCTCTGAACTGAGTAAACTAAATGGAAATACTTCTTAAGAACCAGGATATTGTTTGTTTTAACTGTACTTAAGTATACGTTGCGGCACAAGTCTTATTTATGTCATGTTCACCTGCATTACCTTAAGTTATTTCTTTGCAATAATTTATAAAACTCGCAGCTCTCTAAGCTTTTCCTATTCCCAACTATAGTATTTAATTCAGTCCACATTTCATTTGCAACTCTTCCATTCCTATATCCTAAAGTTTCCTCGATTAAGTTAATTTCAAAATGTACATACATATATAAATAAGTTTTTATAATTGTTTTATAAGTTGTTTTTAACTACTTAACTTTTAGGTAATAAAAAACCAGCTTAAAATTATGCACTGAAAGTTTTGAAAAAACATAGTTTTAAAACATTGCTCGAACTGATTAGGCATATCCCCAAAAGACTACACCAAACAAGAAAGAAAGCTGACTTCGGGGATCCGAAGCCTATATACTCTTGCAGTCATCACAAGTGTTGAGCTTAATGGATAAAGGCTTAAAAACCTTGAACCCATGACGATTTTTCTATTAGTTTGTTATATTTTGACAGATTTTTCCCTGACAGCTTTATGATATCGTCGTCCGATTTTCATGAAATTTAATTCAAAACTCAAGAGTCGTTAGAAAATTGGATATCCAAAAAACAACGATGATATAATTTTGTTCTGTTCATTTTGAATAGATTTTTAATTTTTCCTTTGGGACATATATGATAAAGTCGTCCGATCTGTAATTTTCCGATTTATATACTGCCTGTCTGTATTTACTACTTAACTTTTTTTCATTAGGACACAAAGAGTCTCTTTCACTGCGTTGCAAACTTCTTACTGAAATTGAATTCCCTCTGCAAGGGTATAAAATGCTAAATATAAATTTTTTAAAAAGGTTGTTTTTATTTAATCTTAATAAAATTCGCATTTACTTTATATATTTGTTATTTATAAGAACTGATGCTTACGATAGATATGTTTTTAAAACTACAACTTTACATGCGTATGAACTATTAAAAGACAACTTTAAAGAAAATTACAAAAAGAGTGTCGTGTTTAAATTAAAAAAAACATTCGAAGGCAATAAATAGCAAAAATTAAGGTCTAGGGTAGCGCTTAAGTTAGGATAGCGATTAATTCGAAGGGTTCACGACGAGTACAACACTACACAACAATCGACATTTACAAATCGGTGATCTCGTGGTGAGATTCATAGACACCGGATGCTCCGCCGCCGATATTCGACATCCGTCCGGCTGGATCCTCGTTGCTCATGGAGATCCGGGTGAGCAGCTCGGTCTGGATGCGCTTCAGCACCTCGACCACCTCGCAGAGGACTCCGCTCTGTGCCGCCTGCTGCATCGCCTCATTGGCGTCCACCAGCGCCTCGTTCAGTGCTCCCAGTTCCATGCGCGCCTTTGCCCTGGCGTAGTATCCCTCGTAGCTATGTGGCTTCTGGGCAATTGCCTGCGTGGCCAAATCTATGGAGGCGTCAAGTTCCTGGTGATCGTAGAATTGGTAAATCAGTATACTACTTTCTATTTGTATTTATTCCATACTCACATTTAGTTTTCGCTTGCAGCGCGACAGATTCAGCAGCAGATTGGTCCGCAGCTGGGCGAAGATGGCATTCCTCTCGAGCAACTGCTCCAATCCAGAGATCTTGCGCAGGGCATACTGATACCGATGGGCGGCCTCCTGGAAGCGGTTCTTCCTGTACAGCACATTGCCATCCTCCAGCAGTTTGTTGAGCAGCACCACCAGGATTTCCGGCTTGCCCATGGCCATGCTCCACGTGGTGGGTCCCAGTTTGGCTCCCTTGCGCAGGAACACCTGCACGGCTTGGATGTTTCGACAGGCAATGGCTCTGTCCAGTGGCCGCATTCCGTGCACATCGATGTGCTCCAAGTTTCCACCCTGATCCAGGATGTACAGAACCAGACTGGCAGCGCCCTGGTAAGCAGCCAAATCCAGGGCAGTGCGTCCATTGTGATCCTCGTGGTGGCGATTGCAGCCGTGTTCAATGAGCGTCTTGGCCGCCGCCAAGTGGCCACGCAAACAGGCCCAGCTGAGCGCCGTGAATCCCTCGTGATCCTGGGCTTCCCGGGCAGCTCCTCTGGCCAGCAGCAGTTCCACCAGCTCCAGATGTCCCTCCTCCGCGGCAATCATCAGTGGTGTCTTCCGGGTTTGTCCCAAAGGTTCATCTAAAAGGGCACCACGTTGCAGCAGATGCTCCACCACACTCCAGTGACCCTCCTTGACGGCCAGCCAGAGAGCCGAGTAGCCCTGACGATTCCTCGCATCGATCTGTGCGCCGCGGGACAAGAGGATGGCCACCACATCCACGCAACCATGTCGGGCGGCGGCAGTCAGCGCCAGTTCACCGCTGCTCGGCTCCATGCCATTCACATCCAGATCGAACTCGGACTCGTTGAGATCCAGCAGATCCTCGAGGATCTTGCAGTGCGCCTGCGCGGCGGCTCCAATCAGCGCCTGTTGCAGGGCCACCGATCTGGTGACGTCCTGGGAGTGAGGACGCGGCGACCAGTCGCAGGCCAGCAAGTACTTCACCACACTCAGGTGACCCATCCGAGCGGCATGCACCAAGGCACAGCGTTGCGTGATATCCAACTGGCCAAGGCTACTGCCAGCGGCCACCAGTGGACGCACCACATCACAGTGGCCACGCATGGCGGCCAGGATCAGGGGAGTGCACCCCTGACTGTTGGTCAGTCCCACATCAGCACCGAACTCCAGGAGCAAACTGACCATGGGTAATATACCCTCATGAGCAGCTATGCAAAGGATCGGAGCTCCGCCCATGTAATCCGTTCGGTGGTTCGGAGAAGCTCCCGCCAGGAGAACCAAACGGGAGACCTTCAAATTCGGACTGTACACATTGCGCAGGGCGCCTAGCGAAGCGGAGATGTTGTCCGCCGCTCCGGCCAACCAATAGGATTGCAGATCCCTGGGGGAAAGCAGAGTCAAGCTGGTTCCCCCATACAAGTGCGCCTTGAGCATGTGGTGACCCAGTTCCAGGGTGAGTTGCGGAGACAGCGGAGCCTGCAGGCGGGACAACCGGAAGGCGATGGCCGCATGACCCAGCCGGGCATCGCAGAGGAACTTGTTGGACTCGCCCTCGTCTCGTCGCATCAGCCACTCCCGCAAGGAGCTGTGGAAGAACATGTACGTGTTGTCCAGCCGCTTGATCAAGAAGCCATCCAGCAGCTTGAAGCGCTGCATGAAATCCGGCCAGCTAAGCGACTCTCTGCCATGACCCAGTGCCTCCATGCTGTAGTAGATCTCGTCCAGAGTCAGGGGATACAAGGCAGCCAGGCAGACATTCAGGATGGGAGCAGCCTGCTCAAAACTGCGAGCGGTGGGAAAGCGCAGATTGAAGTGCAGCAAGAAGATCTGAGCCAGCGAAACGGGGAGCACTTTGTAGCTGGACGACTTGATGACCAACTGGCCGCGGGCAATGAGATCCAGGATGAGCTTGGCATACAGCATGGATCCCCTGCTCAGCGACTGCAGATGCGAGACGAACTTCGTCTGCGGCTGGCCACCCGACTGCGAACTCTGACCTCCGCCTCCACCGCCACCGATGTTCATCCGGATTTCGGGACTGTCTGCCAGTCTGGCTCCAATGTAGTCCAGCATATCCTGCTGCAGGGCCTGGCTGCTGGCCCAACTGTCCAGCGTGAGCTGCGTGTAGCTGGGCGCCTTCACCAGCTCCAACATTTGGGTTCTCACGGTGGCCACCAGTTTCAGCCAGGCCGGGAAATGCGGCGTCAGTTGAGCCAGGAAACTGGCAATGGTGTGTCCATGATCGGGTCGATGGTACTCCGCCTCGCACAGGGCATCCACCAGGATGACGGCCACCTTGGCGGGTATCTTGCCAGCCCGATGCAGCTGGGCCAGTGGCTCCAGGATGGCCAGCTTCATCACCCGCTCCGCATCCGCGATGCACTCGCGCACACTGAGAATGTCCTGGAGATGCGGCTCCGACAGCAGGTAATCCCTGTAAGCGGTGAGCTGCGGAGCCTGGCACAACTGGGCGGCCAGGGAGTGGACGAAATCGGGCACCTGGCAGGTGAGATTGGCGTCCGCCTGGCAGAAGTGGTAGCCCACCATGTGGGAGGCCAATCCCCGCATGCGTTCGCAATGGGCACCCAACTGGAGTTGGCTGTAGATGCCATCGGGATCCTCCTGCATTTGCCGCCGGCCGAAACAGGAATACTCCACCAGCTGGAGGCAGAAGGCGGTCTTCCCGGTGCCCGGTTGTCCATTGATGAGCACCACCCGCGTCTCCGTTCCCAGCAGGATGTTCGAGAGCTGCTGCACCAGCCACTGGCGACCCACGTACGGTGGATCCGGTTCCTGCAGCGGCACCTCGAAGAACAGAGGCTTTAGCGCTAGCTGAACCGCTGCCAAAGTGGAGGCAGTTACTCGGGATCCCACAGCTGCTGCTGCTGCTGCGGAGGAGGATGTGGAACTGGATCCCTGCTGGCCGCGAGTCGATCTCCTTGCGTTTCCCTTGCGGCTCTTGCTTGGCAGTGCCTCGTACACGTGCAACATGGAGCAGCCCGCCTTGAATTTGCCGCACAGACTCAGTGCATCCTCCTTGACGCCGTGACTGGTGGCCACCGACAACTGGCTGCCACTCAGCATCCCGGCTCCGCTGGCCAGCGTCTGCTCCGGGCTGACGTTCTGCGAGGAGCCACTCGTGGTGGTGCTCGCTGCTCCCACTCCGCTGCTGCTGGTGGTGCTCGTGGTGGAGTGCGCCGAGATGGGTTCGCATCCGCTGCCGCTGCTGCTGCTGTTCCCATTGCACCCGTTGCTGCCTGGATCGTTGAGCAGCAGGCCGAGGCGAGCGTGGAGCTGGTCCTTCTGCAGCTTCTCGTTCAGGAGAGAGGAGTGGTGGTCAAGGGCGTCGCTTCCTAAGGGAAGAATTATAAAAAAAGGGGATTAGATAAGGTGCTTATTATAAGGAGAGCATGCAAAAAACAGAGTTTTATAAAATTTTAATAAGGAATTGTAATTTTGATATAACTTATTTTTATAAATTAATAGCAATTAAGTTATGTTCCTGATCTTCAAGACTTAGGTTATGGTCTTCAACATTTAGTCAACAGGGAACATTTACAAAAAATTTTGATAAATAAATAATTAGTGCAAAAAAACCTTAGATTTTCTAAAAAACAATTTAAAACCAATGACTAACAAACCTAGTTTGAAATGGTTTAATTTGAACAAACGGAATTTGCTAAATAAAAACTTATAAAAAAATCAATAAAAATATTCCTATAACATTAAAAGCCTACAAAAATGTTAACTTACTTACTCCCTAAATAATATTTTCTTATTATTAAAAATAAAAACATGCAAAATAGCTTCATAAATGAATACTCTATGTCATGACAAGAAAACTTGGTTAATTAACGACAATGAAGATGCAACATGCGACGTCTGAAACTGGAAGATGCACAAATGAGGAGTGGATCCATGCCTGCTAGTTGGTTCAATCCCGCCTCGCTCGAGTTGGAGGAGTTGACGCTCCACAGGGACTTGATCTTGCCGAAGACCAGCGAGGACAAGTGGCCCGCATAGACTGAGGTTCCGGCCAAACTGAGCCTGTTTAGTCTATTCTCGCTACTCGCTCCGTGGCGAGCGGAGGTCTTCAGGTTGTGATTGCTCACGTTCTTCCTTCGCCGCCTGGTGACCGCCGAATCCGAACAGGTGGATGTGTTCAGGGCATTCGACTCCTTGCCCTCCGTCTGGATGTCCTGGTGATGATGCTGATGGGGATGATCTAGTGATGGATGATGGGTGAGTTATCTTTTCGAGGATTTTGTACCATTTAGAGAAGAATCTTAATTTACAATCTAAAATGCATCCAACTTAAAGTGTTATTCTTTTAGGTGAAATTATGTTTGAAATTATAAAATTCCGATTATAATGAAAATAATAATTATAATTAATTATTGATCTAATTAAATCTAAAATATAATATTATATATATTTTTTTTATCTTATTAAAGAAAGAGTAAAAATATTCAAATATAATATAATTTTTTAATGTGCAACTTGTGTGTCTTCATTTTCGATCTTTTGCAAACAAAAAAGTCAACAACATTTGAACCTGACCCCCACTTGAATTCCATTCTGAACTCACCTCCGGACAGGATTGATGCCGTGTCAATGGGACAACCTCCATTGGAGGCAGTGCGTCGATGGCCGCCGCCCACTCCTCCAGCGGCTGCTCCACCTCCTCCTCCACCTCCTGATCCACCATTGCCTCCTCCAGTGAGGGCACTCCGCAGATTCTTGTGGTTGAAGAACCGCCTACGCGTCGGCGGTGTGGCAAAGGCCGGTGGTGCGGCACTCAGTTCGCTGTAGGCCACCGCATGGATGTTGTGGCTCAGGCTGTTGCTGCGACTGTGGCCACCAATTCCATTGCCGTTCTGCTTGCCAGCGGCGGAGGCAACGTTGGCCGCACCACCACCACCGCCGAGGTGGTTGTGGTGGTGCACATCCACGGTGACCGTTTGCGTGGTGCCGGTGGAATATCCATTGCCATTCGCCGAGGCCACAGCCCGGGGCAGCTTGCCATTGCTCGCGTAGCGGTGGTGGTAATCCGGCGACTGCGACTCCTGGCGGTGCTGCTGCAAGAAAATGTGCCAATAGAGTTAAGGACTTATCAATGATGAAAGTGTATATATGGAGAGAAAACATTATAATAATAGGGAAATTATACAATCAATTTATTTAAAAGAAATGGATTTGCTTAAAAAAATTATTTTAACTTCTTGTGCAACTTTCTAATTGTAAAGTTATATATAAAATAATATCATATAAATTTTACTAATTTTTTTCTGTGTTTTTATAGAGCAGCTTTCGTCAATTTGAGCAGCCTGTAAAAGAAAAGGCGTTGCTATTCGATTGGTCACATGTGTGGGCCATCTCGAGATGAAAGCTTTCAAAAGTGGTCATATATTCAAAGCACCTACTTCATAAAGCCAACGAGGTGGTGCTTCTAGGCAAAAAACCCACCTTGCAGCTGCCCTAAACCAAAATATTGTCAGGCCGATAAAAAGTGCAATTTTACCAGCCGTCATACATAATTATCATTTCAAGATCAACCTGCACAACACTTTTAAAAATTTCCATGGTTTTAACCTTGGTCTCAAAAAAAAAGTTGGGGAATTCTTTGAATTGCTGAACCCAAAGTGTGGAAAGTCAAACATGTTAAACAATTGGGGTGTTAAAATATGCTGTGAAAATGTAAAGGCCAACCAATTATTCACAAGCTAATACGAACTGCAAATATTTAATTAACAGATTTTACAAGATAATATTAAGGTTTCAAAAATCGAACAATGATTTCATCTCATAAGATAAAGGTACCTGAACTATTTAACATTTTTTATTATTATTGTATTATATTCAAGGTTAGTTTTTCTTAGTGAAACCCAGAGCCTGTCCAGCTTATAGACTGTTGTCCTCCGGTTTCACTGGGCACTAAGCATAACCAATTTCATTCACATTCGCCACAAATGACCAGCGATCGAGGTCTTAGTCATCGTCTAGTCTTTGGCTCCTTTGGATGTTGGATTGGATATGGGGGTTTCGTCTTAATGAACTGCAAATCATTTTCTGTCTGCGTTGGTTTTCGCCTTCTCTTGTTTTCCTCAGATTATGTATTTTTTTTTTGGGTAGGCCGAACAGAGACTGGACATGGCACAGAAAAGCCTGAAGAAACGTGATTTCCAGGCCAGAATCGGTAACAGAAATAAGAGTCAGAACCTGAGAACCAGTTTCTGGGTTCTGTGTGGGATAATAAGATGAAATTGGTTGGCTCCGCCAAACAGAGTCTGAGTCTGGAGTCCATTAATTGACAGCCAGGAGGTGTGTTGTGGAGGCAGGCAGGTGGTTGGATCCCGCGGAGGACCTTTGGACTTTGGAGCCAGCCAAAAGCATCGAAGGGACTGTTATGAAATTAATTGAAAGCCAGGAATTTCAAGGGATCGATCCTCTATTTAGATCATCGATTAGGGGCTTTAACAGAGTTGTTGAAATTATGGTTAGGAAAGTATAAACATTGAGTGTGTCGGGCTTGGAGCTATTCAATTTGGTCCGTTTGATGATTGTGATTTGGCTAAAGAACCCATCTGACAAGTTGGTCCGCCCGCGGATGTCTGAGTGCTCTGGTTCTCTGGTTTGCTTCCTCCAGCGGATGTCTGGCTTTCGGATCTCGAAGTCACGACCACGAGTCGCCCACTTCCGCTGGAGGATGTTTGAACAAGCCAGTCTGCCCACAAACTGTCAACTGTCTAAGTGAATATACAAGATTCTTAGATTTTTCCTATTAAAAAAAATATTACAACAAATCAATTTAGAAATGCTAAATAGAAAAAAAACAAGACAAAAATGAATGAAGAAAATCTAAAACTTAATCTAAAGTAAAAGCAATATTATGTCTTTAACTATTATGTTTATAACTGAACTTCTATAATCCTATTTTATTTTTAGAATTTTATTTATTCATTTTTTTAAGTTGATAAGGAGCTATTTAGATTTCGAGATACTTTCTATTAAACTGCAACCGTCAGCTACTTTGGCCAACTCTCTAAGGCCTTTTGAGTATCGCTGATCGCAGGCTCCAATCTCGGATAGGCGAACCACCGGGATCAGCTGGGGAATTCCGTGGCGCTGATCTCCTATCCATCGATATGCGGATCTATTGATCCGTGGGCCGAGTTCCGCCTCTATCGCATCGTAATTAAGCTGCGGTTCGCTTTGGTTCGCTTTGGTTTCGATGCGCTTCACTCAAACTCAAACCCAACCCAATCCAAGTCGATCCAATCCCAGTCCCAGTCCAAGACCCCAATCCCAGACCCCTCCTTTATTTCTTTCACTCGATGGTGATGCTGATGCTGATGCTGATGGTGGTGGTGGAAAGGCTTTCTTTAAACTAGTTCGTCGTGGGGTCTGGGATCTCTTATCGCTTCCCGCGGCGGCGTTTTAATTGGCCCCATCACTTTGATTAAGTTGTAGCCGTCACACGAGCCGTGTGCTTTGGAAAATAATTAACAAATTATGCTTGCCATACAAGGGGGGGCCATGGAAAATTCGAAAATTGAAAAAAAATCACAACTGAAAAGGTGATTTTCACTTTTCCCGCTCGGCAATTTGTCCGCCACAGAGAAAGAGGAGTTGCCACGCGGCTACCGTGAAAAAAGCGCCATAAAATTTGCACCTCTGGTTGGAGTTGGAGATGATCGGGGCCATTGAGATGGAAACAGGATGCCATTAAGTAGTGTAATTTGTTAAGAAACACAGGTCATTGTCCACTACACGTTATGCGATCACGGTGTCTCGGAACATAATCTTAATAGACATTTTTAACATTACTACAAATTGCTGCGATTTCTCTTAAGACAGGCCTTAGGTTTCAAAATTGCTATATGATTTATTAGAAAATAACTCTTTGTGGACTTAGCATACTTAAACAAACCTTAAGTGTACAAAAAACTCAGGCCAATCTTCCATCCGTACACGACTTTGTCCAAACCCACTTTTAAATCCAATTTAAATGTTTGGCAAATTATAATCGTGAGAACACACCAAACATTTTTTTTTTTTTTTTTTTTTTGTTGTGAGGAACAAATCATGTTAGAAACTTATGAACTGTCAACCGTTTTGCTGAACTTTAACCGCTCCCAAGTCAGCAAACAAATGAGCAGAACGAGCCAATTGACCGACTGACTGCTACCCAGAAATTATATCGGCCAGCAAAGCTCAAAAGACCGAACCGGATCGAAACCCCGAGGGGAGTCTCTATATAACTGCATCTGTATATCTGTATATATACCGAGTCGCAGGTGTAATAATGCCAGCTGCCACAGACTCGACCAGAAAAAGCCAGTAATTGTAATATGACAAACCCGCATTAATTTGCTCGCAAAAACTAAAGCGAAACCGAAACTGAGAAAATCGGCAGACTCCGAGACTCACACAGAAAAAAATATATGTTAAAGCTCATGTTATAAAAAATATGTAAATAGGTTGCAAAAGCTTAAAGGAACTTTAAGTGGAAATATTAATTATATTTTCCATATAAATACATAAAATATTACTTATAAAAAAGTGGTTTTTCTTTCAGTTTAAGTGGCCCACAAAAAATAATTAATGATTCTTTTTCACAATCTTGGTTACATATCGCTTGATAATATTTTGCAAATTTAAATTAAATAAATATTTTAGTTCAATATTTATTTATGCCACCGAAATTTTTAATGTTGCATTCCAATTTATCAGTGCAATGCAATTACAGCGGCGGTATTTAATGATCGAGTCCACCGAGCTGGCAACAAGATTAATGGTTCATTCAAGAATTCGATTTTCGGCCACAACAACAACAGCAGGTTCATATCAAAACAGTTTTCTTTTTTTTTTTCGCTTTTCGTCAGGCATTTTTTTCTCTTTTAAATTATGAAAAATAAAATATACATCTCATGTTTGGCCGCGGGGCGTTTGCGAGAACAACAACAGCGTCACAGAATTTGGCGGTCCCAGACATTGTGACACCAGCAAAATGCAGCAGCACCACGGCAAACGGCAAACGGCAATCTGTGGCCAAAACGAGTCTTGGCCAAAACCACGAGGGTGTGGGTCCGGCCAACTGGCTGGTTAAATCAAATGATATTTCAACAACAGTTGCCTGTGTTGAAAAATAATTGTTTAAATGTCATAAAATAAACAACACAAAACCCAGCGGAGGTCAACAAGTGTGGAGAACTGCAGGAAATTGCATTGAAAACTGGCCAAATTCAATTCAATAGTTGAGAGCGCCGCCCAAGTAGTTAGTTTTTATTATAGGTTTATTAAGTTAATGAAATTATTGAGACCACTTTTTAATTAAAAGATTTTAAAGTGCTTATGATTATATAGATCTAAGCATAACATTTAGCGTGAAGCGTTTAAATTTAATAAAAATTTAATGAAGAATGGAAGATAATAATAGTTTATTAAGCACAATGAGAAATATCAGGTTTGAAATCATAAAGTAAGTTAGAATTGCTTAAGTTGTTTGTTCCATTGAACTAGATATAAAGATATCCCACATAAATTACCCATCGATTTTGATTGAAACCTCCTCCTAAACCTTGGAATCATTACAAAACACCACTCAGCATTATTCATCCGTGACAAATGTTTATGATCACGAATCGCATATGGATGAAAATGTTCGAGTACCATTTAGTTGGAAGCATTAGCGAATCGCATGCAAACGCTTTTGTGCGATTTTAAACGCGCTGGCATTTCAAAACCGCCAGTAAAAATCGCCCACTTTGCATTCGGCGTCTAATGGAAAACGTTGTGCTCGTTGGCGGTTTTTTTTTAGAAAAAAAGGAGCCCATTAAAATGGGGGCCCAGCATTGTTGGCACTCGTATACCAAATCTCCAGTTGCTTGGAAGCATTTTAGACTAATGCATGCGCATTTTGGCCAACGATTCGATTGCCAAATCTTCTGGCTGGCATTATTAAAACATATTTCTTGTATTGTAATCATGGCAGAATGTTGGCCAAGTCTAAGGTGTTGCCACAAATTGGATTTCCTTGTCCGGCTTGTCCGACTGCACCGAGAGAAAAAAGCCAATT